CCACGAGAAATTTAAGGCTTTAAATTGGACGTAGGCGGCGTGTCGAAACAATATTTCAAGATCAGCGATCCGTTGATGGACGCACCAAAAAGTATCAACCTTGATGTCGCCATCGACACAGCATGGATAAGTTGTAGTCACTAAAACTTTGACAATGGATTATAAAAATAAGCTATAAAGAGAGTAAAGATAAAACGCAAAAGAAACATTGAAAATTGTAATGAGCAAGGTCCGAGCATAATTTTACCATATCCTGATATACATGTTTACATGCGTACGTATACATATATATACACAGAAAAAAAGACTTGTTTTGGAAATATTTTTAATTTTAACATGGAATCTGGAAATAAGATTATATTGCGTTAATTAAAGAAAAATATAATTGCTTGAATAATTGCTTGCCATTTTATATAATTCAATTAAGGAAAATATATTCTTATGATTTAAGATTTAATTTTCTTGAATGGAAAGAAAACAATGTTTGATAGAAAATAACATTTTTTAAATCAAAGATTATTTTCTTAAAGTAGAATTAAATAATTATATATTCTTGAGATGACAATTATTATATTGAAATAAGATTAAAATATTGTTGAAATTTAAAATTACTAAATTCTTCTAGGAAGATTATAGATTGTTGCGTATATGGAACAATGAACGCGTTAATTTAAATATATAAATTTTGATTTAACACTTATTTTTTTTCTGTATAAAAATTTTAAGTAATTTGTATAGTATATTCGTCCGCAATTTTAATGTATTCTGTTCTAAAATCGTATTTTATTCTCTTCCTCTATCTCAAGCAGATCTTTGATGTTGACCGACGATGTAGGTATCGGTGGCGAGTTGCAACACATGCGAGTGGCCGCGAGCCAGTGCTCAAGGTGCTAACAAGTCTATGAAACGACGAACACTCTCGTTCTCTCTCACCCGATATCCACCTTGTGGAATTTGCTAATTGCGAGGTTTTTGTAAGCTACAACGTTACGAAATGCATAACGCGTGCGTACGTGCGCGTCGACGAAAGCTCGAAGGAAAAAGCTATTCGTGTAACGGGAAAATTTTATGTCGTGCGTCGCATAAGAAGAGATCACGTATGTTTCCGGCGTTTATAACAGTAGATGATTGCGTGGTAAAATTGGACATGGCAAATCTTTTTCTTCCGCCGAGAATCTTGTGAGAAAACGTAGTACATACGCTTGGAATATGTTGCATTTTAATTATGCAACTCGTGCATGTTCTGAAAATCAGGAATTTCCTCTGTGCAGTAGAGATATTATTTGTCAGATGAACGATTTGTCAGATGAACGCAATAGTTTACAGTTTATTCAATTGCTTTACGTTTGATATTTAGATAGCGCTACGTAATACTTGATAAATTCCAAGAACGTCATTACGTCACATACGATTACATATGTTTATATTGCTAGTAAATCGACTAAAATATCTAAGACATACCGGTCAAAATTGAGAGTACCAAAAGAAAATTATAAGAAAATAGAGTCATGAGTTTTCTATGAAAGATACTTCCTTTCATTGAAAGAAACTTTGATTATACTTGATAAAACGGTCAGAAATGTTCCGCGTGCGTCGGAAGCAAACATCAAGAAGGAGAAAGAGAGAAGTTTCAGCGATGTCAGAAGTACTAATGTCGGAAACCCGCATATAACCGCCTGCTGCGCTCGTTCTTACATAGTCCTCTTTGTTCGTTACACGCTATGTAGAGAGTATTCTAGAACCATTAAGAGTGCTTTCTCTCAATACTATGGCTAACTTATAAAGAAAAGGCCAAATTTATCCATTAAAAAATATTTAAAACAGATATTTAAGAAAAGATATAATTCGTTCTTATATAACTTTTTTTATTTCTTACATTTCTCGTATATAAATATCCCAGTATAACATCGTTAATAAATTTATTTTTAATTTATTATAAATTTATTTATTAATTTATGAATTTGAACTTATTTTTAAATTCATTAATTTTAATTAAAAATTTTTAATTAGAAATTTTCAAAAATTTTTTTTAAAAGAAAGATTAACATCAAGAGAGTTGTTGAAGATATAATATTAATTAAATTTGTTCGAGATATAATAATAAAAATCGCGATAATTTTAAAGTATCTTGTACCGATTGTATATATTGAACAGATAAATTACTATGAATTTGCATAAATAGACTTTGAAATGCATCATTCGAATGATATATCATAATCTTACAGAGGTAGAAGCTTGATTCCTATTAGTCGTGTATAATTATTGTAATAAGATAATCAACAGGAGTAGCCTTGTAAATATGTGGCAGAGTTTTTGCAAGTAACTTGTAACATTATTTAATAGTCATTATCGCATAAATAGTATGTTTATTCATTCTTTAAAATAGTATAAGACGTGGAAAATAAAAATTAACATGAAACAGTGTCATATATAAAGATACATTTTTTGCAACTAATATCAGCAGTAGCTAGTGTCAGCTGCGAATATCTTGTTCGATCATGGTTAGAGATTTTTATTAATCGTGACGATAATTTATGTTAAAATTATTTTACGCCTCGTTTAGTAAAAGAAATATCAATGATTTTTTTTTCAAAATTACATATTTTTAGATTTAATGGATGTATAATAATTTTGTTGATACATGTGGTTTCAAAAAAAGCATACATACATACATAACGGGAAAAAACGATAAACATTGGAGAAATGGAACACCTCATATTCGAACGAGGAAATGAGATTGTATTTGACGTGCGTTGGTGACATTCCGGTTTCTCACAAAGTTTCGTAAATCTTCAACCGGTTTATACGAGGGGTGCCTATATATGCGTATTCTCATATCCGCAACGAAAGAAACGATATTCTGTTTTTGTCACTGGTAATATGATTTCAAAGGCACTCTGGGAAAATTCCGCGAGATTCACGTCGTAAAATTTTTTTCTCCCCCAACGTAATACGCGGAAGTAGCAGACGATATGACGTAATAATAAATAGGGGTTCGGGGAAAAAAAGAAACGAGAAGAGTTTCTACGACCGTAGGCGGTGAATTAATTAATTACGAGCGTCGTTGCGTAATTGTGATAAGAATGATGTATTAAAAAAACGTGGAGATATCGATTTCTTGTCCACCAAGGTTGATGTTAATGGAATTGATGCTATGGAAAAAAGATTATTAATGCAAAGATGCATCTGCCCGTAATGAGTATACTCGGTTTTATGATCTTTATTGCGCGCAAATCGCGGCATGGATTAAAATTGTTTTATTGTAAATCTTAGCATCAAGTCCGTTCCGTGCTATATAACACGCACTTTCTACGCTTCTCTATATTCTGTTTTATTATTTTTCTCTCGCTAGTGTTTCTCAACTTATCTAATTTCTCAACTATATAATTATTCAGAGTAATAATCTCGTGAAACTGTATGCAATAAAACTGGCGATATTTTATCCGTGCTCGATATAATATATATATATAATATTAATTCAGGAAATCACATGATACCATATATATTAATATTAAAAAGAAAGAGAACTAAATTTAAATGTCCTTCTAGACTCTCTTCTAAAGTGATTTTAAACATTTCATCAATGGTGACATCCCTCAATTGACATCCCTATATTGTTTATGATACAAATTGGTTCTTGCGAATTGGCTCTTGCGAATTGAAACACTTGTTATCTTTAACTATCTTTTACTGTAACGTTTGACAATTTCTTCTTTGCGAATTAAATTAATTTCTCATGATCAAAGTGATATTCGTGTTCGCAAAAGATTCAATCGATGATCTTCATTCTTAGATCGATGCTAAAGACGCGAAATTAAACTAACTTCTTAAAAAATTCGCGCAAAAACAAACATTGCTTTAACGAATTTTATTTACGAATGAGTTTTAATTCATACACACACACACACACACACAATAGTGAGTAAAACTATCTTTTAAATATTTGGCAGTTTTGTGGAGCTGTGTGAATTGGTGGAGCCATTCGTTTTCATGTAATCGCAATTCTTCTAGGAGTTTGTTTTCTTAAATGAATCATATCTTGTAGAGCGAAATAGTGCACATTATATCGACACATATATATTTCACTTTGAATGTGCACTTTTCCAATATGTATAAAAATTTCACTATATATCCAAATCAGATTTTTCATGAATAAATTTTTTTACAATACTATCTTATTCGATGTGCTATAAATTTTATCAAAATAAATGCTATTTATTGTTACTCAAAATTCTAATTTTGTTCTTTGATCTATGATCTTTCAATTTGAAATTCTTCCAATTTATATACATATACACTATTTCCACGTGTTATTTGCGTTATCAAATTAACTGTTCATATGCAATGTTACCTCGATACACAACGAAGAATGTATAAATTTTGCCAACAATAAATTCTACGATAATGAGTCTTTTCGGAAAGTAAGCGATCTTAAGTCATCGTACAAGGCGGCATTCCGGAAAGAACACTGACACGTCTCTCGATAAATACGATAAAGTGCCGCTTATCAGTGTGATCTACTCGATTTGTAAAGAGAGAGAGAGAGAAGAGAGAGAGATACATCTGCGGATTTATCATTGTAATTATTGAAAACATTCGATAATTATTCTTGGAAAGGGCATATGACATTGAGAATGAAGATTTAATGGATTTAAAATAAATTTTAATTTTGTTTTAATGTTTCAAATTTATCATATAGATTACTTTATGATTTCATGCTTTACATTTCTTTGTTGTTTTCTTTTAATTTTCTACGAAAGTTTATTTCAATATATTTAAATCGAATTAACATCGCGGGGAAACTTTTGTCAACATTTTATATATTTTTCAAATTAATTATTTATGTTTTGATTAGAAAATATTTTTATGTAAAATTTATTTTAAGTTATATCTTGCGTGGTTCCGCATTGCGTGGCCATGTACGATAAAAAATACTTGGGGAATACTGTTTATCAAGAAGCAAAATGAATAATATTTCTTGTGTTTGTTTTATCTTCAAGGTGTTCAATGGAATACGAAAAACTGATGAGAAGGGAATAACCGCTATCGGCGCCATGTCACGCTTTTGTGTCGTCGAAATCATCGGCTGAGTTTCACACCTGGTGAGTGACCTCTTTCCAATTCTTAATTCAATTTCGGATAATCTTCCAGAATACTAAAAATTAAGATATTTTTTATCGCGCCTGATAATCGCATTTTTCTATCCAAGATTATTTGGTGAAACTATTGTGTGTATGTGTGTGTGAAAATATAAAATGTTTTCAAAACTTGCTGTTAAAATATTATATCATTATTCTTTCTACGATAGCTTTTTAGTGTTGTTTTTCAATTTTATCTTAAAAATTTATTTCGTAATTAATGTGGAAAATGAATTAGAGAGAGAAATAATAAATTCTTTATTGTTCTATTATTGCGATATAAGCAGAATAGTATTGCTGACGTGTCTGAAAATGCGAAATGGGATCTTATCGGAACCGACAGAGGCGTACACACGCCGACGTCGCCGACGTCGCCAATTTCCCGATATATATTTATATATGGAATATTATATATGTATATATTATATACGTGTACGTGTGTATATATTTCCGTGTATGTACACCCGCATCGCACGTGATGTGCACTGTCGACATATCGTGGTTAACGTCGACTCGACTCACGTGAATGACGTGCCACGCGGAATGACAATGACATCTGTTTTGGATTTACTGCCGATGGTTTTGTTATCACGTTCGTATATAATCGAATAAAATCGCAACAACTTTGCGCTCTGTTTAGATTTTCGCCTGCTATTTTTAGCAAGATAAATACAATAGTAGATATTGTCGCGGTCGTTCGCGTGGAAACGATTTCGTGCTTTATCGAGTCATGCGCGCGAAAATAACGCCGTTATAAAACGTTATAAGACGAATACATTACGCAGCAATTTCGCATAATCGGCACTCGTGCCAGCCTTTTATAGCAACGGCTCCGGCTCTTGATGCTGAAATGGTCACGACGAATCATACATTGACTATAAATCGTCTTTCGATCGAATGCTAAATTAAATATAATAAATAAATTAAAAATAAATACATTAAATTATATACAATTTACATTTTTGAATATAAAGATTGCGTCGATTAACAAATTTAATTATACATTTATAATTTCAATTTAGGAAAAAAATTTATTAAAAAGTTTTTTTATATTAAAAAAATTTGTGTATATATATAAAATATACTATGAAGTACACTATATAATATAATATAATTTATACTAGAAATATAAATGTGTTAAAAGATTTTAAAAATAAAAAGGCATTAATAATGTGCGCGTCCCATACAATTATAACATTCTATGTTAGATCATACAAAAAAAATGTAGTAATATAAAAATATAAAAGAGAAAAACGCATGTATTTTTTTATATATATTTTCTAATTTTATATCTTACATTTACGAGATTTAAAATTTTTATCGCAAAATATATCTCAACGATTTCGCTCGTGATATTCGACACGGGTTATAAAAAAATACATTAGAGACAGAATTTTTTTCCATATGTTAAAGGATTAAATCTGAAGGATATTGAGGAATAAAATCGAGTTGAAACATCGGATTACGTATTTATTGCGCAAGAAGAACGAGCTTTACATACGAAATGATTTCTTTGACTCAACTGTTATCATTCTCTTCATAAAATTGCAGAGGGTTTGTTTGTTGTTATTGGCATATTCGCGTTGTTATTGGCATATTCGCAAGCGCATGACACATATGCACGATAACACGATTTCGGAACAACCAGCTGATAATGATCCGACTGTTGGCTCGATTTGCGTCTCGCGATCGCTTCTTTAAGCGACACTTTCCACCGAGAGTTTCGTTAAACGGAAATAAACGACTGTACGCACACATGCAGATCTCGTAGATTAATGTCTACGAGATGTTCTCTCTCACTATTCGAATCTTGAACCGTTGCCAAACGTCGCGATCGAATGTAAGGTCGATCGCTGCACGTCGGAGTGACGAGCCGCCTCTGTCGACTTTCCTCTTTCTGTTATTCATCGTCGCAAAAAATATCGAAACATGAAAATTATATTTTACGTCGATGCATAAAAAGATTTTGTAGTCAGGCTTTTTCCCCGTTGTTCTTTATCGCAAAAAAGAAATGACATGAACTTAAGATTTTTTTATAGGAAGTTATAATATCTTGTTTCATCTAAGCACTTCCCGCAATGTAATTTTTGGATAGATTACTATTGAATGACGTAATACAGTTTATTGCCGACTATACTTTACGACATTAAATATTGACTGCTTTAAATAGGCGGCATAAAATCTGTACAAGGTATTTTCATCCTTTTAATCCTCTTCATGTATATAGCCTGGGTCTCGCGCTGTAAGTACTAGCAAATTTAGACCTGATGTGATATTAAAAGATATCTTGATAATATCGCTAAAATTAGTGCTGTCTAAATAGGCACTTTAAAAGCGACGAACATTCTGCGCGGATTAAAAGATAAGCGGAGAAATGTGCGTGATAAAGATTATTGACTTAATCGCGGCAAATAATTGAAAAAAAGAGCGAATTGCGATAATATCAATCGAAAAATATTAGTTGACGTCAATTGAAAGAGGCAGTGGGAACGCTTTATTTTTGTGTGAAATGTGTTACATATCTTTACTCTTTCTGTTTGTGCATCCCGTGTGGCGAATAAAAACACGTTTCCGCCGTTGAAAGTTATGTTCACGTGCGATACTACAATTCACCGATTTTTCACATTAGCTTGTTTTATTATTCACAAGGAAGATATCATTTTATATCTTCCTTGTGAATAATAAAAGGGAAAAAGAGAGATAACTAAGAAATACACGTTAGACTGTATTTAACAAATACATTTTCATTACATTAACCTTAGCCTCTGTTCGCATGAATCATGTTTCTCTTTTATTATTTAAATTAGACATATTTATTCAGACAAGTCTTTTATATCCAAGTATATTTGTGGAGATCTCTCTTCACATAAAAGACACGTTTTTTTGTCATGTTCAATCCGTCCCTCGCTCTTTTGAATTCAAATCTCGGTATGATTTCGATCATACTTTGCGAATATGCGTTCACGCGCGAATAATTGGGCACGTAGGGTGCTTGTGTGTGTGTGTGTGTGTGTGTGTGTGTTTGTGCATCACATAGATATTTTTACAGCACATGCGTTCAGTGAAATCCGTCTAAAAATATATGTCGATGGGAACTCCTTAGCTTTATATATTGGGGTCACGCCATTTCCTCGCAACCATCACACAAATTGACCCATTTTTCGAGAACGTAATTCTGCATACAGTTCTCTAGTATCATCCAAGGAATAATCTGCGTCATAATTGACGAGTTTACGGTACAATGATCTAACGTAATTTTCTTGGGACTTGAATAAAAGTCAAGTAAATTAATCTTCTCTATTTCCACAAACAAACCTAATTGTTCTAATACATTCTATATTAAACTTAAATCAATATTTAATATTTAATTTAATTTAATTTAATTTAATATTTAAATTTAAAAATGCAAGTTTTAATTCTAATTCTAGTATTAAAATTAATATTTTTAAATTGATATTTCTTTTTAATTAATTGATGGTTCTGTTTAATGACGAACCAGATTAATCATTGAAAAATTCAATTATTCTGACGAGAACGTGTTACGTTATGTTACAGAAAGCCTCGTGGTACATTTATTATTTATGAATGGATGGAGCTGCGACGGGGATCATTGAAGAAGGATCGGTTGCGGGTCTGGAAGGTTTAGAGAGATGGTGGAACAATCCGGGGATCGCGGCCTGGAGCTTTGTGCTCTTCGGCTGCTTCCTCCTCAACGCGATTCTTCTGCTCGCATTTCTTGTACGTCCCGGCCTACGCACCATTTCTAACAGGTCAGTATACCGAATGTTTCATATGGAATAGGACACTAAAATGAAAATAATTGAATTACTTTTATGCTTCAAAAAGAAATATCAACGTCAACTTTGATTATCGTATCCACTAATTCCTTAAAATTGTCTAACATTTCTTTTATATATTTTTTCTTGTTTTTTTAAATATTTCTTTTTTATTCAATATTAGAAAAAAATGGGCGGTAACTCTGAATCATTCTATGTTCCGTTTATTTATTCAGAAAAAGAACACATAATAAAGATAGATAACGAGATGACGTATATAGTTGCAAAATTACTACCGCGTTATCACCGATAAGCTGTGTTCTTGTCAATTGTGAAAGAAACGTCTATCTTTATACTTTATTTTTGAAACTCGTTAATGTGATTCATTGACGTATGCTACGACAGATATAATCTTTTTCGCGGACAGTGTAAATAGTAGCATAATAGAAGAGAAACGAATATTAAGAGTCTCATGACACTTTGCAACGTTGCGCCAAAGACCGGAAATAAAACGTACACGCTGATTGGTGCAACAATATATTTAGCTGGTGTCAGATTTGCATAATATTCGTTGAGACGCCACGATAAATAATATATCGTGCATTTATTTCACGCATGTTGCGTTCGTGCCAAGGTTAATAACCTCACAAATGCATTGATAGCGTTTGCATTTTTTCTTGAAGAATTAATAATCGACTAAGGCTTAAAGTTTATAGCCTACTATAAATAAAACGAAATAATAACGTAATTGCAATCAGAAATAGGTTTCATATTTATTACACGAATGATATTAATAAACATGTAAAATTTAAGAGCATTCTGATAAAAATTATGAATTATTTTTGAATTATTGATTATAAATAAGAATAAAAAAATATTGCATATTTTCAAGTTATTAGAATATCATATCATATCAAAATATGGTTGTCTAAAAATCGTTAAAGCTCATTTTCTTGTATTGGTTGTAGGAAGATTATTTTCGTTTTCGTTCTACGTATTCTTGTGAAGTGCACTGACGTATTTTGCATCACGCTCATAAATAAAATCGCGTTTGAAGTGTCATTTCTATAGACTCGCATTTCTTGTGAGACACTGCTAGTCTAAATATTCCAGTTTACGATTTCATCGTGTTACTGGGAATGTACGATGTAATGCGGAAAGAAAAAAAGTAGATAGATATATTTCTTCGTATAATTTTCGTTGGAAATTTAACTATCACGCTCAAATAACTCACAAAGTTTATACTTATAAGAAAATTTATAAAAAAAAATAACGCGTACACATATAAATACATATAAAGAGATAACTGACGTATATAAACTGCATGTATACTTCTGATATATATTTGTGTATACATGTGTATAGTATAATTATTTATCATATAAATAAAATATATAATTGTATAAAAAATTTATAATTATATATAATTCTGAATATTTTTTTGAAATTTAATCCTACTGAAAATAATAATTTGAATAATTTTAAATAATTTTGACGGAAAAACTAAATACGTAATGTTCATATTAGTAAGATGTATTAATAGAGTTTTGCACCACACACGAGGATTGGATCTATCATTGTTATTACGTAGAGTTCCACCTGCTGAGCCAGGAAATCAATCATACGCACCTAATACTTACCAAATTTTGGCAACTTTACCGCAACAAGTATAATAATAAACCTTCGTATTTTGAGAGTGCTTCGTTGCTAACAGTGCATTCAAAATTATTTATATTACTGTAAAAAGTTAAGTAATTTATATTACTGTAAAAAACAAAATTTATTTATCATATTATTGCATCATATCAAGGTTTTACAAAGTAAGCAAACAATGTTTTGGAATTATAATTAGATCAAAGCAATTTTTATCATTTGACAGAATGGTTGAACGAATCCATATGTCAATCTATTGACAGCACAAACGAGTAAAACGAGACACATACGTTTTTTAATTGTCACTGTTCTTTCTTAGGATAATAAATACTTTAAAAATCGTAAACAAAATTTGTCCGCGAAGAATAAAAATGATAAACAATTCGATAATTTATATATACTCTTGTACATTTCTTATATACTAATATATAACTCTTGTAATTAAAAACACGGCAGAAAAACGATGAATAATATGAATGTAATTTAGAGAAATAATGCTTTTTTCTTTTAATTGTATCTATCTTTTTTATCGAACATCACTTTTTGTCAGTGCGTTATATTAATTTGTTATGTACATTAAATTATGCTGAATTAAAATTGACACGTGTAGAATAAAATGAATAATAACATGCTTTTCCTCTCCCCCTTTCAATTTTCATTTTTCCTGCTTTACATCTCATTTTTCTGTAAGTCCATTTTAAGCATAATTATTTATATATATCCATATAATTGTGTAATAAACTATTACTTATTTAAGTTAATTTAAAAGATTTATATTCCTATTCGTCTTCTAAGTCTAAGACACTCGCACAGGTATCGAATACTATCAATATTTGATTGAAGGAAACGGCCTGCTTTATATCGATTCCAGATTCGTGATGAACCTAACCATCTCGAATTTGCTGACGTGTGCCATGCTGAACCCGCTGCTGATGATGGACGGGCCGGTAGCAGGTAACACATTGACAACATCTACATCGACGCCGAACAATGCCACGTCACCGTTCGGCTCGACATCAACGTCAACACCGACATCCGCATCGGCCGCCAGCAATATTTGCGCGATATCGGAAGGCGCGACCGCACTCGTCACAACATCATCTGTATTCTCGGTCTTACTGATCGCTATTGATCAGTATTTTGCCGTGGTGGACCCGCTGCGTTACCGGGCTCGGGTTGACAAGCTCAAGTCGGCCGTGCTGATCGTCTCCGTCTGGTTGATCTCTGCGGGATTCGGCCTGGTTGCTGCTTTGAATCCAAATCCGCGCAGTTTGTGGTTATCTTGCACGACGATGACATCAGATAACTCATCCTTCCATGAACACATCGCGCTGAACTCTTCCGCGACAGAGTTCCCGATTAACCCTGCGTTTATATTCTTTAGCAATAAAACGAGCGAGGCGGAGATCGACAACACGACACCGACGCTGCTAAAGACGATCGAATCTATCAAAATTAATCGCAGCGTCGGTCTCCTCGAGAACTCTACCGTAATCTTCCGTAGTCTGCCCAACGATTCCGTCACTTATGGACTCGTCTATGCGATCGTTTACAGCGTGTTTGCGTATTTATTTCCGTTCGCCGGAGTCTGCTGGATCTACATCAGCATTTATTCGGCCGCGCATCGGAACTCTGAGAGAACTCGCAGGACCGGCTCGCGACCGATTCTTTCGTCAGCCAGCTTTTGCGAAGATTCAAGGTCGCAGCATCAATCCATCGACGTGTTTCCGGAAGAGTTCCGCAGGATACCCAAAATCTCGAGTCTCTCATCCATTGATGAAACCAGCGAGACCGCACATTCGGCCAATCAAACGTCGCGTCGAAGATCCTTCTCCTCGGACATTGCACCATCGGGACCAAACGACGAAAGACCCTCATCGGGAGTCGTTTTCACGGTCGGTTTGCAACCAGTGGAAGTCTCGCCTTCGCGTGAACAAGATAACGATAATAATCTGACAGAGGCGGCAGATCTCGAGAAGGATCGCGACACTTCAAGTTATGAGACCCTCGTCGGAAATCAATTTAATAATACGGAAGCGAATCACAGACGGAAATCGTTGCACGATCTAACAGACGAAGCTGGAGAATCTTCCCAATGGATCGCCGGAGATTCTAGCGGATCTGAATCCGAGGACGATCGACATTATAGTTATTTTGATTCCTTGAAAATTCCTAATACAACTCGTAAGATAGCAGACGAAAGATCTTCCGATTATCTCTTGTCATTCACTAGATGCGAGACGACGAAAGAACAGTGTGAAAACACAGAAACTTCCATACAGGATTCTCTCGAGAGTCAGATAGTTTGTCATGTTGAAGAAGCAGAGAATTCTATCACGGTTAAAAGCGCAGAACAAGAACAGATTCAAAATGAGATCTCGAGTTTCAATAGTAATTCGGAGAACAAGAGATCTAGACGACCGAGTCGCCGTTTGTCAAAATCTGGCATTTTGGAAATTAACGGGGAATCGCACACGATTGAGCGTAGAAACGCGGATAACAATCTGGAACCCTCGTCTTGCCTTTTAACACCGATCGTGACAATCACTCCAGCGCCCGGAAAGCCAGGTACTCTGCACCGGGCGGCCAGTGTTCGCAGTACGAGCAGTTATATCAACTGTATCAAGCATAGGATTAGTAACGGCTCTTTGTTTAAATATCGCGAAGAGACCCGGGCGGCCAGGATCAGCGCGCTGGTGATTGTCATGGGTCTGATTTGTTGGTCGCCGTACGTATTATTAAGTGTCATGAAGAATCTGCCACAGTACTCGGACTACGAGTTCCCGCACGAATACGATGTGTTTGCTCTCAGCTTTCTGATCCTGGCCGCTTACGCGAGCCCGTTGCTCTTCGGTTATCGGTCCAAACGGGTAAAGCGAGAGTTGCGCAAGTTTTTTTGCTTCCATCGCGAACTATCGTACAAAAACAATCGAAGCCTGATGGCGAAGAAGGTGCTGAAACGTCGACATAGCAGTACTTTAAGTCACTTGGAAATGGACCACCGATATAACATCTTCAATTGCGTCTACGGTAGAAACAAGTGGCCCAAAGAAAAGGTACAATTTGTACAGGTGCCAGATACCGCTCTTGCGGTGGAGACTTGCAGAAGTAGCTTCTCCAGTGGCGCAAGTACGCAGATTTCCAGCACGTCCACGGAAGAGTGTTGAATCGCGATAGATTTCGCGAAGCTGTGCGTCGAAATCGCGAGAGAATTAGTTCCTTCAAAGATCAATATAATTATATGTGAAAAGAGATACGAACGTGAGAGACAGCGTAAATTATTCCTGCGTTTATGTAGGTGCAAATTTGTCGGTGGTCTTCGAGCAATCGAGACAATAACGAAATAAATGACATGGTCGAATGAGAGAATGACAGCTTATATATATATGTTTTGATGTACGACTCGGCATACTTTCGGCATGAATTTGTCATAGTTTTTACGTGTTCCAGAGATAGATCGCTCTTTATTTTCGAATATATGAATAAGGCCAAATGACGTTTTCGCATATTTTCTTGCTGTTTTGAATTCGTATAAATTGTTCTTTTTCCAACGACACACTTTGTCACTTATACGTAAACGCGAAAGAAACAGAATAAAAGTACAATCGGTCGTCGTTGAAGCAGTTTGTTTTGAAAACGTCGCGAATTTGAAAGCTCTCGGTGAGAGACCTTGTCGTAAACTAAATAACACGTATTGACATCACCTTGTATCGCAATCAAAATAAACAATTCGTTGCATCGTTTCGAGCTTTGGCAAACGGCGCGATGACTGTTTGATGAAGAGAGCATTCGCATTAGTATTAAGAGCATTATTGTCATCGGGTATTAGCCAGCTCGAGAAGTATTAGAGTTCGCCAAACCCGAGAAGGAGGCTTTAGACTTTACGCTTATTTACACACTGCGTCCACTTCCTTCTGCATTTGTTGCATTATTTGGTGCACGCAGGTAGATCAATCGATGCAGTAGCGTACACTTTTGAGCAGCTATTTATTCGAGTCGTATTGTCGTACGATTCTATGTAGATATGTACACAGCATTTCATGACAAAATCATCGTCGAGATGTTTTGATGCCTCGTCGAAGATATCGCTCGTAATTATTATTTTTGTACATTACAAGAATATATATACATATACGTACGCTCATTTATATTTATGTTAAATAATTTGTACATATAGAGAAAAAGAACGGCGAATCTCATCACTGCTAGTTCGTATTCTGTATGTAGAATTACTTGTATTCTATATGTAGAATATTACTTGTATCCTGTGTGTGTAGAATTTCATCAGTGTGTCCAAGTGGTCCGTAGTAATGTGTGATACATTATCATTACCGTTTTGTATTATCCGTCATGGTGAATTCAACACAGGCTGTCTATAACATGTGATAACACGAAACCAATCGCCACTTAATATTAATTAATTTATGTGACTTTCTCAATAAAATATTTTTTGCGAGAGGCAATTGATGATGAGTGCATATATATGAACTGTGTATTTCGCGATTCCTGGATCAATCCACTTCCTAATAGATACTTAAAACACGTATAGATCACAATTACTTTAATTATTTTTGTGGATTTCTAAGATCTTTGTAAAAATCACAAATTCTTACACTTTTATTACAAATATCTATTTTAAAAGCATAAAACGCTTTAAAGATTGTCGAAAAGTTTAGCAAGCTTTTTATAAAATTCTTTATCAAAAATCTTATGTAACTTATGTAATTCGCCGTATGTTCATATGTTGCAACACATTAAATATAAATAAAACAGGATCCTTAATTATCGCAGCTGTTGCTTAACGCGTTCGTACAATTTCATAAATCTCACTTCGACGCGAGGAACTTTAACTCATCAACGAAAAACGCAAAAGAAATATCGCACTTACATTTCTTTGTATTCTTACCATCAACCATAAAAACTGTTATATTTATTGATATGCGATTTTCGACGTGCGATTTCGTCTTGCATTTTTCTTCAAATTGATTTCTGATTAATGTTAATGAGTTATTAACATCATAACTACGCGATTTGTACTGACAATGAGCTTATATATGGCTCAAAACTATGTTATTTACAACTTATTCTTTAGAGCAACAATTTTTCACGACTTATAATCGAGAATGTTCATAGATTGGCGATCGTGCCGGAAATCGCGGCAACTCTAATGTTGATTGACCATCATCATTAGTAAATGTGCTATTGTCATATGCTGACGAAGTAGTCTTTGTCATTTCCGTGTCTGCTGTTTTCTTCACTTCCGCAGAACCGTCCATTAGAAACATAGTGAAAAAGAACATAATAGAACCTACAAATAAAACATTATGAGATTGTTGCCCAAAAAGATTCATGTAAGAAGTTTCATTAATCTTATAATTATTTTCATTTAGATATTAAAATGATTAAAAATATTAAAAATATATCATAATAATTATTATTAATTGTAATTATGTATACAAGATAACGTATATTACCAATTAATCTTGCAAGAATTTAATTCTTTACGTTTTTATAAAGATCTTAATGACACAATTCATGAAGATGAACGATTATATGAAATAATGAGATTTAATTTTCCATTCTATTACTTACTGATGCCATATGCGCCAGCGTAAAAAATGAACAACGATTCTCGAAAACCAATGGTTACTCTGATGGGTTCAACAAGAATCGGTAGGTTTCCGCCAATGTTATTCATGACGAACAAAAAGACACCGACGGTAGTCGATCGCAGATTTAAAGGAACGATCTCCACCACAATAGCGAACAGTATTCCAAACCACATTTCGGCTGCGAGCAAAACGATAAATAATCATAGAATATGGAAATATAATCATCACATGCATATATATGCGATATAGTATAAAATATATATCAAATATATATAATAATTTAATTAATTATTAAATTATATAGAGTTTCTTTGAATGATTTTGCGAATTTTTATTTCATATTTAACATCTTACCGAAGAAGTAAGAGATTCCCAGTGTGATCATAGCCCAAAGAGGATTAAAGTATACCGAACCGAATGCAAACGGCGTCGCAATTATTTGACTGATCGTCAAACAAGCTACGCGTGATCGAATTCCCATTTTCGCCACAAACTTGTCGCTAATTATCCCGCCGGCCACGACACCGATGCTGCCGATGACAATCGTGACAGCGAAAAGCCACCAACCGAGATCATAATCTGGGAAGTATTCCCTATAGTACAGATCACAATTGTAAGCGAAGCACAAGCCACCTGTAAATAGAGATGAAAGTTTCCGATTTAATTATATTTTTTTAAAGGGATACATGATACAATTGAAAAAAGATTGTGATATAGATAACAAATGTGTGAATTACTCAATTGAAGAGGGAAACAAATTTGCTAATTAAATCCGAAATTTCTTGTTAATTTTAATTTTTACACTTGTTTTTAAATTTGAAAAAAATTTGTTTTAATTAAATATAAATTCTACCTCAAAATTTCTGAAAAAAATTTGGTTATTTAGTTACTCGTCACAATCGACTCATTCCCTTCTTTAAGTCAATAAGATTCAAATATTTCAAAGATTTTAATTATTAAAAAAAGAGATTGGAAAAAGGGGTATGCCATTATTGCCATTATATATTAGGGGTATCGAGGCGAATTCGCCGATTTACTGCAAACTCATAGACATGTACTCTCGATATGTATCTCAATCCTTTTGCGTCAAGGTATTGCCCTTTACCGCAATGTCTGATGCTGGCGGCGAGGCATAAGAGAATAATGCGCGGTTGCAGTAGCACTTTCCAAATCGATACTTGCTTTCCGTCATTGGCTTCTTCGCCGATCATTTTTCTCTCCGGCTCGGTGAGCGTCAAACCGGTGAGAACAGCGATGATTAAACCGATCACACCGGCACCGTAATAACAGACTCTCCATCCCTGTCGATTAACGATTTGTTCCGATTACGTTAATTCTTAATTATACATCTTACAATCAGTTAAAGCAGCATTTAATTTATAGCGTTATTAACGTAATTGTTAGCTATGTCATGGTATTCTCTCGTGTCGTCGATATTTAGTCCTAAATTATAGTTATTTTTTTACATCGTTGGAAAAATATATATATATTTTCCATCGGTACTATGATTAAAGCAAGTCCAGTTTAATTTATCGTGTCCTCTTTTTTCATACATGCTTTCCTTCCGCGCGAAAATTATTTCGAAATGTATATCAAGCAATTACCTGTCAGACGTTAGAAATCATAACGCGGACAAAGAGAGGAAAAGACAATAAAAGAGACAATTGACTCACCAGATCCCAGACGTTTAGTTCGGGTATGTAGCGACCGACCGGAAAGGCAATGCCGTAACCGCCGTAAATGCCCCAATTAAAAATGGACATGACGAGGCCTCGTTGCTGTTCCTCGAACCAGTCGGACAGAAGACCAGTCGCCATCGGATTGCATCCTGCCTCCCTGCGATATTCGTTCGGACTTAATTAACTGCGATCCTCTATTGTCGTTCGCGAATGAACGAATCAACGACTGGAAACGGAAGTGCCATAATTACTAAAACTCACCCCGCCGCCAGGACCATTCGCAGAATAAGAAGCTGCCAATATTCCTTCACCGTCCCGCTCAGGAAGATCGCGATGCTGAATACCAGAGTGCAAATCGCCAGCAGCCTCACTCTGGAAACGCGATAGATGCAATACTCGTGGGTTACATAAATTATTAATTGATTTTGTTAATTACCTGTTATATCTGTCAGCCGCAATGCCCAAGATAATACCGACGATCGTATAGATCGCGATGAAGCTAGGCCCCGCCAAGATTTGATAGTCCAGACCGAGGCCATTGTAATTCCATTCGCAGTAATAAGATCCGTTCAATTCCAGGGACTCGCAGCTGTGGAACAAAGAACGCATTATGCGAGAACTGAGCGAAAGTGCAACGCGATGACGAATGCGATAAATTGTTGTGCGCGTATGGACAGCTTTCGATCTGGTTGATTGATGCTCGAGAATTATTGTACAAGTGGAATTTAGAGACGGAGATGAGAGATTTTTTTTCTATCGTGAATCGCGAAATTATTCGTGGCATTTAGCAATTTTGCCGGTATGTTGATGACGAGTCAATTAATCTTGATGTCGTGAATCCCCTCGCGACGCTATCTTGTTCCATTATCGACGCGTGACTTATTGTCAACGGTATCAAGCCAGTGAATCAATCACAATCACTCACAAGGAAGTCGATTTGTCAGAGGAGGAAATACTGACTGCTAATTACGCTTACAGTTACGTACGATTCTTATTTTCAGCTGGAATTTTTAGAGCATATATATATATATATATATATATATATATATATATAACTGACACTAATTAGACTTACTAGGTGGAATTCTTTGCAACTTCGCATTGCACCGGAAGGTCGACTAGCCATAACGTCTTCGAATTAAATTGGCAGGAAATATCGCCATAATGCAGGTCCTTGGCGATCTCTTTGCTCGTTACACCTTCCCAAAAGGATTACCGTTAGTAAAACTAGAAATGCATTGAGAACCGCAAAATGTAGTATATGAAAAGATAAAAAAAAGATTCTAAAAATAAAAAATAAAATATTATTGAAATTAATAGTTAAGACAAATTAGATGATTAAAATATCTAAAGAATAGAGAGTATCAATGGACTTACCTATTACAAAATGACCTAATTCTGCTAGGACATAGCCGATCGACAATATAGCCAACGCGTAAGGTTTGTAAAGAGATGCCAATTTTTGCATCATCAAACGAAACATTCTTGCTTGATCTGGAAAACATATAACTTGAACAGGATCTTTTTTTACTTGTGCAGCAAAAGGATTATGTAATTAGCATGCGATGAGAATTATAGTTGTCGCATTTGTTGGACATATCAACTATCGCGTAGTTAACTGCGAACCTTGTATTATTATTCGGAAGGATTGCGGATAATGTGCATGCAGTAAATTGCGATGAATTTAATTATGAGATACCTAAATAGCGTTTTTGAACATGTATGTACGTAGAAATTGCTGCGATTTTTCTTAAAAATTAACTTGATTAATATTTACATTTATATAACTTTGATTAAGAATTAATGATTTTTAAAATTCTCGTAAAATACCAGGTTTAATTTCTTTTTAAAGAAAAAAAATATGGCATACATAGATTTTTACGCAGATATTTATTGTTTAGCAAAGATTAGTGTCATTCATGAATATGAACAATGACGATTGCGTGAACGAATGCGTTCATCACCGAAACGAGAGGATGAGATCGCGAATCGCGATTAGAAATTACAAGAAAAACTGCTATTACGAAACTGACTTTATTATTCGTGATTAATCGACAGTATTTTAATTTCAATACTTTAGCCAGCTAGTACGTAGTATTATGCTGATCAATATATGGTATCAATCGTTCAAGGTAATTTATATACAATACCATTGTGCACACATAGAGTGTACGAGCTTAAAAGTAAGCAAGTGGCGAGTGCATTTTGCGATCTATGTCCACTCTAGCATTAGATCGAAAGACAATGGAAAACATTCTAATTGTTGAATTTACGAATATACATGTTATACACGTTCTATCTAACAATAAGAATCGTTGTTTTAGGATCGCGTAGGAAAACTTGTCAGTATAAAAGTCACTGTAAAATTATAATTAAAAGAAATAAATACATATTATACGTTAAAAGATATATAATGTAAATATATGTTAATATATCTTATTTTCTGCGGATGTTATGCAATTTTATCGTTACAGATTTATGTTTTTGCCCTATCATGTTTATAGATTACTAGGTTACTAGGTTTAGGTAAAAGAATCAATAGGATTAGCAAGATATATTAAATATTTTCTTAATTATAATAAATAATTTTGACAACGTGTAACGTTTTCTTTAAATTTTATATATATTTTTAACTTGGTTTTGTAATATTATTAAAAAACGATAACGGAAATTGCAAACGTTATTGTGACAGTAATGATAATAATAACAAATTACTTTCTAAAATTGGTAATAAATGATGATAACGAGTTATTCTTAACAAAAGAAACGATAACAGTAACGAGTTATTAAAGTAGTTTTTTTAACTCTAAACAACAGCACATTTTCGCTCATTCCAACATTATTTTCGCACGTGTCGCGTTTGACACATGATAATTCGCGCAAGAGAATGCGAAATTGTGCGCTTGTTTTCATCATGATTTTATGTGATATCACGTTTCATCGCACGCACGAGTATCATCTTCAGGGAAGAAAGATTCATGATTATGATTGTGATTATGATAACGAACGGAAAAGCTCGTGTTCTCGTACACGCGCGAGAAGTTTAATACACGAGTCTTACCGCACATATACATTGTAAGGCCAGATCACCTTGAACCAAAATCATTGAGATGGAAAGAAAATTGTCATTTGAATATTTTTAGTATCATTCAATTTGTTAGGATAACGACTCGCTACTTTAAGCAGAAAGAACATCCCTTTAGAGCGAATCATATTTTAGGATCAATCTCTCTCACTTACTATTAATTTAAATCTTATATTTTATATGTCATGTATCTTATATCTTATATATGTAATGTATAAATTTTTATTTTTGTAATGCTTATTTTACTTTTCATAGTTTATTTGATATATACATCAATTTGATTTATAGGAATTTATAAAGCTATGCAATACATTAAAATGAGGCAAAAATAAAACTGACGAAATTTTATGCTACGGAGAATCCATTTTTAAAAGCCGTTATGTTTCATTTAATAAAGCAATAAATATGAAAAGAAAATAATGATATTTTTGAAAAAATGACGATGTGAAATCGATGAAGGAATCATTGTTCGAATAGCATGGACATCTCAAATTAGCAGGGACATTTCAGTATCGAGAAGAAATACGATTATATGAATAGATACAGTGGAGGAATTCCTTCATTAGAATTTTTATATGTCGATAATTGATACAGTGAATATCAAGATTTAAACTTGACAATGAGATGTAAAGCTATAATAATCATAAAATATGTTACACGACAGTAAATTTTTCGTTTCAATGAGCGTTCTATTAACGTCAAAGTACATCTGATGTATGGAAGCGATGCAATCTGTAATTCAATCCGCTGTAATTGCACGCGCGAATAGTGTGCTGATACAGTCATAGATACCGATACATGAAGCATAATTATTTGTTATAATTAATCGGTGTTTGCATACGTCCGTTGTAACTAATTTTTATTTATTGTTATTTATTGTATTTATTTTTAATTATTTGTTTGATTATTGTACGGTTGAAGAATGTAAGAGGCAAGATTCGTACACAAGTCTATCATTGGCAATGCGTGAACCGCCCACAGGGTATCCCGGAAATTCTTGGGCGGGAGAAGCACGGAATGTGATTTATGTAAAAATCCTTGATTGCTCACAATAGATGGATAAACGCATAAATAAGATTATAACGAATGGGTGTATGTACTATGCGAAATTATACGTTATATCTTTTCGCGGCATCTTCGCCGCATTCGATTTGCAAAGTACGAATAAAGCTATAAAAATATCGTAAGCGAAGTTTCCGCATCGTAGGCAATAATGATATTTTATCGGATAACAATAAAAAATCACCGTCTCAATTATATTTTATTGTGTATTTGAGCGTTTAAAAAAATAATGGGAATGCTAATAATAATTCTATGCTAGTTTATATAATATAGTGGATGTTATAGATCGGGAATTTCTGAATATTATGCATCGATTCACGCGGACGCTGCGGACAATGTTTTATATAATTGTTTATTTTATTTTTTTAATTATAGCTCGCGTTTGTACAAATAATTCATTCGATGCGCTTGATACAGCAATCTTACGAAGCGTTTCTTTTTAACTTTCTTTAACTCGATAATTAGCACGGTGTGTAATATAATTAATCTTCATTGTGCGAAATTATCGCGCATATTACCGTATTATTGCACCGCAGACACACGCGTTAATAAGTCTGATGCAGAGCAGGTAACGAACTCGTGTGTAACAAGTTTCCAAGCAATACTTGCGCTTATGAGAATTTTCGCTAATAATTCCAATGCGACAGTTGTAGAGCATATTCTTCTTGGAAACTTTTATTATTTTTTGTAATTAAAAATCTTTTGAGATTTTCAAGTGGATCAAAATTGCCACATATCCATAATTCGTGGATTTTTTAAATATCCGTCACTTTATTCGTTATTTTCGAAATTTCATTGATTGCGTTTTTAAATGTAAATTATGAAATAATAAAAATAATATATGAAAGTATAAATATATGAAAATATAAAGGTTAAAGTAATCGAGAAACATCTACTAAGTTCAAACTTTAACTAGAAATTTAGTTATTGTCAATATTTATTATTACAAAGTAGAATTGAGTGATGGAAATAGAGACGTCAAAAAATGCATATTTAAAAAACGAACTTTAATTAAAGTTTCTTTAAAGCTACTTCGAAGATTATATAGTAAAATTGCAAAGCAGAGAAAAACGAAGATATATACGATGTTGTTGCAACGTCAAAGTTGTAATTTACGGGATAAAATATAGATCGCGTCTTATATCTTATTATGCGCAAAAGTGTCATTTGTTTATATTTTATCAACATCGATTAGAAGAGAAGTACTTAATTGGAAAATCGTTTCGCAACGTCAACGTAACGATAAGCGGAACAAAAGGACGCATCAAAAAAATATTTATTTTTAATAAGCAATTGCATAAATGTGTTTCTTAGAAATGTAAAGATTCTAGGTAGAATCTAGCAATGAAGAACCTAGTAATTTTGTTTTATAGTTATAAGTAATCACATTTTTTTTCGAAGAAATTCTACAAGAGATCAAATGTTCTCACCCTTAAAAAAATAATCAACATATTGAAACAGTTTTATCAGTTACAGATATAAAAATTGATCAATTGATCGATACATATAGATCGAACTTTCAAGATACATATCGTATTATACATTGTACGTTCACATGTTGCCAATGATTAGTATAGAACAAAAACGAAGGAGTAGATCAAGGAGAAACGATGCATCTGATATTCGAATAACAGACAGTAAAACATGCAAAAATGGTATAAATAATGAATTGCATAAGATAATTAGAATATGAATATGTATTTATATACATGATTAGAGTATAATATGTATTCATATATATATATATATATATATATATATATATATATATATATTCGTATTCAAATTAGTTATTTATCAATATATTTTTATCTCTGTTCATCGACAAGCTAATTTATCATTTTCGTGATACGTAATCTGTTTGCGAATCTTAAAGCTCTTATACGATAATTTTCGTGAGTATATATTTTTACAATAATGGTTTACTCTCGGCTCTCCCTTTCGATACATTATTTATACATCGCCCAGAGAGCACCCCTTCTTCCCCCTTTCTTCCCCCCGTTGGATCGATTAAAAGCCATCTGCTGTCTCGCTTTTCCCGAGGGGAGCTTTTCGTATTTTCCAACCGATTGGATTTAATGATTTTTCCAGCATCGTTCGAGAGAGATTCCGCAGGGCGACGAACATCATTGTGCTTATACAGGGTGTTCCACGAAGCGTGCATCATATTACGGGAACGCTCTTACAAGCTTAGAGCTGACCTTTCTTTGGTGAAAGTTTGATCGTAATGAAAAATATATATTTACTATTACAGCAATATGAAAGTTTTATTTGAGCAATGCTGTTTTTTAATATCATATTGAAATTTTTACTTTTTTTCTAAATATGTAGAGGATAAATTTAATTGCTCAAAATAAATATATCGTCTTTTTTATATAAAAAATTTTTATATAAAAAATTAAATAGAAATCTGTACAAATGATTCTCGTCATATAACGATCTCAATAACTAGTGAGATACGATAGGAAAGATTATATACAATGAAAATAGTATAGGTGTTTTATGTCGATGAATACCAACTAATAAGTAGCTATTTATAACATATGAGATCATCACCTAATAAACGTATATTACATAAATCCATTAAGTTATCCACGAATTTACTCCGCATATTAACTTAATTCATAATTGCACATGCAGTAAATGCGAGACAATACACGTGTCATGAATACGAATGACGCGATACTGTGAATGAATGCGAATTTACGTGATGTACATCTATTAACCATAATTATTCGACCAGTTGCACAATTTATTGATTATTAGCATCCACCATTATTGCATCTTGCAAATATTTACAAGACCATTTTAGTTTAATTGAAGCGTGCATTTATTGTATGCAATCAGAGATCTGACACTATTTACTTATTTGCAAGATTGCGAAATTGAAGTTATGACATAGAGATATGGCTACAAAAGAGATATAAAATAAATCAATAATGATTTCGCGCGAAATGAAAGATCACGTCACTATCTATAGCCACGTCAAGTTCGCGTCATTCGCATTGATCGAAGCGGATGCGAGAGATTTTTAATTAGAGCTTTGTGCACCAACAAGTTGAAGGCTGAACGAACGTTATGGGCGTAGATCGTGCGTCGGCATCCCGGATTGGACGCGGATCTAACGGGCCTCTATCGCGAGTTACGAGCCCCGCAAATAGCGCGGAACAGCGCGGCATAATAATTGCGCCAGCATTAATTAATTAATTAATTGTCGATCGACAACAAAAAATTCATTATGATTATGCGAGTTGTTCGTATCAATCAATTTGCAATCAAAAAGTAGTTTATTCAGCATTTGAATTTATCAATTGCCAATGAGGGTACTCTTCGTGTTTATTAAATTTCGCGAATCCTATTATATATATATATATATATATATATATATATATATATATATATGTATATACACACATATATATATATATATATATATATATATATATATACATATAATATAATTGACTTTCATATATGTATGCGTATGCGGATTTCAATTTTTGCACGTGTCGATTCTCTTTCACTAAGCAGTGTTTTATAAATAGCGCAACAAGATAGCTGTGGAAACACGAGTCTTATACTAACGTACATATTGTATAATATATTGTAGGTATGCCTGGAATTTTTTGCATATTATCTTTCCTTTATACGTTCATTCGATACTTTCACTACATGTCTTTTTCCGTATTCAATCTCACTCATACAAAATCCAGTTCAGCGAACGTTATATGGGATATATTATACTTTATATATATATATAAAGTTTTAAAATATTTAATATAAAGAGCAAATATTTGTAAGTTGAAATAGAATTAATTAAAAAATATGGAGAATATTAGGAAAAGGAAAATAATAATTTAAAGGAATATTCTATGTACAATGTACAGCCAGTACATCATAATTCTATAAGAAGGAATGTTCTGACACAAATCTCAGAATAAAGTCAAAATAGGGCAGAATAAAAAAATATATAAAATTTTTCACATATACATAAAATTTTCTTGCAAGTGGCTTGCCTATTTCTGTCGTAATAAATTTTTTACAAAATAAATATAATATAACGCTAAAAGTATAAACAGCATATTTTTATCGCTTGAAAAAAGATAAATTAACAAGTAATTTATTCTTTTTTGCTTCATATAAAAATTTTGTCGAAAATCAATAAAATTACGAAGGAGAAAATTACTTACATATGTTTTGACACACAAAGTCCGTGATCAAGATCCCCAGACTCCAGAAAGGATTAATAAGAATCCGCGTTCACATTAATATTGGATCGGCCGCGTAAGAATCTAATCCGCGTAAGATGATAAGGGAACTGAAAGAGGAGAAGGAAATAATGAGAAAACACGAGAGAGAACCGGAACGTTCTTGCGGATCGATCTCTCCGCGTGCGGAGGGTGGAGCGTCAAATGAGGCGCGAGTCGGCAGCCAAGCTTCATTTATAAGAAAGTGTCCAAGGATCTTCCTTCTGTCAGCAGCAGCCAAGCGAGGAAGGGATACGAGACAGAACTACGGACTTTGCGATGGTGTAGATGTAAAAACTGTACTTCTCTATGGTGGGAGATCGCCACTACTACGGGAATACTCGCGAACTTCAATTTTCAAGGTCGCGTCGAGACTTGACCGCTTGCACTTCGCTCATTATATCATCGCGTTTGAAACGGCAGAGAACGGAGAGAAGGGAAACGGGGAGATACTTGACTATGACGTTCGCCACGGAAACAAAGAAGTCCTTCGAATCACGCACACTGGTAATCCAGCAGAAAACATGAAATATGGGTTTTAACTCGGATAATTACCATGTAACCGTATTTAGAGACATTTATGAGAGTAGATTGGCTTATCCGAAAGGTAATTATTAATATACCTTATACAGAATCTGGGCACCATTTAACATATTGATTTTGTTCTCTTACTATTGCAATTTTCAAACGTGTGAAAAACTATTCAACAATAGCTGACTAATTAGTACTTCTCAACTCCTAGGAAGTGCTAATCTCTATCGAGTGGTAGAGCACAATAAGCAGTCTAGGGTGATTAACCTCGTAGCTCGTAATGGTTCGTACATACGTGATACATGTGATTGTATATAACATTGACATACTTCCCCATCTTCTTTTTGTCATGATTCTTATGCGTGGCAATACAATAATAGAGACAGGAGCAGGGCATACACTATTGATCGCTAATCGGAAAACGTGATCTTTGGGAGGAGATTAAATGAAAATAATCACCTACCAGGAGTATTCATCGTGCCGCTCCTTCGAGACGTGTCTCGATGCGAGATCTAGCTTTTTTAAACGATAAATTACATTCATTTACTACATTCCATATATTTATGTTATTGCAAAACGGTATTATTTGAATCTAGATGAAAAGATAGAAGTTAAAATGCGAGTTGATGTTGTCATAAATCTGTACATTTTTCAGGCATGTCGGTTTTATAGTCATTCACTATCTGAATTTTTTAATTTTAAGATTGTAAGAGATGGATCGAATGTAGCAGGACAAAAATGCTATTAAACGAAATGCAGCGGAAGTTTTAGAATATCACATTGAAATTTAGAAAGTTTGCTGGCGGAAATAATTGGACTAAATTTTATTTAATTATTTCCACTTATTTGCTACATTAAAAAAATAGTACATGTTTTTTTCTGTCCTTCTCTTTTTCTCTTTCTCTTTGATTTAATTAACTTTACACCCTGCCGATATCGCATTTAAACGCTTCACGCTCGATTCTCCCTCGCTATCGAACGTGTCAGCCACACGTGACAAGTGCAACAATCGACGTTACCGTCAACGATACGAACGAGAACTCGCGACATAATTGAAAGATGCACACCCGCGGTACGTATGTATCAGTGGAAGGCCATTTGATTCGCGAGCAAAACCTTCGTCCCCGCAAAAGCGCGGGTCATTAGTGACTCGGAGATACTGATTATGGATCTAATATTGTCCACAAGCGACCCCGACCTGATTTTTAACGAGCGACAGGAAATTTCGATGCCAATTAATTCGAACTCGCTTTGTTTCAGAAATGGAACGCGTGAATTATCGTTTAATACGCGCACCGTTTATGTTTACATAATGCAAGTGTTTTTAAATTTTAGTAAATTTATTTTTTATCTCTCTTTACATCTTTACAATTTTCAGATTATCAGATTTTTAGATTATTTTCACATTATTTAAATACGAATTAAATTATAAATGTAATAAACGATTACGTGTTCTTAGGAGATTTATATATTCTTATAAATAATGTATGTGAAACAAGCAAACGTGCGCTAATAGATATCATCGCAAAAGGTCGGCTGGGCAAATCTTTCAATTAATCTCGCAATGATCAAATAATATCGATCTGAATAATTGATCGATTAAGATTTGCGCACAGGATTTTTTGCATGCCAGAGTGAAATTCAAAGGAAATTGCACTCGGGAGAGATTTGTAGGGGAATTAAAGGAGTGTGCCTTCAGTACGCACTCTCGTTGTTATCGACCATCACCGAAGAGGCCGAGCCGAGCTGGCTCGAGTAAAACCGAGCGATACCGAATTGCGGACGCAGAGTTGAACCGCTCCGTGAGTCTTCCCTTCATCGGCCCAGGACCTAGATCCCGTCCTGCAAACGCGCAGATCGAGATTTCGGACTACTTGTCGATCGCGATCTCGAGCGAGCGAGCGATCGCGAGGTATTTCACGTTTACGTTAGCGTCTTTAAAATGGATGCGAGAAACCGGAAGAAATCAGGCGGAAGAATCAGAATTACGGACTAGCACTGTGTTTACATTTTCTGAAGAGAAATACCAGGATTTCTCGACGTTGATAGGAATAGAGGGATCTTAATTAGATCCACCGGTGAAACGGAATATCTCACTCGACGATCGATCATATGTCAGTGCCCTGACGTATTCTTCACATTTCGTGACTCGATCGTGCTCTTTATATCTATTACGATTCATCGTGTCAATATTCCGCGCGTTAATAATGGCCCTCAAAGTGTTATCCATGGATCTGCGCGATAATTCTCATCTCGATTTCGTCTCTTTCAATAATCATTGACATGTCGTAGGTGCATTAGGTCCATCGAACTTAATTATTTGCGCGCGATATCACGTCGTTCATGATTTTAATTCAATTTTGATCTCAAATGCAGTGACGACTCGTCATTTTTATACCAAACGCTAATGTCTCGCTTCGGGTTTAAGTTTAATTAAATCCAAAGTGAGAGACGCGCAAACTCACGCGGGATGCGAATATTCGTGACAACTCCCTTGAGTCGCTAACATTTTGCAAGTGCCACGAGTGCAATTAATGTCGCGTGTCATTAACTCTTGTATTTGATTTAAGCCTCCAAGAGGCTACGTGCGAAACTCGTACCGCAAATATCGGTGACGAAGTAGTCATTATCGCTATGAAAGCGAGCGGTTTCTCGAACGACGATCATGCACCGTGACAATCCACTGCACGACAACTGGTTAATTTTTGGCAGTTTTTCGTCAGCAATCATGGCAAATGTCGAGCGGCCACACAACAGTGTGAACGCGAAAACGTAAGTTACGCTCTTCTTTATGACTTTTTTCTGTATTGTCATTCCTTCCGCTTTGCAAGACTTAAAATCGTTTTCTGATGATTTGGAACGTCCTTCATCTAAATATATAATTCGGGTATACGTACAATAAAGTGCTTCATCATTCGTTGTCTTCGATTCACTCTCCAACAGCCGCGTTATATTACTATCGTATAAAAACGCAGTGAAAAAACGCGTGAAAAAATAAACCTTCGCATGCGGTTCTATCCTTTCGATCAAGCATTTCGTCACTTACTTTTATTTCTTTTATATCTTTTTATTTCTTTTAATAATTTTTCAACAGATACTATATATATAGAGAGACTTCTTAATTTTAAAAATTATCTTGGCAATGTTAAGCTTTTTAAATTATTTTTCTCCCTCTCTCTTTCTTTTTCTCTCAGGATAAAATCAATTAAAATTGATTACCAATTAATTTGAAAGTAAAATTTCGTCATTTACTTTTTCGTATTGAGACTGGAGCGAGTCTTCAACAGGGCTTTGTTAGAGACAGACGTTAGAGAAAGAGATGAGGGATTTACAGCATTTTTTTTCATTCTCAATCATTGTACCTCGTTACTCGAGTCCGGTGGCGCAAACCTACGTAATTATCGGCAGCTTTAACGTTACGTGGGCCGACACGAGAATAATAGTCAAGGTCAGGAGCGCGGACAGTGCTGAAAAACGAAATATCGATTGCGCACCGTGTCGCATCGGCCGCATTTTCCCTTGTGACGCACGTCGTTGCAACACCGCGAGATGCATCCAGCATCCACGCAGCGGATACCGCACGGAATGCAACTGTAGCGCGCTACCGTCGAACCTTCAGGTCTTCTAGAGAGGGTCGAAGGGTCAGAGAGAAAGAGAGAGACAACTATGAACAATTTGGGCCCATTTCTCTCCCCCCCAAAAATTCAAACAACTTTCATTCATTATTTTACTTTATTCACCGTTAATTATTTTTTTCGGCAGCATTCACGAGCTGGAACATTAATATAATTATTTTATTAGATTTTATTATCACTACAGTCATCTAGATTTGCAGAATCTAATAAAATCTCGTTATATTTATTTTTTCTTTTTGTGAATCTTAGATCCTCCTCGGATTTCCTGAGATTGTTAGTTAGATATACATATGTGTGCTGTTAGATATAATTTTACACGGAAACTAGTTCACCTTCAATTGACTGACTACACCTATGTAGCTTTTTCGATAGACTTCTACATCATTTTTCATCGTTAAATCGCATGCAACGTGCACGTTGACGTTATGAAAGATTAAAAAAAGATTGGATGTATAAGAAATTCGATGATCGAGAGATGCAAAAAGTTAGCCGTGAATCACTTGAGTCACTGAGCCAATGTTACCTTCAGCTTGAAAAATATTTGCTCTCTGAAAATTTCTCTCACTAACCGAACTACTCGATGCAAGTTCCAATGAATGCTCACTCGAATATTGTTCTTTAAAAAGTGACGTCCATAAATATTGTTCTCAGGTATACACGCTTTGTAATTCTTCTGGTTCCTTGCAGACAATTCCTTGCACTACAAGCCAAAGTATTGTATTTGAATAGAGGCGAAAATTATGACTTTTTAAGAAGAAATGAACGAAGAGCACGCCAACTATCAATTACTATGTTTTCAGAGATTAAAAATTTAGTAGTTCAAATATACTCCTGGACAAAATTAACACATAATTTTTTTTCACTTTTTCTTTAAAATTTTTCGTTAAAATATCGTTTAAATATGAGCTTTAAAAAAAAAAGTGAAAAAAAATTATGCGTTAATTTTGTCCAGGAATATATTTCGTTATCTTATGAGTGATAAATAAAAGACTTGGCTTGTGACTTCGCAAATAAAAATTTCAATGTAAAACTAGTCTAAAGATATAACGCTACAAATTAGAATATAAATGTAATTATTTCTCGTTTTCGATCCGATCATATGATAATAAGGATTGCGCATGTTCCTTAGAAGTATGAATTGCGAAGCAGGTGTTTGTTGAATTACAATCTCGGATTACATAAGCAGATAATCATCGTATTCTCAGGGAATATACCGCTATTGATTTGCTATGTATCTTTTTTTTCTCTTTTTCGATCTAATTAAAATCGCGAATGCCGCAATCACCGCTATTCTGCCCAATAAATTTGCATTTGTTTGCATTTCCGGTTTTAACCGCCGATTACCGCCAATTGTACAAAACCATTCGAAGTGACACTCAAGGCCTCACATATGTGTAATTTATTTATATATAGTATTACAAATGACTCGCTTGCTAGGCAAGTTCTCGTTCAAGGTTGTGCGGGTGACCGTTGGGATTTTTATCTTTCATTTTTTCATACATCTCGTAATTGGCATGAAAATCGTCACAATTATGCAAGATGTGCGCCGATCTCGTGGCAATTTTCTGATTTAATATCGTGATCGGATCAAATTCCGAGTGCGTTTGTCAAAGAGATAGATTATTGAACGTTCTGAAAATTTTGGATATAATATGTCGAAATGTGTATCGAAAATTTCTCACACACATACTATTTTATTTTTTTTTGAAGCTCTAGATTTAAAAAAAAATAAAATACTTTATAGAAAATTACTTTATAGAAGATAAAGTATATTTTTATCAAGCTTATAAATATTTTAAATTGCAAAATTTTTAAGTATATATATAATTCCATGCAATTTATTCCATATTTATTTGACAGATGTATAAAATTTTAACATACGAAATTAAATTTGTATGTAAAAAAAATTATGTTGCGCGTTTTACAAAGTTCATTTCTTCCCGTTTAGATGACCAACTCGCAGATGAGAGAAATGATCATGACGGCGGTTACTAGATCGTAATGAGATGCAAAGGGCCTGATCGCACGTGAGAAGATACCACACGAATAATCGCGAAGCGACAACGGCGGGAACGGGTGGAAACGATGGGGTCCTTGCCGAATCTTCATGAGCTGTCCAAGGAAAAGCTGGAGAGCCCGGTGTACAAACCGGCGCCGATCGGCAGTCTTGGTCCAGTGCGATTGCCGCCGCAGCCTCCGCCGTTGGCGCACTCGCATAAACGCGCGAGAAGCAGCGGACATCATCATTCTACCCTGAGCGACAATGATGCCATGCTGGAGGTATTCATCCTCCATCAATAAATTCAATTTAAATTTAAATTTAAATCGATGTATGCAAAATCAATTTCTAAAGATATATCGGATATTTCAATGTCTCCTGAAGATTCAAACTTAATTTTGAACTTAAATTTGACGTTTACTGAAATCTAAAAAAAAAGGATTCTAAAATCTTAGATGAAATCTAGAGCTATAAAATTCGATCCGCAAGAGTCGAAGAAAAACGCGCGATACTTAGCATAATGAATATTCCACAAGTGTTTTACTATTTGTAGTTTCCATCGCGCTATTATTAATTTATCGCGGTGTTTTTAAGCATTACCGATCACGCCAAGTCATGCTCGCAGATGATTTTCTAGGTAGTAAAAATAATCATTTTCACGTTATTTTAATATCAAATCAAAATGACTATTGCGTCAAAATTACTGTTTTTGTTACCTGGATTCTCTTCCCATTAATCGACACGTGTCTCATTTTGCAGCACATGGCGGCATATTCGCCGATTTCCTGCCGATCCACGCGCACATCGGCGCTGTCCTGGCGACGTCGCGACTCCATGAACTCGTCGGCGGGCGCGTCATCGGTGCGCCGGCTGATCGCGGCGGTCCGTGCGGCCCCAGCTGGACCTCGGCCACCGCGTAAGGCCGTTTTGCGCCACATCGCGGCCCTACTGCTCGGTCACGCCAGTTGTTCAGCTGCCACGCTGCCCATTTTCCCGCTGCAAGCAGGTCTAGGTGCGTTCGAGCCGCATCTGGGTCCGGTGCTGCTGGCGCAGCTCTACATGATGGCAGCCGTCACCAGCTGCTTCGCGCCCATCGTCGTGCAACGGCTCGGCACGAATCTCGCCATCACCGCGAGTCACGTGGTCACCGCAATCTTCGTCGGCGTGCATTTGTATCCTAAATGGTACGACATATGCCCCCATATAGCATCGTATTTTTTCCGTTTTTTGAGTTTTTAGAATTTTAATTCCCTTATTTATTATCTTTACAGATCCAATTACAGATGTTTTATTTGATTAATTTATTTGAAATAATTTTATTTCACTGAATTATAATCGCGAATCCATTTATCGTATTGAGTTGGATATTGATATAATTCGATAAGAGATTAAATGAATCGAAGAAAACTATAATCCAAATTATTAAAGAAAAGAAATGTATATATATAATATATACACGCATGTTCTCTTTGCACGTTTTAGGTACATACTCGCACCCAGCTACGCGATGCTAGGCTGCTGCGCCAGTTCGAGTTTTCTAGCAAGAACGTCGCACATCAACGTGTCCGCGAATAGCCTGGCGATGGTCTGCGTGGATCCTGAAGATCCGGATGAGACGCGACGCGAATGTCTGTTGAGAAGGCTCAACCGAGGAATAAAATTAGCCGAGGACATCGGTCTCGCAATTGGTATTTTCAATATTTTCTTTAATTTCATTATTCAATTTCTCTCTTCCTAAGAATACATTATTAGTATACACGTTACTTTAAAATCAATCGAAGGATTATGTAAAGTAAAAGTAATTACATGATAAACATAAATAAAATTCAATAAATTTGAAAATTGATTATTCAAATTTATTGAATTTTATTTATTTCCAATATATGCATATTAATATGCATGCAAATTATATATTTTTCCTTAATAAATAATCATATCATCTAAAAATTACACTTTGTTTTTAATAATTCCAGGTTGCCTCATCGCCGCGGTTCTCGTCAGATTAACGGATCTGATACCGTCTAGCATAATGAATAGTGATATAGGGGATGTCTGCGGAGCCGAATACTGTTCGGAGGAGATGTACTTTTACAACGAATCGCTCTACGTGCCCACGATCGCATCGGGCACGTCGAGGGTGCTCGTCAGTATTTGGCTCGGTCTGGCAGTGCTTGGTTTAGGCATTTCCTGCGCATTCCTCGACTCGAGAATGCAGGAGCCTCAGGCAAACCACGATCGCACCAGCGTCAAGGACATCCTCAAATCTGTAAAATGCGCTTTTCAGGATCCAAAGCTTCAGCTCGCAGCACCGCTCACGCTCTTCATCGGACTGGAACAAGGTTTCATCTACGCCGATTTTATGGAGGTAAATGAAACGTTTCATAATCGATTACAGATTTTTACATTACATTTACTTCATCTAATACTAATTACAATTATACATATTACAATTGCCTTCTAAATTTAATTTAATACAACTCGGAGGATAAATAATTGAAACTAAGGAAAATACCAATCTATTTATAATATTCTATCTTATTTTTGGAGTTCTTTAAACTTGAAAAAGAATTTCTCTTTTTCCCCTTTCTATACAAATATAAAATCGCACAAATTCGTCTTTCCTGTCTCGCGCGTGATTTATGAAAAAATATTTTACGAACGCAAATATACGACACGAGTGACTTTGTAAATTTTTTCTCAAATCATCCATCTAAAAAAGTTAGTACTGTATATTTTCTTAACATAGCATTGTCTTTGTATAGGCGTATGTGGTGTGCACCTCAGGCGATGCTGGCACGGTCACCTTAAATTTTTTAAGCTTGGCTCTGTTGCAAGCTCTTGCTGCCGTAACACTCTCGATGCTGCTGAGGCAAATTAAAAGGTACTATGTTGTGGGTAAGTGATTCTTCTAATTCATTCAATAACAAGCGCAAGGTCGGATTTAAATATTATTGACAATAATATATACAACATAAAATGAATAAATGCTGCTTTAGAATGTAGGAATGAAGAGAAATCAATATATAAGATACATAAATAGTTAAGATAAATGCTACAAAGATTTAATATAGCAAAAAAATGAAAGAGAAAAGTCAAATTAATTTATAATAGAAAGATAATCCTTTGATCCGACCCGATTAATTTGAATCAATCGTGGATTGAAAACAAAAGACTTTGTTTTTTATAATTTCAGTCGTGGGTTTCGCCTTCCACGCTTGTCTCTTGCTTGTCTTGGTCACTTGGAGGCCGACAGGAGACGACCCAGCTCTCTTTCATGTCATATCAGCTGCCTGGGGAGTTTGTAATTCCATTTGGGAGACTTTGATATATAGTAAGTATCTTGAATGTTTTTTATTATATGAATGTCAGATATTTTGTGTTCGCAAGTTAAGTCGATGGCTCTTAAGAACTTGGGATCCAAGTTGCAATTAAGCTAGATCAAAAGTTTCGAAAGTGATTTCCAAGCTTTGCTTTGTCGGTCGCGGCTGTATTTCGTCGAGACGTAGCACCGTTCGCCAGTGAATACACAACGAAAGGCGCTTATATGTTCGAGCTGTGTTGAACAAACAAACCGAATTTAAAAGAAAACGATTCGTCTTCGTAAGACCCGAAGAAGCAGCAAAAGCATGAAGGGAGAAGAGTGAATACTAAAAATAACGTAGTTTAAATTAAACTCTTCCTCTCCCTCTGTCTCTCCTGCGGACATAATACATTAAACATTTGGCTGCGCAAGATTATATCGGTACCCTGAACAAATAAATGCATGACGAAAACACTTATCATTCGAAGACAAGAACTTTTTCAAAACACTGATGCGAGGGGAGCGCAAAGAAAGATTTGAATCTTTGACATTTCAGCGCTGGTGATGGGCCTCTACCCGAACGCGTGGCAGGGTCCGCTGTCGACGTCGCTCTTCTGGCGTTGGCTCGGACTGACCCTCGCCCTCAGCCTGCACGGCGCGGTGTGCACCCGTTACCGCGTTCTGGGCCTCGCCGCGACCCTGGTCCTGGCGGTGGTACCGCATCTCTGGCTGGAGAGTCGTCTAGCGCGCCGGGGTAAAACTCTGGCGCCCTTATGACCAGGCGACTCGACGGCGAGCGAGCGCGGGTCCACCGTCGAGACGGCGACGACGACGGCGACCGACGTCAGACACCGGGGGGACTGAGAGCGAGCCGTTCCGTCCAGCACCGCGGCGAGATCGTGGACGGGGATCGTGCCAGGAAGACGCGGTAGCCACAGGAGCAGCAGCCTGATGACGCAGCTGCAGGAGCACCAGACGCAGCAAGTCGCTGGCGGTGGTGCGTCGAGCAAGAGCAAGCCGCGACGCAGGGCGAACAGCGTCGCGTTCGCCTGCCGCACCGATTACGGCCTGCCCGACGACAGCGACGACGAAAACCCGCCGAAAAATCCGCTGCTCCTCATCGTGGAACCGGAACGTCGCAGAAGCGCCATCGACAGCACGGAAGGAGCCAAAGATCGCGCCAAGGTCTTCACGCTCTCGTGAGGAAGACGTCTCTTTTCCACGGGCGTGAACTCCCTTCCGAAGCTTCGTCGGGTCGTGTGATAACTGTATTAGGTGTGCGATGTTCTAGTGCGCTGGATAAGGTATCGGGAAAGGGGATGATTAGGGCTCGAGAGTTTCCGAACCGTAATCCTTCAACCATCTCAAACGATTCAAAGAACGCTTTTCATCCATGAGAGAAATACCTGTCAACTTGGGTGTTATGCCGAAGATTTGAGTTAATCGTGGAAACACGTAATTCGCACAATCGATATACCAATATCCAGCGCATCTCGTGCGAGCACAGAATATTGCAGCTATTGCAGAGTGCCCTATTTAATACTCGACTCGGGAGGGAGAGAGAGAGAGAGAGAGAGTTGTCTCTTTCCCTCACGAATTTGGAGCAAGGACGGCGATCGATCGATAGATGCTTTAAAGCTCTCTCCAGGCGCGTTTAAGCTGCGATTAATGAGAATAGCTCTTCCAAAGCTGGATGGAACGGCTGTGTATACGGACACTATATACATACATGTGTATATATATTATATATACACATACATACACGCTTTTTCTCGCTACGGTGCGATCGATGCACATGACTGAATAGCGGGAAACGACACGCATACATACATATACATATATATACCATATATATATGTATGTACATAAATCTACATATATCGTATTCTAGTATCGAGCGTACCGTTTTGTATCACTCGAACAAATCGCCGTTTGACGTAACGAAACGTCGAGATGTACCTGATGTCTTTCAAGCCAAGCTACATAAAGTATAAACGGAATCGCGCTTCGTGCGAAATACCCGATATATATATATATATATATATATATATATATATATATATATAATATATACACCTCCCTATTTATCGTAGATGCTCGTATACGAGCCTTACGGGGGTATCGATTTTTTTGAGCGAACGACTCTTGTCATTTTATATACCGATCGTACTCGAAATAATACGCAGAGACGCAGCTGACTCGTGATCGGCAACAAAGTCGAACGCGAATCGATATGAATACAGTGAATCTATAAGCGCTGTTAACGGTTCAAATATCACGACAATTCAGATAAGATTTTTTATGATAATAATTCATCGACGCTAGTCGCATACGAGAGAATTCCCTCTCCTCGAAGAATAACGAGGGGACGAATTTCGATATAATTCTCTAGAGATAAGAAAAGCGAAAATGTGCACTGTAATTTCCGCTCCTCTCTCGTCGCGGAACAATCGCTATGTTTGAAATCCGTTTAGGAATTTTTCCCCGATCGTGTGTAGTGATGATGATGATGGTGGTCTCCCGGTTACGGACGTTAGTTGACGTTTGTTTTGTTACAGATCTTAGGCTAAGCAAGCGAAACTGTAATCGCATAAAGTTTAAGGAAAATTAATAAGTGTTATCTCGTTTAATGTTACACGTGTAGGCGGATCGAGCGATAAATTAAGGTGAGATTGAGGCAACATATCACCGATGTACGACATTATCTAACGGAAACGGAGCCTGGTTTCCATCTGCCTACTCTCTCAACAGGGACATACATATATTGTTTGTACAACAAGCTGTACCGTACAGCGTGAATCGGGAGCGCACGATGAAAATGCCGATAATTCCTTATAGTAAAGTCACCGTAAAAAACAAAATCAAAGCTTCCCTTATTATTGCCAAAATGACGTGAGTTTTAATTTCATGTTAATTTTTTTTAAATTCATGTCGATTGCATTTAATTAAATTGACGCAAAACGATAGTTGTGTTTGAGAAAACTAAGGATGTAATATTATATATATTTAATTATATATATTAATAATTGAATCGAAAAATATCATTTATCAATTATAATATCAATTATACACGAAACAAAAAATGCTCCGCCGGTGCAACTTTATCCCAATTAACGGTACAGTTTGTTATGCGCCTCATACGTGTTTTCCAATGTTCGAATTAATTACGCTTGATCGAGAATATGGATCACAGGACGATGATAAAGAAAAATGTGTCGCGAAGTTTCGTAAAGGGAAAGAAAAACTGCTAGGACACAAAAACTCTCGCAGGATTTGTACTTATTCAGCAATAAACTTGCTCACAATACACTTCCGGTTCGTCGAGGATCGCGACCGATCGTCTCCGCGGAACAAAAAGAAAAGAAAGAGGAATGCGAAAAACATTCAATGTCCTAGTGAAAACGCGGAATAAGAAATATATCGTCAATGGCATTGGGGAAAGGCATATATTATCTGTATATTTCATGAAATAATAAATATTATCTTATTTTATATATCTCTTGACCGACGCTTTAATTCACTTTCATGTGCAATGCACAAAATTGTGAAAAAAAAGGAACGGTTCCTGCCTACCTATAAACATTTCTGAGGAGAAAAGCAGACATTCTCGACTGTATCTCCAATTTTGCAGGAGAGGTACGCATTCTTTTTAAAATTTTTTTTATATTTAATATTTGGAATTACTTTCATCATAGAGATCGTTGATACTTGTTCATTTTTGTACTTCATAAAATAATATTAAAAATTAGTTGTGTGGACTTTGACTTGTGGCAGATTTTTCCGATCTTCCTCGATATTAATGATATATTAACAACGAATTTTCAGTTGGAATTGAAAACTAATTAATAATCATTAATAGGCGTCGACTAGATAAAAAGAACGAATTGCACGTGAGTGATCGTCGAGAAATGAAACAAAGACAAGATCGGTGAAATCGACATAATCGCACACAACTTTTAGCATAAAACTATTGAAAAATATGATTGGAAAAGGATAGTGAAGAATTTCGCCATTTTAACGCTTTAGCAATAAAACGCCAAATGCTCGAATGAGAACAAAAGTCTCGTGACAGTCTTCGTAATTTCTGGTAAACGCATTCATCATCATTATCATCAGTATCGCGCTTTACTTTCCTCAAACTTTTACTAAGTGACATAAATGCAAGTAACAAGACTCACATATCTTTTTATATGTCTATGTATATACATATATATATGTATATATGTATATGTATATATACACGTCAACATTGTCTACCTAAATTATTGTCAGTATATCTTACGACTTATATCGCGATCACATATGTAGAGGTTCGCGTTTGCGAGAGCACGATAGGGTAGAATTAGCCGGCCCTAAAGAAGACCTTAAAGCTCAACGGATTTCATCAATATATAACTATATCTAGAACTACACACGTACACACGCACGCACGCACGCACACACGCACGCACATATATGCACTCACACATATCCAATATACCACATAGACACATGGAGATACTTAGCTATTAGCCCGTATATAACTTGTAACAATGCCCTTTTATTTATCTTTTTTCATCATTCATGATCCTTTTTTTTCTAATATTTAACGCATGTAACACATGACTTGCAGAATTTTCAGGCTCGCTTTGTAATTCTTCTTTTTTGTTTTTCCTTGATCAACATTGCGCACGCAGTGCGTTACTACGAAGCGAGTAAATATATCTATACAACTTTGTTTGAATTACTATAATCATGTATAAATGTAGGCTACATATACAATACTCTGAACATAAACGCTTTAGCTTGTAACATAGATAGCAAAACGAACAAAATAGAGATCACAATCCATATTCGCGTACAAATCGTTTGACAAACATAATGATGCGTTGAGTATCATGACAATTCACGTGAGTGCGATAATTAAGAAAAAAAGTAAAATAGTACTCATCGATTTTGAATACACTATCAAGTCACTTATCGCATCAGAGAAATACTGGCTTAAGAATATCAGAATGTGCTACATGCAACCCCTGTGGAAATGCTTGTACAATCTTATAAGCTAAAGTATTTGTGTTGTTGATATTACATATATGATCATGTCATTTCCAGAATAGCGAATTACAGCCTTGTATCAATTAAAGTAATATTAAATTTTATACATATACTTCCGATTGGATGACTTTTCTTTCCATTAATCATTGTCTAATCTCGCAATAAATAGAAAACTTTCTTTTCAGAATATAAATTGTCTTATAACGAATAAAAAGGATTTGTTATATTTAAAATTTTTATTCAAATCACAAGGCATAAATTTATTTTTTTTAATTATAAATTTTCCTTTACCTCTATTGTTCTTTTTGGAAAAAATGAGAATGACGAAGCGGGGTCATACATATTTTATCGATTTTACTGCGATTACTTGTAGTGTTTTTCTGTACGCTTTTTTTACGAATTATCTAATAACGCGAGAAGCAATTTTAGGCTGAAGCGAAATGAGACTAATATCTTGTGTGTGACTTATCTACAATTATTAATGTATCACAAAAAAAATACCGTGTTGCTCACAGATCTCCCTATTTTTCGTTAACGTTCATGTCAGCCCAAGATTACTTTTGTAACTCGACAAGCGTGTATTAAACGCGAATGCAAAAAAAGACTTCCTTTTTTTCTTCTGCTTCGCATTACCAAAAACATTTGAAAACCCATATATCTCTCGCTAAGATATCTCTAAATCTCATTAAATTTTCACCCTGTATTTTGTCGCATTTCTAAGAATTTTTTCGTAATACATATGTTATTTTTTTTTAATTCGAGCATCCATTATTCCGTACACCGTGTACCAATCGCTTGCTGGTAATGTTACATCTTAATAGAAGTATACGCGATGCAGCTACTGTCCGTTCCCTTCTGGTAACTATATGCATCGCGATTGCCCTAAATATATCCACCGTGAGCAACAATCAAGATAGTAGTAAATCGCAGGTGTTGCCATTCAAACTCATGAGCGGTATCCTTTGTTCCTTCTTTCTTTTTTTCATCATTTTTTCTGTTACAGATACTATGGACGATAAGACAATTACGTGAACACGATCATAAATAATTGATGCGCGCGTGTATTATGTACATATGGAAAATATTCGACGAGATTCTCAAAGAAATTGTAAAACTTAAACAAAACGTGCTAAAAAACCAGAGCCTATTTTCTCCCGACTATCGGTGTTCTGCATCGAACAAGCTAGCGATCGATCAAACAATCAATTCTTTAATACTGCATACAGGAGAAGGAAATATCACGAATTATGAGTTAAAGAAATTATCATTAATTTTGAATACTGTAAGCGTGGAAAGAACCAATCAAATACGATTGTCTTTACCCGATCTCTTGAAAACACATTCTCCGATGAGTGAAATTAATTAATTGTGCTACAATTAGCTTCAATTCAGAGAATATTTTTACAAAGATTGGGTAAAGAAAATCGAAATTTGATTGGTTCTTTGAAAATCTCATCAATGGTATTTTTTCACCATAACGAGTAAAACGAGCAACGAACTATAATTATAATATTAGTTTTATCAGCAGCATTGTGAGCATCGATGCATTCGAAAATATAACACCAAGGCAATTTTTATGTAATCGATAACACTCTGCGCATGTATAATCGCAAGTTTTTATGCACTAGCGTTTGCGCGTATGCATGCACGCACGCCGCTCTTTCTTCCGAGTACCACAGTAACAGGTCCGTCAAGTTACTTTAATCCGAAGTACCCATATCTTTCGGGAGAGTTTTCATTAATTTACAATCACTACTTAAATTTGATACTTAAAATCCTGTCTCTGTGCAACTAAACGGATCAACTGTTCAAACTGGAGTATAATTGCCCTTGGGTTTGTAAAAGATCTGGCCGCGCACTATACGTCTCGTGATTTCATTTAATAGCAAGCGTTTCTCTTTCTTGATCTTCTTCAGTATACCTCGGTTCTCTTGTGCGCGCCGCGACAAATACGGCAATACTTCCTTAACTGGTCCGTATGGGATGTACTTGTATGCAGAGTAACCGGATTGACCTGAAAATTTTATTCAAATCATACGTATCGTTTTAAATTTTATTTTTTTTTATCGCACAGTAATATGACAAAAAAATTTAAACTTCAAATATCTTTATGTACCTAATGGAAATGTTATGTAATCGCACATTCCTAATAATTGGCCGAAACATATAACCTTATCCTCTGGTGAAATTCCGATTTCTTTCATTCTACAATCATAAAAAGATTATTATATATATATATATATATATATATATATATATATATATTTATATATACATATTACTTATATAATTTTTATTTTTATATATACATCTGTATTTTATGATTATTTATATATACATCTGTTTGCAGCAAAAACAAGGATGGAGCACAGCGGCACTCACTTCTCGATTGCGAAACGCACAGTATCTTCATTATGCGAAGCGACCATAATTCCTATTTTCTTGGGATCGAGTCCCTTGTCTTTATACTGTTTCATCCGCCTCAAGCACTCCATGAGTGTCCTGTGATAGGACTCGGTCGTCGCCTCATACGTAGGATTCGTGGGATCTGGATAACCCATAGCTGCCGCTCTCGCTCTTTCCTAAATAAGAACTCTTTGGTACTTTGCCTTTAATGGACTCGAAAAATATAAGATATATCTGCCAATATACATGCCTGTTCAATATAAGCGCCGCGAACGAGTTTAGCACCAAAATAAAAATTTTGACGTTCCGCCTGTTCGAGGTCCGTTTTCACCTCATTATACGCTTCTTGCAGATACGTCTGGTAAGTATTGAATACCACAGCCTGAGAAGTAGACCGATATTTGGCAGTGAGAATATCATTCACTGAAAAGTAGCTAAGTGATAACGTCGCGATCCCCTGAGAACGTTAAAACATTACCTTTTTCGTATTGTACTTGCGCATCATCTCCAGCGTCAGGCGAGAAATGGCTGGTTGAAAGTATGTCTGTTCCGCATCTATCATGATACGAACGTCTAAATTATCAGCCACCTGAAAAATAATTATTTATTTAGTCATGAAATTCTCGTTGTCAATAAAAAAAGGAAGAATAATTATTACACATACCGTGACGATATTATTTAACCGTCTAATCATATTTCTAAACATTTCTTCCTCTTTAGAAGTAAGCTGCGACATTAATCTGACCATCTTACCCGTCTTAATATCAGGTACTTGGAAAGTTTCACTTAGTTCATAATTTTCATCTAAAATACCGCTCCACGGAAAGAGATGAATCACACTGTGTGGACAAAAATATCCGTTGCTTGTGATACATTCATATAAAACGTCACTTTAATTCCTAATTTTAATTTTGCGCGTACCCTTCTTTATCCGATTGCATTTTTTGAAGGAACTTTTGCACCGATTCCTCGTTTTTAATGTGCGCTTCCTCGAATTTTTTCCTAAAATCATCAGGTTTCACATGCTGAGACAGAATGGCGCCCTGGCCACCAATAACATCCGACATGTATTGCCGGGCGCGCATAATTACCTCTGACAATTGAAGCTGAAATATAATTATTCTGTATAGTCATAGGTTAACAGTTAAGTGCATTTTTTTTAGAATTTATAATAAAAATTGCCAACCAGAAGCTGCGGTCGGCCAAGTGCAGTTAACTTGACGGCTGTAATGCCCATACCCATCGAAGCACCTGCAAAAATATATTTTGTGTCACATTTTATGTTATCTTATAATATTAGACTTTTACTATTTTTATTCTTATGTACAAAATTAAAATAAAAAAGAAATATGCAAGAAAGCACTTAATATTTCTGGATAATTAAGGATAATATAAAGTGGAATTATTTTAAGGAAAAAGAAGGGAAAAGGTGTCTTCTTACCAGGATAGGGGTCGGCTTGGACATGAGTAGTAATATTTTGAGAAGGATATTTCAGCTGTAATGTCTTCACTTCGTCCTCTATATAAAAATATATATCTTTATCCGCTCATAATTGTAGATATCTTATTTCTTAATATATTAATTAAGTTACGATAGTTTTTTCTACATGAAATATTTCTACACGACACGTCATGTCATATAATTTGGCTGGAAATCGCGAATGGTAATCTACATGCGTGTCGATATTTATAGACTAGAAGAGAGCTACGGTTCTGAGTCGCGGAATTTCGAAAGGTCCATTGCCGTCGAGACATTATTGGCGGCAAGAGCGTGCGACAGTTTCTCTCTTTCTCATATTGGCAATATCTCTACAATGTTTTACAGTAGAACATAAATTTACTGCCAAAAAGGAGTGCGCATCTCGTGAACGGTGATCGATTTTGTGCATGACGTCAGCCATCGTATCAATTATACTATTATCCTCTCAGAAATAATTTCATCATATTAAATTTTATTAACAAGCAAATGTAGGAGGTTCTGTTATATAAAATATACAAAAAATAAATAAGTAGATCGAAATATACGAATTAATAAATCTTTTGAACACAATTATTTCCATACTTGGCTCTTATTTGCTTGTTTTTTTATATTTATAAATTTTATTAACTTTTTACTATTTCTTATTAAACAACTAACTTCATATATTATTAATATTGAATAATATTTCAATTTAATTTTATATAATTTAATTTAAATTTTTACTATTTATTTAGTCATAAGCAACATTTATAGTATTATAGTATTTATTTAATCGTAAACAACATTTGAAAAACAATAAATCTCATAGTATATTCTGAACAATCAGCAACAGTTCGTGCTCATGAAATAATAATCATGTGAAGAGCAAGTTCTACAATAATATTATAGTAATGCGGTAATCTTGTGAGATTGTAATCGAAGTATTGACTTTTATAGATAGCGATACGTGATCGACCAACATTATTCTAATTAAGCATTTTATAAACACCTCTGATATTATGGTATTTCGTATGAATTTAATTTTCGACTATGTCTATTTGCTAATAAAGTGTTAATAAATTGTAGAATAGACTAAAAAAGGACAAAGATATATATATATATATATATATATATATATATATATATATATATATTATAAAGCGCGCACTATATTTCCTCTCTTATATATTATTTAATAAACTACAATTAAAAAATCCAAAAAACAAAATGTTTTCTCGGGATTAAAAAAATTTAGTATAAAATGATAATAGTAAATTTATACAAATAGTTTCTTGATTAAATTAAAAGATAAATTATGTCTTTTAAATGAACATATTAGACTTTATATGCAATGTTAGTCCAATCATCGAATTTGAAATGCAAGAGAACATTTAATTTAGACTTTCTTTATATTAGGAAATATTGAATATTTCGAAAAGATAACGAATTAAATGTAACACAGTTATTTGACTATCATTTTTCTCAACATTATTGTTAAGACATACAATTATCTTCTTGTCATTCCAGCGGTGCGATTCGAACAAGAAAGTAACTGCAAGATATGCATCATTATGGAATTTCTTTTCAAAATGCGATTGCGACAAAAATAATTTATCAAAATTACTATAATTAATGATTAATCGTTGTATCGTAACGGATTTTGTTGCAATGTGCATTTTTCGTGATTTATCTAATTATATTTTTAGTACATATTGAAACATTACAAAAATAAAAATTATAAATTATTGTTTTGTTTCAATCTTTACGAATAATAATTATTTCTCTAACAATGCTTGAATTAAATATAAAATTAAATATAAATTTAATATATTTCGAAATTTTTAATTTTTCGTCGACCTAAATTTAATTTGTATTATTCGGATTGAGATCGCGCAGTAAGACATGAATCGCAAAAATTCGAGTAGTTAATATAACAAAAACCTCATAATACATTGATCGTTTAATTAATAATTAATATATAATTTAAAAAAAAACAATATATTTCGTGTATTTTATAATACATAAAATATTTCAACAACAAATTAACTGTGTGTTTGATCTTGACGTATAGCTATTGCTTACATAGCACGACCTTGTTATCATTCACTAAGCGAAAAGCCGACATTCGAGCAATTAAAGTACGGATACTTGAAGAAAAATATATTTCGGAAAAAATTTTTTACCAGTTTAAATGTAATGATAATAATTCGTTAAGATTATTATTATTAATTGATTAATTTTCGATAAACAACACGTAATTGCAATGAGAGATTTTTATTGCGCGTTATCTCGCGCGACTTATTTATTCCAAATATGTTATTAAAAATATATTATTTGAAATAGGAATCAAAGCGACACTGGATAAAAATTATAAATTCTAAAAATATTTTGTTACAATTATTAAAATAATATTATGGATATTAATTATTTATCTAACTCTACTAGAAAAAGAAAATTAAATATATTTTATCCAATGTTTTACAAAAATTTTTTGATCTAAATATAATTTATCATTCGGATAGAGAATGCATAATAAGACGTAAATTGTTAACCAAAGATCAATTAAAGTAAATAAATTAAACGAATTAGAAAGTATAATTAAAAGCAATAATATATAAATCGTAAATCACCCTCCCAAATGGCTACATCTTGACGTTGATAAGAGGAGTAAGATTTAGTAAGATTTATCCCCTGAAAAATTTATCCCTTGAAGGGAAAGCTAACTATCCAAACGATGTGATAATACTGTAAATATTTATAAGCATTATCACGAGTCACAAATTCGTAAATAATAAGCGCATTTCATATGGCGTACATTAATGTATCCATTTTCAGTATATCACATATGATCTTCATAAGATTTCAATTTCGATTAATAATTCTAAATCAGTTAAAATTCGATCGATTGCCTGATAAAGATCCCGTCTCTTGTCATGCATTATATGATCCCACATATATATATATATATATATATATATATATATATATATACACATATATATACACATATGATATATGATATCTTCATATGTAGCGAATTGAATGCCACAGCTTAAACTTCTTTTATTCTATATTTTGAAAACACATGTATTTCGTTTTGATGAATTGACTAAGACAACATCATAACGTATCATGAATTGTATCTGTGCGAATTCAAGTCACTCTGAAATTCAAATTCTGTGATAAAGACTCTTCAGGGAAAACACAATTTGTCGATCTCATTCATCGATTTGTCTCCTTTTGCTCCAATTTAACTCTTATTCGAAGTTATTTTATTAATTCAATGTTCGATTTTTATGCGAAATGATATGTTGACTTACGATCGCGAAATTAGGAAATAATGTGCAAAATATTACGCGTCGCTTATTTATTTGATTTTAAATTTATTTAATTTAATTATTTTATTTAATTTATTAATTTTAAATTCATATTTATTTAATTTTATAAATTTAAAAACTTTTATAATTTAACTCTTATAATTTAAAAATTCTAAAAATACTATATTTATTTGAGAGTTTAGAAGAGAATTAACTTATAAAACATATGAATGAAAAATAAGCCCTGCAAACTGATTGTTAAGAGGGATAATCCTATATAATTTATATCAAAGCCAAAAGCAAGGGATGGAATGTCAGGGATTAAGAAAAAAAAATAAAACATTAGAGAGAGCTAAAAATAAAATCCGTGACTCACTCGCCACAGCCTCCAGACACCTGATAAATATATCCATATTTCGCTCACAGGACGCTTCGTTCAGGTAGAAATACGTCCTGGCCGACGACACTTTGTATCGTCGATCGGCGAATGACTTTTCCACGTGATATTTTTTCAGCGGACCTTCTCTCTTCTCATCACCCGCTTCTGATACTGAAGCTCTGAAAAATGAAAAAATATTATTTGTTTAGATAATTACTACATATGCACCTCTGTTCGATTTGCATTGACTTTTTCGTGATTTTTTCTGCTCATCGAATTATTTCTTTAGAATACGATTATTTTCAACTGCATATACTAATGAAAATTAAAGTGCGATTCTTCGTCATGTACAGAAAAAAAGTTAAGCGAATGTAAATAAAGAACTATGTCTGATACTAGCATTATACATACATTGAAAGACGCTGTAAATAATACGGATTAAATTTCATACTTGGCGAATAGATTCGAGTCGTAGAGTAGTGCGCTACTTTCGCAAGGACAAAAAATCAAAAGATCAACATGCGATATGATAGTACCTATCTGTTACGACAATAAAAATATAATGAGATGGATACTTACTGAATCTCGCGTCGCTCGGCCTCCTCCTGCGAGATATCTTCTTCGACGGAATAATCAAGAATCGGCTTTACGCCAAATTGCCGCAATCTATCCAAAACTGGTGTGATCTGCACCTCATCTTCTCCGGCGACGAAGTGACCATAAAACGTTGCCTTCATAAGCTTCGTGAACAGCTTTTCGCCCAATATCGCTTTCGTCAATTTCATGAACTGTTCATATTTAAATTTCAAACGATTAGATATACAATAGTGTGTTGTTAAATCAATAATGCATCGAATATAAATATTTGCAATTAACAAATTTTATTTAAAAAATTGTGAAATTAAGAGTACAGAGAGTAAATTTTTAAAAAATTGAGTGCAAATTTTTATAGAAAATTTAATTTAATTGATAAATAACAATGTATATATTTGATATAGATACACGTAAAACGCTTTTTGCTCCTTCTAAATTTATTTCGAAAATCAAATGCAGGATATTATATATATAAGGCAAGGATAAATCAGGATGGCAATAGCTAAAAGCAGTTACGTCGCTAATTCTTTTCTTTCATCTCACAGTATGTATGTGTATATGATTTATGTATTCTATTAAAATATATACTACACACAGGAAGCCACAGTTATGAGACGCAAGCGTAACACAATGCAAGGACGGAGAAAAATATAAAAATAGTTGCTTTTTCGTTTGTAGAGTTTACCTCGGAGCAAACGTTATGCAACTGATCAGAAAGATGAAAATTTTATTTTATAGGTAACACATCCTCGTACAATAAATATGTAGGTTACATCGCGACTAACAATCACGTGAATGGTTACCGAATATCGATCTCTCAAATAAACGCTTACTCTCGGTATGCGAATATCGATCTCTTAAGAAGACGCATGCTCCTAGTATATACCGTTATAATCCCACTGTTAAATGCCACGGAGCCAGAAATTTAAGAGAAATATAAAATGTAAAAATAAGAAACATAATAGAAGATTTTTTTTAGTAGAAATTAACTTAAAAATAATAAGCAAAAAATATAAAATTTTCAAATTATATGGAATTCTTAAAACTGCTCTTATAAAGATACATAGTAGTACATATGCATGCAGCAATGAATTTAAATACATCATATTCGAAAAGATTGAAACTCAATGTTAATTGCTCATTAACATTGACATTTTGATACAATAATCGGATAATCTATCACAACTTTATCATGAATAACATTGTAACATCGCGATTTTGCGACCATCATAATGAATGGCACATCAATCAAATACATATTTTAATGTAATAGAATCGAAGCGTTTTTTTTTGAGATGTTGAATTCTTTTCAATGTTTTATAGAGACTATCCTCTGCTCTCTTTCTATCCTGCTTATTATTAGATTATTATTTTACACATATACACACATATCTATATATATGTCACCTATTTTATTTCATGTAAAAACAACTAAGAGATATACAATCATTTGCTTCGATTGATCGATTGCTTTTGAAAATTTGTGATATGGAAAAAGATCGCTTTAAAGCGGGAAGTATTTAATTCGAAAGGAATTTGTAGCTAAGAATAATGGAATTTGTGATATAAATTGTCAGAGACGTATGCTAATTCACTGAATTTGATGATAGATAAATAGTTAGATATATATAACGAAATATATAAAGGAATACTCGAGGTTATATATAAGCAAGAGGAAGAAATGTAATTAGTCATGTTATTAAAATAGAAACGATCTCTGCTTGCCATGAAGGTTGTTAATTGAAATTGCTCCCCTTATCGATCGAATGAAATCTCCTTTCGTCAGATGAAATCGTAGAAATAAAATTGGAATGCAGCCGAAAGGCAACGAAAACATTTTACAAGCGATGGAGCACACGTAGAGGTCGATTTTAATTTTATCGTCATTCATAAGATTTCACTATCGTCCTGGGAAATTTTTCCAATATAACTATATATGTCCTACATACAACTATATTTAGACATTTTTGTAACAGCACGATTAAGATATTATAGAGTCTGTATTCTTATTCCATAAATATTTTCCTTAATAATTTGTAACAAAAATAATCGAGGGCTAATAAAAATTTAGTCTTATTTTAATTTACTTATTTTATACGATGCACATACAAGATATTATATAATCATGATTGTGTAGTCATAATAATTAATAAGATAGCTTGTGTATGAAACAATAATATTAAGACAATTTGAAATGTTAATTCTTAAGTGTTAAGCAAACAAATAGATAAGTGATTTGTATTATATAAAGACAATATAGTCGACTTAATATACTTTAAATATACGCGTCACTTAAGTCAGTTGTTATGTTTGTCAAACTCGAGAGGCTACCAGAGCTTACCATAGTTTGTCGACGTTATGTACCTATTGATAAGATTAAACAACACGTACAAATCGCTCGATAAACTCTTATATCTATCATGATATCTATGATAAATTCTTTCTTTAAAATTATATAATATGATATAATATTAAATTAAAATAAATATAATATTAAATTAATATTATATAATTATGCAATATTTTATTATAAATTAAAAATTTAATTAAAAAATGCTCATGCTTCTTAAGAATTAAAATTGTAATAATATCGATCTGATAATATCATCAGCCTCTGATAAATTTAAAAGAAGTTACAAATAATATTAATTTTGTCACTGACATTGTGTTATGTAGTTGCGAGAGATCATGCCAAAATCGTTGGACTATGAATTCATGGACTATGGACCAGCATCGCATGACCAGCTCAACATTAACATAGTTCAAAAATAATGTAGAACTATAATGTATAACTCAAAAGAGTGGTCACAGTCATAGTTCCACATTATTTTTGAACTATGTTAATGTTGAGCTGGTCATGCGATGCTGGGCCATAGTCCATAGATTCAAAACCTGTCTATAATTATGTAATAAAACATTATTTCTATCTTCTTGTACGAATTGAATTAATATTTTTTCTAATATTTTATAGATGTTTGTTTATGTTTTCTGCTGCAAAAAAATATGTATATATTCAACTAAAATTTGACAGCGAAAAATTTATTTCTTGGCAATCGAACAAAGTCGTTGAACTGCATTGTCTACGTCTTATTTAAGCCTCAGATCGATGGTGTAACTGGAGAAATGTGATAGTGTACTATGCACGATACACTGATTGCGATTTGAGCTGTGACAATGATCTAGAAAAATTCCCAGTCTCACAATATATATGCATCGGTATTTTTAACAATATCATCTTGTCATAAATAATTACGGATTTATTCTGAGATATCATCTCGATCCAGATTAAGAACTTAAGTTTTTCCACTTCAAATTCATCGAGTCATTTGATACCGATACAAAGATCGGCATTACGGATTATTTTGAGACACATATGCATGTGCTTGTGTGTGTCTGTATATAAATACGGGATAAACCTGTAGCAGATAAGAGAAAGGTAGTTAAATATCATAACGCCGATAACGATGACTCGATTTAGAAAAACCAATTATCGACGATGTAACGCATTTTTATTTTTAAATTCTCATTAGCCACTTTAATCTAAGCATTTATCTCGTCGATTGATTATATATAATTATCAATAAAATTAGAAAAATATTAGTCGTAGATTACTACAACAAATACATTACTGATTCCAATCAAAATAAAATTTTATTAAATTTTATCAAGTTAAATTTATTCGAATCAATTTAAATTTAATAAAGTTAATTTCTATATTTTATTTAAAAATACTCGAGCTATATCTCTCTTCATGAGACACACAAAAGTTAAATATATTCTCAGAACAGTATGGTTTTTTCATCGCTATAAAGGAATATAGAATCCATAATAAGAAAAAAGATTTTAAAAAATTATCTTATAAACTATTAAATAAAAATTTTAAAAATATTCCAAGCTTTATATTAATTACTATAATATTACTATAATAATACTATAAAAAATCACAGAAATCCATAGTATAGAAATACAGAATACTAAAACCGATCAATTTGCTTGACGATTCGAAATTGATTCTAATTTTGCAAACTTGCATCTTCAAATTTTTTGAAATATATAGATGGTTCAATATAACTTTAGAATATAAATATCCTATTCGTTTCCGTCCTTTGTTTCTCATATTTTACATACATATATTATTTGTAATATATATGTATTATATATATTTAGAAGTAATTTAAAAAGAAATAGATGACACACATTACAATAGAAAAAAATGACATACATTATATCCGAGAGGTCTAACACTATTATTTAGGTGATCGATTCGATGGAACGAATCGACGACTCGAAAATCATCCGCCTTTCCATTTATTTGTCCCTGGCACGAGTCGTGCAAAGAACTGGCGCCAGACGAACTGGATAACCTTGAAACTACTTACTCACATATACTCATTCACCAATCGACGGATCTTTTGTACGCACATATAAGACACCCCATATTATTGACACACGACCACTAATCTCGAAACGCGTTACATCACATCAGCCGGAAGACTCACGTGTGCGCATCGGGACTGACCGAAATGCGAATATGTTAAGAATGTGCAGACATTTCCAGAATGCGTATCCACCCATGAGAGGAATCAAAGGAAAAAATGTTTGCCTAACGTCACGCGAAACAACTGATTATGACAAAAATTTAATGCGAAAATGTGATACGATATCAATGTTGATAAAATCTAGCAAAACGATATTTCGTAAATAGATTTACATGAGTTGCAAAATTAATGCCTCATCGAAAGTTGAAATAAATTTATTCATTTAGAGAGAATATTTGAGAGAATTTGAATTTTCGATTTTACGATAAAGAGATTCAACAAGGATTTCGACGAAAGGATTTAAATTAGTGTTGTATAATGACTACAAGTAAGAACATTTAAAAGCAGAGCCGATCAAAAGAGAAGATGGAGTATTTAGTTCAACTAGCATGTTGAATGAATGACTCTTGATGGCAGGAAGATTAATCAATGCACGAGAAAAGTCTCGCGAAAAGCAGACGCGGCGACGCCTGTGACGCATTTGCATCATGAGATTGTACGATGATCGAGATGAATACATAATAATTCTCATAAGATGCAAAAGTCAACGCGCAATGACCAGATTTATTCGCGTAGCGATGTTTGAAAATTCAATATAAAACTCGATCTCACAGGCACACATTTTTTTTCTGTTATAAAATACAAATACAAGTGCGCGAAAGAATGATAAAGCAATTACAAGGAGAAAAGAAGAGATAATTCTTGAAAAATAATTCCTCAATCTTCGATCTTAATATTAACTCGAGTTGAATGAAATAACGTAAAATTCCAAATATTTCTTCAATAATTATTCAATGGAAGCACAAACACACATTATCAATCAATATTTCATTAAATTGCAGCTAAACTTCGTTCTTAATTAACATATTAAAAATCGCCAAAATTCTTGCAAGTTTTTAGATTCATTCTTTGTAAAATTTATTTTCTTTTTCGTTATTCCATCCAATCGCAATTCGAGTCGAACTCGTGCTATTTTTAATATGTGTATAGAAGTGCATCGTGGAGAAAGTATCTAGTCTGGCACACTGTCTGAACAAGGTATGGCACGAAAGAAAGCGAGGAAGTCAATATCTTTCAGGTCAAATCAGGTTCTCAAGATTGCAATGGTATTGACAAACGATGCAATAATGCACTACTATGCCCCATGCTGTCTGTCCTCGTGCATTTCTCGCTCGTGACTTCACGTTCACGGTCGACCATGCTACACAATATGAATTCTTCTACGATGTTTTCACATGGTTCCGGAATTAATGGAATACCCGAAAAAATGTGTCCTTTTTTCAATCGCTCGGATTCCTCAAGAATCCTCCTCTAGAGATTATAAAATCGAAAAGTTTTTGATTAAAAAATATCGAATCTTTATTTTACCTTAGCTATCAACTTTTTTAAATTCTTTTTGTAAACGGAGTTAGAATATGCAACTCGTCTTTTTCATAATATTCATGGTGATAAGACTATCGCAATAAAGCATACTAATTGTCGGAAACCGAACCATTTTTTCCACATTGTTTTATTTTACTTTCTTATCCATATCGAAAATATCGATTTAGCCTCGGTCTAAAATCGTTCGTTTGCAGTGAAAATTATCATCGTCTCGCGATGACGAAGAAGCGACATTGAACGGATACGATCGATACGGAAGTATACGAGAGACGGGGAAAAACTAGTTCGTGCGTTCTTATGTCACATTAAGGGTTTTTGAAAAAGAGAGAGAAATATTCCTCGCCCTTGATGTTACCGTAAGCGTTTTGCAATTAGTTCTGCCATAAATTACGTCTCGTTGTCAAACGAGAGCGAAACGTTAATCAAACGGTGCAACATTTACATCCTGCGGGATGATTTATCGAATGACTGCATACATGTGCCCGCAACGAGTAATGCGGTCAATTGAATGTGCACGTAACGAATTTTATGTTACGTAAAGTTCGACAAGAAGATAGATATGGCGATTTTGTTGTGTATAATCTTACAATGAGTCACATGTCTGCAATGAGTCATTGTCCGTATTCTAAGGGTCGCCTCGAGAAGCGTAGAAAATCTATAACATAAAATAAGTGTAAGGAAGACTCTTTCCCTTCTTTGCAACGACTTAGAAGAAAAGCACGAATTCGCATTAAATTTCTTGTCAAGTCTCCTTGTAATCTTTGTATTTTGCAACTTATTTTCAACTGAGAAAACAATATTGTATAATTAAAAAAAAAAGAAGCGTGTTATGTATGGTCAATTATCTATTCGCTGATGAGTCTAATTAGAGTAAATGCTTGGATGGTATTTGTCAGTTATGAAACTCTTGCAAAGACACATTTGCATAAATCAAAAGCGTTTTTTTATTCTTTGTCAGTATTTACGCCGTGACATTGGTGAAACATTGGTGAAAGTTTCAACAAATTAGTTTTATTTGTTATACTGCAAATTTAAAAATTTACATGCTTGCTTAAAGTATACGATATTTATTGTCTGCAAACAATTCTTGAGAAACTTTTGTGAATTAAAAACATTTATTCAAAATTATACTTCACGTAAATGTGACTGCAAAATTTCTGCTATAAACATTTTTATGTCCCATGATTGATAAACTTAAATAAAAGATATGTTGGTTATTGTGACACGAAAGACATGTCTTCGTGTTTCAGTCATATAATCCAAGAAACAAATAGTTATTCATTTTTTTTCGTTCAATTTATTCTGCAAGAAATATTGATTCGCGATTTTTAATTTATTAGCTAAAAAATCAAAATTTCTAAATAAATTAAATCAATAGTAATTTAAAGTTACGCGAAATAATTAGCAATGTATGATATGTAAAAGCTACAATATTACCATAACGGAATAAAAATTCACGGGACCGACGATTTCCTTAATGACCGATTAAGGAAACACAATTGAATTCCGCGTACTAGAGCGTATTACATGGGTCTATCTTAAATGGGTTATGTAATTCGCCGGCGTTATAGTTTGTAGCAAAATTCCTACGTCGATCCGGCAATAGTAAAATCAATAACGACGAATTGTACTACGTCATCGTCCGAGGGCCACCTTAATACAAATCGCGAATGTTACGTAACGAAACGATGAAAAATTATAAATGGCGAATTAAAATCCGCCGATCTTTTCTCCTTTTTTTAAAGAACTTCTTGACGTTATCAATCCAAGATTATATCACTTGATTGCGATAAATAATATGAATGATTTATATCGATGGCAGAATTAAATTCCTGAAAGTACGATAAGATGTTAATATTCGTAAGCAATTTCTTGGAAGGCTAATCGACCTACCATAAGCGAAACACGGTTTAGATCCATCATAAAGCATGGTTGGCAATTTTTACAAAGTCTGCAAGCAAGATCCAATTCGTTTCAGTATCAAAAATGAATTTCTGATTCGAGCATCTCTCTTTCTTAGATTATATGTGACGTGATCCATAAATAATACAGTAAAGGAAATACATGTTACCCAGGATTAATATTAGCACATATCGTTTGATGTGTCCGATTATTTATCTCGTCAAGACAGCTACGTAATGGAGCTACTAACTGTAATCAAGTCAAGTGATTTTTTAATAGCATCATTCAGCATATGTCAATTTAATGATCGATCGTAGTGATGTCAGATTATATAAGTATATGTAAGTCAATTTACAATTTGCTGAAAGTACAGGATATACATCCGCGATAAATATTATACACACGAATCTCTAAAAGGATGTCTGTCAATTATCGAAAGAGGCAATCATGTCACACTTGTATCATATTTTATCGCTCGTGAGTTGCAAATCAAGTATCTCGCTTATTACGATTTGATCAATCGCGAAAAATGTTCCAATTCAAATCGGTCATCTGTATCAAACAGATAGAGTGTCACTTTAAATCGGATGTAATCATTTTTTATATGAACTAGAAGAGAGCTCCGCATAATCGTGTACATCGCACTTGTTTTAGCGCTCTTTTCATCAATCATATAATAAAATATAGCTGAGGAGAAGTGATTTAAGTCTGACAATGAGTCAGAAATCTAGGAAAAATATATCACTATTCTTCTCTTTCTGGATTAGAAGGAAATCTGCCTACAATGTAAGAACTCGAGTTATGTTAGTCTCAAAAAAACTTAAAAAAAAATAAAGGAACTTTAATTTATGAAATTTAGCATCGATCGACTCCGAAAACGTGCGCGGTCAAATACAGAAAATACACACGTGAAAACTCACCTTCATATTGTTCTCCACGATATATTCGATGGAGCACATCTGATAGACGACGTAGGCGCGCATCAGCTCCATGGTGGTCTTGCTCTTGAACGCGGCGATCGGGTCGTTAAACTGCAAATCGAGCGGATCGATCTGACGATCCGCCGACTGCTGCTTCTTGACGTCAGCGGCAGCGTCGGCGGCGGAGGTCGCGTAGTCGCGCGAAGTGTCGTCGCGCACCTGTGTAACCAGCCGCAACGGTGATGTCCTCACCATCGTCGCCGACGCCGAGGCTGCCACGTTCTCCAGGAGGCCGACCACGGGCAACGGCAAGGACGGCGCGCCGCACTTGCTCAGCTTTTTGCCGGCGCAACATCGTCGTGAAACGCTCCTCAGAAACGCCATCGTTTCGGCGAGAGCGAAGAGGGGGAGGAGAAGAAATAAGGAAAAAGGGAAGAGCGCGAGAGGGAACGGGAGGAGGGCGAATTAACGAACGAGAGAGACCGTCGACGCGGTTTCCGCGCTACCGGAACGGGATATCGCGCTTGCGACCGAGGCTGCTCTCCTTCAGATCGTCGGGACGTCAATGAGACGAGCACTGAGGAGAGGACGGCAGGATTAGGAAAGAAAGGAGGAGAGCGAGAGATGATAGAACGGCTCACCGATGACGATAAATCGAATCAGAGACCTCGGATATAACAGAGGCGGACGAGATTCTCGTGCCAAGCCGGGTGTCGCCCCGTAGCTACTGGCGTACCGCTGCTGCTGGTCCTCTCCTTGTGACCGCCGCGCAACGTGCGCGTGTCCAACGAGATTCACGTACACGTACACGAGTCGCGACGCGGCGCGACTGACCGGTGACGATGACGGGGCGGTTGCGCGTCGTCGTCCTCGTTCGTCGTGACGCCGGAAAATACTCGAGGCTCGACGTCAGAGAGAGAGACGCGCGCGCGGCTCTAACAGCGTACGGCAATGGCGACCGTTCGCTTGTGCTCTCTCTTCCTCGCAACGCGACGGAAATATTGATTTTCGTTCGCCGGGGACACCAAGTCGACGACAACGTACCGTGGGCGCCGGGTCCGCGGACGGCTTAAATATAACGCGCCGTGTCCCGACCGGAGTTCGCCTACGCGCCTCGTTCCCCGATTAGCGCGCCCGCCGCCGACGCCGCCGCGGTTCCGCCACGCCGATTGGTCCGTCGTCGTAGGTGCGCGGCCGTGACTAGCGTTTGTTCACGAGCGGCCTTCGGAAAGCGCCGATAGACGCGCGGCGCGCGCATCGGGTCCGCCCGCCATTATCTGTCAAAATTTGACATTTTGATGTAATACAATAGTTCGTTTTACGCACGACTTATTAAATTTCGATATTCATCAATCTTTCCTTCTATAATAGAAGATATATAAAATACGCACTAAAAACAATTCATTCCACAATATTATACACAATATACACAATATTGACAAAGAGAAGACTCAGGTGTCATGGCCCGCTTTTAAATGATCCCTCAAAACGATACGTCCTCTATGAACATCAAAAACGTGGATATGAATTAGAAAATCAGGGTCCACGGACGTTCACAGAAGGTAACATATGATAGAACTAGATAAGAGATTCCAAAAAGTTAGGATAGATGGCATTGGGGACACGAATTATAATTGTCAATAATGTCGATCTACCTATTTTTATTATGTTTATGGTTTAAATCTCGCTTGTCAATGGATAAGTTGCCGATTGTCAGCATATCCATTCAGGGGCGTAGCCAGAGAGGTAAGGGGGCAAAAGCTTTGCCTGCTCTTGTAGCTTTCTGTCCGCTCTTGAAAAATCAAGCAATTTAAAAATAATTCTATTAATTTTTTAGCCGAAATATTTGCAAGTTGTTTGGAATATTGTATTATTAACAATAACATTTTTTCATAAATATTGTTCCTTTTTTTTTGCTTACCGGGCAGCGAAACTTCTCTGTCAGTTTCCTTGCCTGCTCTTCTACTTGACTACGCCCCTGTATCCCTTCTGGCATCACTCCTCACTTCCATGATGTTCATTTACATCATTTCATTGGTTAAGAAAAATTTAGTAGTGGCATTTAATAATAGCATTTAATAGTATTTAATAGTAGTAAATATCTGCTTTGTTAAAAGCAGATATTTGAGTATGCCATATAGCGAAGAACATATTAAAGACAAAGTGACAGAGGGATTGAAAGCTTCACACGTGGTACGTAAATAATTCTTTTATCGGTTCTTTTTTTTATTCCTTTCCTATACTTGTGCCACGTATGATGACGTGTCGTTTTGCCAGGAACTATTCTCGAAATTCTTGCCGATTAGTTTTGCGATTCGAGGATAAATTTCGGAGCGATAAACTTACTCTCGGGACCTCGCATAAGGGAGAATGCAGGGAAAACTGCAACTCGCTTTGATCTCCTGCTTTGCCGTTCTTTTGAGATGCTGCATTATTCATCATTCTCACAGCGGAGAGGGCAAGCCTCCTATGTATGGAGATTATGAAGCACAGCGACACTGGCAAGAAATCACGTTGAACCTACCCCTTGATAAGTGGTATATCAATACCACAGATAATGATCTACAATATTGGGGTTTAGACTATCCACCTTTAACAGCATACCACAGTCTTTTATTAGGTCACATTGCGAATAGGATAGATCCATCTTTTGTAAAACTGCAGGAATCCAGAGGATTCGAGACTGTAGAGCATAAGCACTTCATGAGACTGACTGTCTTAATTGCAGACATATTAATTTATATACCAGCAATTATATATTTTATAATCAATTTGCGTTTGTCAGACAGTCATGGATTTAATGAGTCCAACATATTCAAATTTAAGAGAAGAGATGTTGTCCTTTTAACAATATTGATTTATCCAGGAATAATATTAATAGATCATGGACATTTTCAATACAATTGCGTGTCGCTGGGTTTCTTCGTAGCTGCTGTAGCTGCTATGATGCAAGATTCAGTCATCCTTAGCTCAATTCTATTTGTTTTAGCACTAAACTATAAACAAATGGAGTTATATCATGCTTTATCATTTTTCTTTTACATACTTGGGAATCATATACCCAATAAGACAAAATCTTGGTTTTTCTGTATTCGCATGTTGATATGCATCTCTTTTGTGGTATTATTAACATTTTGCATTATTTGGATGCCATTTTTCAAAAGTAGGGATTTATTTTTCAATACAGTGCTCAGATTATTCCCGTTTTCCAGAGGTGTATTTGAAGATAAAGTTGCCAATGTTTGGTGTGCAATCAATGTTTTCTGTAAATTACGACAGATTTTTACAAACATGCAATTAGCTAAGATTTGTTTAACGGTAACAACATGCGCAATGCTACCGAGTTGCATCAATTTATATTTTTTACCTACAAAAAATACATTTATACTTTCTCTTATAAATTCTGCCTTAGCATTTTTCCTTTTCTCATTCCAAGTTCACGAGAAATCTATACTTTTAGTTGCCATACCAATTTTATTGCATTTTCATAATGATCCTTTTCTTTGCTTTTGGTTTTTGATCATTTCACATTTCAGTATGCTACCATTATATATAAAAGATGAGCTATACCTTGCTTATCTTGGCACAATAATTTTTTATTTCTGTTTTGTTTCTTGGATGTGGTCTGACATATTTTACAACGACAAAACGAAAAGTTTGTTAAATAAGAATACATCAAGATCAAAGAATAAAATACAACAGTATAAGAAAAATAAATTCTTTTCAAATTTTCCAAGCTATAATAAAAAATGGCTCTTCATTGCGTTTTATGTATCCATTTCAGGTGTGTTACTTCTCTCTGTCGTCAGTAAATTTGTAAAACCTCCTGAAAAATATCCTGATTTATTTTCTCTTTTAATATCGATATATTCATGTGGACATTTTCTAGGCTTTTTTGTATATTTCAACTATGTCCAACTATTTGTACTAAAGAAAGAGATTCTGATGAGTAAAGTTAAGTCACATTGAGTGATGCAGTTATTGAAAATAAAAAATGTATAAATTGTTATAAATAATAAATAAAAATTTGTTTTTATAGAGTCGAATTTAATTTCTTCTTGGCCCTTGTTTCTGCGACATTAATTGATTCTCTTGCTGTACTAATTTTATCGTAAACGCGTAATGTTATCGCGGAAATCAATTATGTGAACAATTTTCATTAAAGAACACAAGTTTAATATTGACAATATGATGTACATCAAACTATCTTTTTTTCTTGATGAAATATTTCTTTATTACGCATTCTTCTGTCTAGAATATCGATCTAAACAAGTCTTGATCTTTTTAATAAGAATAATAATTAAACTATATGATAAAAAGTTCAAATTAAAAAGTTTTATTTTATTTTAGTTTATAATTTCCGTAATTTATAAATAGTACATTATATATTACAATTTATGAATATCTATCCATAATAAAAAATACAACACAAAATTATACAATACTAATTTATATCTATGAAAATTAATAGAATTATTAATATGATTATATATATATACATAAAAATATGAACATACATATTTTTTAGTTTACTATACATACTTCGATATTCAGAATAAGATAAGATATCTATTTTCAAACCTTGCTTTAAAACTTTTTTTAATTTGCATTTAAAATCAGTATATTTTCATAGTAAGTCTCAGTCATACGAAAGAATTACTTCAAACTAGTTGCCTTGCAGTCTTTGTAAAATAAATATATAAAATATAAATTTTATTTTTTTTTAAATTTTAATCGACATCTATTGAAACTTTAATTGAACGCTTTTATATCAACGATGATATAAAAAGAAGTTCGTAATTACGTTTAGGTGTTTTGACTATAAGTGATATATGACACAGTTTATTAAAAATAAATGATCTTAATATCATCTATAATGTTCTAAAAACATGTTTTACAAAATTTTGTTCTGTATATTATTTATTAATTATTAATAATAACAGAAAAAAGATAAACGATATTCAAAGAGCAAAAACAATATAACAAAAAGATTTGTGCGATAAAATTTTATTAATGCATCTTTTTATTAATATCATCAATCTAAGAAAATAACAAGATAATTTATGTTTAACAAAGCAATGAAAGATAACAGAATAAATATGAAGTCGCAAATATATTCCACACAGCAGATATTGTTACTAATTTTTAGTGGCTTTACAAAGATATATTATTCATAAAATACCTTATTACAGGAGGTGGTAGATCAATCTGATGGTTGCGGCGCCAAGTTCTCGGTGATTGTTGTTTCTGATTTATTTCAAGGAAAGCCCACCCTGCAACGTCACAGGTAATATATTATTTTCACAAATTATATGCATTATAAAAATGTAATTTCAATACATACCTTTTCATTGAAACATTTTAAAATAAACTGATATAAAATTTCAATAATGAAATATATAATTCACACACACAGGCTTGTGTATGGAGTCTTGGAAGAAGAACTGAAGGCAATTCATGCTATTTCAGTAACAACATTAACACCAGAACAATGGGAAAAAACAAAAACCTGACTGTTGAATCTTATTAAATTTCTTCGTAAATTTCATAATTAAAGAAAATTGATTACTTTTCTCACAACCGTTTTACGTTAACCGTTTTACGTTTCTAATAATGGTAGTTTTATTTCTGTATGAAAGCACAAATCTCTAATTTTTTTTCTACTTAATATTACATCATTTTTTTAAATAAAAGATCATTTTTACTTATAAAAATGATTCAATTCAGTATATCCGCACCGGGCAAGGTGATTTTACACGGAGAACATGCGGTAGTATATGGAAAAACTGCTCTTGCAGCTAGCTTAAATTTACGAACTAAGCTCAAATTCAACGAACAAGATTTAAACAATATCGATATAAATTGTCCTGATATTCATTTGTGTTTAAGTATACCTTTAGATGTAATTTTAGAGTGCTTTCAGCCTTCTTACCCGTTTAACGAGAATACTAATCGATTACTTGATCAAGTCGAACAATTTATCACCTTAAAAAAAGATTTTTCTGGCACATATACCGGTTCAAAGCAGCAGAAGTTAAGCTTGCAAGCGATACTTTATTTGCTCATTTATATCGCTTATGAAGAACAGATGCAAATTAAATCTTTCTCCCTGCATTTATCTACGGAATTAACGATCGGCGCAGGTTTGGGTAGTTCGGCATCGTTTGCAGTTTGTATTGCAGCGTGCTTTTTCCACTGGGCACGTCTACAGAAGAGTGATGTTCATAATACATTCAACGAAGACGATCTCGAGAAAATTTCAAAATATGCTCTGAGCTGCGAGCGAATTATGCACGGTTCTCCTTCTGGAATCGACAACAGCGTATGCACATATGGCTCAATAATAAAATTCCAACGGGGAGAGCCAGTGAATATACTGCCTAATATGCCAAGCTTGAATATTCTGTTAGTTAATTCGATGATCAGTCGGAATACGAAAGATCTGCTAGAACGAGTGATAAAGATGAGACAATCTTATCCCGCAATCATTGATCCGATCTTCGACAGCATTGATGCTGTATCAAAGGCGGCTCTTCAGATACTTCGTGAAATATATGATATTCAGTCAACTAATGATGCAGATCTCCTGGAATCACGATACAAAAACTTATTTGTAAGTCTCACATTCTGCGAACTTTAACATTATTTCATTACATATTTCAATTAATAAATTCAATTAATTGTGCGTTGTCTCCGCATGAAAGATTCATATATATTCACTGAAAATTATAGTCTGCTTAATATATAGTCATACGTTTTACAGGCTCTCGTCCGTACGAATCAAGCATTACTTAGTGCATTAGATGTATCACATTCGAAGCTGGACATCATTTGCTCAATAGCACGAGATCACTCATTTGCGGGGAAACTCACAGGCGCTGGTGGAGGTGGATACGCATATATTTTGTTACAGCCAAATATTGATGACATACATATTACGTTCCTCTGTGAATTATTAACAAGAGAAGGTTTCGGTGTCAATAGAACCAGTTTAGGTTGCAACGGAGTGACGATTGAACATATATAATGAGATAAGATTAGTGTTAGAATCATCAACATAATATGTATAAGTATTAAGTATAAAACTTAATTACAATGATGTTTTAATGAAAAGACAAACAAAGAATGGGGAATTTTATAATTCTATATATTAAATAATAAAGCATGGTTATTACATTATAGAAGGATCAGGAAAGATAGTTATGAAATATTCTTTCATACTATAGTATAATATGTAACAACAATATCACATATGCTTAATTTGTCAATTACTATTATTTATTTGCGCCATATACAAGAACCGACCCGAAAGAGAAAAAATATTTTCTTTATATTTTGACTTTTAGAGTAATAAAAATTTCATCCAAATTTATAAATAAATAGAAGCATAAGTATCATTTTGCGCCAAATCCTATAATATCCTCTCGAGCCAACTTTAGTGATATATACTTTAATTAAATTAAAATTGCAATAATTAATTGTAAATAAAACTTTTATAAAAAACAACAAAGCTAACACTGCTTATCTTATACATCAAAATTATATCAAAATATTTTGATCTGATATACAGATATGATGATCTACAGATATACTGATATACAGATATTGCATATATCTGATATAATAATATCAAAGTATAATTATATATCTACCTCGTATTAATTATATAATGAAATTATAATATGCATCAATACAAGGCATCATAAAGATTGTTTTTTAAGTAGAACAATCATTTTGTTCGACTAGTTTATAGTATTAAAATAAATATAAAAGAAATTACTCATTTATATTAAAACTTGATGATATAATTAATCGTATCTCTTAGAATTCTATTGATAGTAAAAAAAGATTTTTTACCTGACACATAATACATTATCTTACTCTATCGTCGGTCGATACATTATCTTACCCTGTCAAAAAAATATTTGTGTTAACTTTAAATTAATATTTAAGCGAGTGATAGTTTATATAATAAATGCACTTGCACTAATATAAGCAAAAATTATAAATTAATTTTGAGAATACGATCTATAAGTAACGCCACTATTTCTCTTTGTCTTTCCTAGATAAATATACTATTGTTTTATTGGCGTAAATTGCCGTTCATTACAAGATGATCTGAATCAGAGATACTATCACTTGGATCTTCTATGTTATGCGCTACGTTAGATACCGACTGCTTCTCTTCTGTTTTCACTTCAGCTATCCATTCGTTTATCTCATGAGTATACATCTTTCTTTGTAGAACCTCTCGCGTTCGCGGTCGCGAACCGATGAACAAAGTGCTTCCTCCAACGACTAAAGAGTTGCGCAGATTTTCCAGAGTTTTAAAATCTTCAATTATGCATTGTAATTCATTCCACTTTAATTCCACTTCCTCGTGGAGCATTTTTTCTTCTAAAAAATAAGATGCAAGAATATGTATTATATAAAAGTTGTAAAATTTTTACTAGAAACAAAAAGAGAAAGAATCCTTATTGTTCAAATATTTACCATCGTGTTTTGAAGTCGATTTTTTATATTGTATCCTAAATCGAAAAGCTTCCAAGAAACTGGATACTACAATAGTTAATACGATCATCGTTACTAGATAAAATATCATAAAGTATATTCTCGTGTACATGCCCACGGTAACGGCGTACGCATTCATGTGTATAAACCAATTATTAACAACTGTTAATTCGAATAGTGTTATGCCACTCGCTAAGAGATTGTCAAAAGTATTAAGATAGTAATATCCCAGCGCTGTGCTACCATTGACAGAATACTCATAGAAATCTTCGACGGTTGTATTTCTATCGAAAATATTTGTAAAAATTAGTAAAAGGATAAAATGTGAGGCAAAAAATATAATATATTCACTTTGTTAATTATTGTAATTAATTTGGCACTAACTTGCAGCAATTCCGCATATCATATCCGGCGAACAATTCCATCCCGATAATCGCGAAAAAATAATACAAGACCAGCATAACGATCGCCGTCGAACACATCTGGGGAGACAGAATCACGAGGGTACCAAAAACGTCTCGATAGCGCTTCTTTATCTTGAATAGTCTCAATGTTCTGAGTGGCCGGAATATAACCAGGAATATAGCTGAGGGAAATAAAATAAGAGCGCACGCGGCAACAACAGTCATTATCGATGTTCCCAGGTCAAAGAGATTCCATCCTGAATTCAAGTAACATCGAATACCGAGAGCTAATATCTTCGACAATGCTTCGGCCACAAAAACTGTAAATTTATTTGTAAATTTATTTGTGCAAGTTTCTCTTCTTCTATATATGTTTATTTTCATTTTTAAAAAAAGATTTTTTTCACTTACGTCCTCCAAACAATAGAGTGTCCCAACATGCAGCGAATCCATGTGCTGATTCCTCAAGACTACTGCTCGGTTCTATGATTCTTATTATCATAGCGATACAATTGCCAATAATAATAACATCTAATATTATACAAATAATGAGAAATAAGATTTTCTCGCGAATATCATTCACACAAGTATCATTTACTTACACACCAACATTTCAAAGTATGACCATTTGATAACGACATGGGCACCTGTGCACAGCATTTGCAGAGGCCACGCCGTTGCTCGATACCATGGTATGTTAGAATATTGTAAGTCCCATTGAAGTGTTGCAGCATCATAGATTGATAAAAATTCCTCACTATTTAAGGCGCCACTTCCCGATGTATTCATATGGCAAAACATTAAAACAATGTCTCGTATGGCTATAAAATGTATATAACAATGCGTTATAATTGCAGGTGTTATCATTACTTATTTAGATAGTTATATATAATATCGTCATGCAACGTAAATTTACTTTCGCTTTCTAAGTTTTTATTATATGGCATGAAATTTAAGTTTCATATTGATAAAAAAAAGTAATAATCTTAAAAAACAGCAATAATCTTGAATACGTACATTTGTTTGGAGCATAATACCGCATTAAACCTTCAAACTGACGGAATCGCATTTTGTCGGGATCCTGTTTGGAAACCAGAAGCTTGAAAGCATGCTGACACGCTTTTCTCTTGTGTAGAAACAGTTTCTTAAACTTGTCACGTTCGCGAGACGTAAACGTTTCGTTTACTACCGCCAACATTAGATTCATCATTACATATAGCATGGTACATAAATAAGATACAAAATATATCGCGTACCACTTATTTTGCGAATACGACGGCATCATTACATCCGGAAAGCTACAAGTTGCATAAGTAGTAAATTATAATTGTTTTAATTTAATTACATTGAATTATATTGTCTACTCACTTAGCAGTGGTAAGAAGGACAAATAGACTGACGAAGCTATCTTGCAATGTGGAAAAATTTCTATTCATTTCACTGAACATATAATAGCCTAATACAGTATATACAATAATCAAGAAAAAAAGAAGTCCCAACATATCTAAAATAGGCGGTAATGTGAGAAGTATCTGCCTTATAAATCTCCTTACACCTCCACAATATTTTGTGTCTATTAGAAAGATAGGTCTTAGAGCACGCGTTACACGAAAATGCGAAGACTGCCGTATCAGGATTGTTATAGCTTCGAGAAACATAATAATTAATGTGATACACTGAAACAGAAATCAATTTAAGATATTAGCAGAAAGTCAATAACCTGATTTAATGATGTATCAACAATTTTTTTTCCATAAGAATCATATATCATCTCCTTTCATTTGAATTTTATTGAAGAGTATTGTGATGTGTTTGATATTACTTATAATTCAATAACTTATTATGTAAGTAAATTAAAGAGTTACTATATTTATTGTCACATCATTCAACACTCATTATTCATCTGAATGACGCGATTGTTGATTGTTATGAATGCATGAATGCTATCTGATATTCTTATATCACTATATATTAATTCATAAGTATATAAATAAATACTACTATTTAAATGATCTGATTATGCAAATATTCTATTTCTGTATATTTTTTGTAATATGTTTTATGTAAATATATCACTTTGTGCATTCTTACAGAGAATTTTAAGCAATATATTTCTTACTTTCAACATTGTACGTTTATGTTTTAACATAGGGGCCCAACCAGTCCATCTCAGTTTTAAAGCTAATTCCACACCAATAGTAATTAAAGCAAGTAATTCTACTGAACCATGTACCCACACTGATACCTGAAACAAAGTATATAAATGAAAAATATTGATAGAAAAGTATTATGTATCATTTATTCATCTATGACATACTTTAAATAATGGAAGAGCAGGTTCTTCTACAAATGCAAGTGATAGCAGAATTAATGAAATCAGCAAATCCAATCCATTGTAACAACTATTATGAACTAATAGGTATGCTGGCAAATCCTCAGGATGTCTCGGATGAGAGTCAAATTTCTCATTGTTTCTACCTTCCTAAAAAAGTATTTATATAATGCTGATAACAATAAAATGATTGCAATTTAATATAATTTAAACTGTCTTGCACAGTCACATACAATACTAAGAATAATAAACTATGCATTTTTGTGTTATATAACATACATTATGTATATATGTATAATGCTATACACACACTAGATATCCTTGAAAAAAATAATTGATCATATATGTATAAGCATGTTGCATATATTATGTCATAAACAAACTACTATTGAAATATACATATAATTATGTATGTATAATTATAAATGTATATATAATTATGTATAATTTTATGTATGTATAATTAATGAACAATTACCTCTAAAAATATTGAAGCTTCATGATAATTCATTTCCCAATGCATGTCCATATCAAGAGATGTATCGCACGCAGTAAATACTATATTCTCAGTCATGCTTCTAGCTTCTGTTTCACCTGTTTCATATTTACAATCTATCTGATTAGCAGTATTAGCATTATCAAACGAAGACCTTACATAAGTTTCTGAGGAAGGCGAAGACAGCATGGAACCATATTCTATAAGAGATATAATTTTGTAGGTCATTTTAACATGACAAATTCATAGCATACTTTTTCTAAAGAAACTCTATATAAATTAACTCCAACTTTCTCAATATCTTTAGTTAATAAAAATTTTAAATAAAGTATTTATTGGAAAAATAATTATGAATACTATACTCATTATCAGCAAAGAGTCATAAATTTGAATGACTAATGTTATAATTTGTTTCAGTGATAATATCTTTTTGACAAGACGCTTGTCTTGTCAAAAAGATATTATCACTGAAGAGTAAATATCTTTCCTGTCAACAGTAAATATGTAACTATGCAGCCATTTCACACATGACATTATCAGTGATGGAAATCTAGATGGATTTAGGATAGTAAAAATTACAAGCTGACTCACGTCGACTGGAGCCATTGGAGATCTCTTGGTCGAGCGGCAGGCCTGTCTCGTTGTTAAATCGCTCATAATCGGCGACGTGCTCGCCAGACCGCGACGAAGACATTGAAGCTTGGAGCGCGCGTCGCGTCGCACAGCTGACGCACACTGCACTAACTGTATCGTATTTCCGCGCGTGCTTTCTGTCAGCACGTCACGGTTGACAGATCTTGGTCGGCCTTGGCGGATTCAGCGAGCCGACAAACGCCTACGACTCTACCACGGGACGATGACAGATGCCGACTGGATGACGCGACGCGCACGAAGATGTATATAGGCATATATGCCAACATGTGATATACATACTTTACGTTCTTGTCGCTACTAAAGCGCATCGATATCGACGATCCGCTTGACATTATGAGAAAGTTTGACTGCGCTCTCTTACCCTGCATATGACTAAACGAGACAGACAGATGTACGCGCGGATTGATAAGGCGAATGAGAGAAAGGAACAAAACATGGAAAGTGCGACACGCATGCGTGAATCCGCCACTGCTCGACTTTCAAAGTTCACGCGAATAAAAAAAGATATTAAGAATCATATGACTCTAATCAAGAATCCATTATTTTAATTAATGAATAATTGCGCAAGAATTTCAGTGTATGTCATGAGTAACACGTGGTAACAGAGTTCATTGTCCCTCTCCACGTAATATTTGTCTTCGAACGTTGCTGTATTCCTCGTAGCATTTAAGATTAAGTATAATTTGCTTTATCAAAAAATAATTATTGGTGATAATTATTTCTTTGAACTCAAATATTAATGATTTACAAATAGGGATTCAATAAATAATAATTAATACATCGATTGCTCCGAAACTTTAACTGATTATAAAAGTATCACTGTATATTACTGAAAATTATTAGTGCCTCACACATTTTCGTTGAGGAAAAATCGTCTTCAGATGATCCCAGGAATCTTTGAAAGATGACGGAAGATAACTGGGACACCCTGTATATACATATATGTTATATATAATATCAAATGATAGTATTATATATTATATATAAAGTTTGAAAATGTGCTAAATTTTTAAAAAATGATAAATTAATAAAATAAATTAGTAAAATAAATTATAATTAAAGTTATATTGTCGAAAAATCTTCTCTTTTTTTATTCTAAAAAAATTAATACAATTGATTCCATATAAATTCCCATAAAAATTTCGAGGATTGCTTTCGTTGTATCAATACAATTGATTCCATATAAATTTTTATGGAAATTTCGGGAGTTGCTTTCGCGTTGCAATCGACAAATTGAAAGCGTCACAAAGATCCCTATCTACCACATACTCATACATAGATTTCACTGTGATAAAGTACTTTGAGCAATACAATTGAATTATTCATCAGTTAAAGTTTCGTTTTTTTTGTTATGCACAATCTAGTCGAATATTTCTCGTTCATCATTCATCATTCGCGTCTTTGATCTCTCTGCTCAAGATGATATACTCGAGGTGACGAATTAAACTCGCTTTCTACGAATTCGCATTGATCGTTACCTTTATTTATCACTAATAGAATATTACTAATAGAATTTTGCATTGTTAATCGGTCAAAAAACTGATCGATTACATAACATCTGAAGCGAAAGTTTTTGCGAAGTTGTAATGTCAGTAAAAAAAATCGTTTATCGCGTTCATTTATCTGCTATGTTATTGTATTCCTTGTAAAGGGAAGATTTATAAATGATATAAAAAACATATAACGAAATTTTAATATTCGTAGATGCACAAAATGTGCTCGGACTGAGACAATCCGGTTTGATCCGGAGTTCGAACATTTAGAACCGGCTTGATCTGGAGTTTGAATGTTTGTCGTATAGATTGTCGTATAGATATTGATGACGATTACTTTGTGTAATGTTAAATGAGATAGTCGACATTAATGATATCTATATGATTGATTCGTAGATGAATAGCGGTAGATCCAGACGGATTGCGATAAGGTATTCTTCTATATATTGAGCTAGATTGTTTATCCAACAAACTTCGATGCGTCGCAAGTAGAAAAGTTCGAATCATTGTACGCTCCAATTGATGAACATGATATTAATCACTGAGATGACAGGGAGAAGCGATTGGATTTTATACTGTTAAACCTATAGATAATTGTATGTGATATTAGAGAAGACTAGAAAATTTTTCTAGAGAAGAGAAGAGAATATACGCGTAAATCATTTTCAATAATTTATCTGGATACAGAAATATCTTCGACAAGAGAGATATGTGATGCCTATAGTGGACACGGCATATATTTCTTCAAAATATAGAAATCGGGGTTTTGATACTGAGAAAATTTTATTTGGCACGATCGCACATTTTCCAAATATCAGCTTTTCCAAGCTTTTTCAAACAGCATTAAAAAATAAATATTCAACCCGCGAGTATCATAGAATTGTAATTAGAATTATAATAATATATATATATATATATATATATATATATATATATATTATTATAATTCTAATTACTTTCTAATATATTATTATAATTCTAATTACTTTCTAATATATATATATATATATATATATATATATATCTTGTGTATAGTTCTGAAGACATTTCTGATGAAACACAAAGAATATCGACTGTGTTTTTAAGAAATTGCAAATTACGATATCGATGTATCTCAACAACTGATGACATTTGAAAATGACAATAATGTAATTTTTATGACAAAAGACGATTAGAATTTATTATAAAAATCATCGCAATGACATAACAAGGATATTTAAATATATTTAATTGATTTGTATGCATGCATGCATGCATACGTATACACTTATTCATATACATATGTATATATACCCAATTATATTTGTAGAAATATTAAATATATAGAATATATTTGAAAATTTATCTTCGCATAATAAAGCGAAAAGGAATATTCAAATCTTTTCATAGTATATGAAATGCATTTGTATTACTAATTCTATGAATAGAGTACATACCAATTTTATTTCAAGTTACTTTTAAATTCATTCAATAAAATCGATCCTATAACCATCTTCTCACAGTTTACACAAACTTCTAATTGCTCAGTGTCAATAAATTTTATTGTTACCAATACTAGCGATTTGGATGCTAAAGTATAAGCAGCAAACCTGTAATTCACTATACTTAGTTTTTTCTTTAAACTTAATTTGTAATTGTTCAGATAAAAAATGTATTAAAAACACATGCTTATAAATAATATTAACTTTATGATAAATGTGTATGCTTACCGCATGATTTCATCTTCATTAAATATTCTTGCAACATTTGCTGTCTCAAAGATTTTTTGAGGAAGAGCACTTTTGTTTCCAGAATAAGGTATTTTCGCAATATGCTCGTTCATACCTTTTAACTTGGCTTTCTCCGCATTGAACATGCTTTCGGGTAAAGTCACAGATCTTATTATCTCTCCAATTGGTGGTTTGATACTAACCAGACACGAATGTTTCTCATCATTAATCGAGAAATCGATATTGAAATTTGCCGGTTGAGTAGAGTCATTAAAATTAACACCTAGCGTAGAAGATAATGTACTATTTGTATCAAGAATTGGTATTTGTGTAAAATCATGAATAAACATTCCCTTTTGTAAATTCTGGAAATAATATATGAAATTTTATTTCATTATAATTATGATATAATTAAATTTGAAAAAATTGCTTACCTTATTTCCTACTTGAATCTCTTTAATAACATCGTTGCTTTCATTAGAAAAGGTTAATTCAATGTTAACCAAATTCGAACTAACTAAATGTTGCGATCTCGTAAATCTATATTCAATTTTTAGACCATGCCCTATGATATTATTTAACAAAATAGTTTTTTTCACTGGAACATATGATGTCGACACTTCTTGGACATTTTCCGTAATTATTGAATTAATCGGAGTAAGAAAACCACCTAAACTAGGCGTCATCACAGGAGTCATTGGAATAACTGTAAAAAAAAAATAATGAATACATTAATACTAAAAATTCTTTAAAATTTATCTCTTGCCAAAAGTCTAATTAAAGTCAACTAACCATCATCTAGATCTAATAGTAGATCAAAATTGCTTTTTGGTTTTTCTTTCACTTCTTGCTTGACGACTTTTGGTTTCTCCTCTTCGCTCTCTTGTGTCTCACTTTCTTCTTCTTCAGAATCTGATTCTTCACCGCTCGATGATTCACTCTCAGAATCATCGGATTTCATTTCATTTTTCTTTCCAATATCTATGTCAGATTTATCTGATTCACTAGTATATTCGGAAGAATCGCTATCTTCGTCTGAAGATTCGCTGGTCGAAGAATTGGATGATTGATTATCTGAATCTGAAAGCAGAAAATTAAAATATATACAGGTATACACATGTAAATGTAAATTTGAATTATGGTATTTTTACCTTCAGCAGCAGTGCTCTCTTCATCGCTGTAAAATGATTTCTCCTTGTCTTTATTCTTCTTCTTCTCTTTTTCTTTCCTATTATGTCGCTCTTCTCTATGTTCCTGCGCAATTGGAGGTGCAACATCTCGTACAGATGGATCTTGCGTTACTTCCGGGAATGGTGGTAAAGGTCGATAACCTGCGCACGGCATGTCCAGATAGTGTGACAAAGTGCCTAACTGATACTCTGAATCTTTGAATCTGGACGTTAATGTTGGCGCCGGTTTCGGTGCAAGGAAAATCCTCTTCGCGAACTGTGGTAGTTTCTTCTTTTCCTCGCTTTCATCTTCGAAGATGAAGTGCCGCAGAAAACGCGCGCGATCTCTAATATCATAATTCTGATCATACTTGGCGAGTTGGAAGACGTACTGACAGAACAATTTCGTTTGTACAGGATTGTTCAAGCATAATTTCACGGCCAGATTTAAGGTTTGCAATTTTACTATATCCTGCTCATTTACGAAACTCTTTGCCATTTTTCGGAGCACATCCGGTGCTATCTTAGGAACTCTATCGGAATATTCGCCTAAAAGCCACAGAATAGAGGCTCTCGCCTGTGGTACAGTGATGAAATCCATTAACTTCGCCATATGACCGATTATATCTTTATGCTCATTCGGCTGTGTTTGTAGGAGTTTTTTTATAACCACTACGCTTTCCGCAACAATAGCCTCTATAAAAAAATTAATGATAGCATTTATTTAAAATAAACAATACAAGATGTGTGATGCGAGTTGATAAAATTTTACCATCTCTATTGCTTAATAAAGATACTAATCCATTGAGACATGTATCAGTAACTTCCTTGATGTTGCTTGCACATCTGCCAATTGCTTGGATGCTGGCGCCAACAAATTCCTTATCACTGCTAGAGATATATGTTTGAAATTCTCTCAGTATTACACCGATGCTAGTTTCAGTCGCCAAATTCGTCAATATATCGAGTTTCAAAAGTTTTATGTGAGTGGGATCCGAAGTCCGCACGAAAAACGATTTCAAGAAGGGCTCAAACATTCCCTGAAAAACAGAATAAGTATGGATATGCTACACGATTATATGATATATGCAATATAAATTGAATTACAATAAATTATTTTGTATTACATTTCAGAGCACTATACTTACATTACCTTTCTTGTAATTGATATACTAGCGATACAATGAAGTACAATACTTTGCACTTCTCTATGACATCTTAACAATCTTATTAATGCCTTTGCAGCAATCATAACTTCACTTCTAGGTGCTGCATGATGGTATAATTGAGCAACAGCCATTACCACAGATGCATTTCGACTTTGTAACAAGGGTTTTGTGTTTCTTAATAATAACCGATGATCGGGATCTAATGTAAACTTTGGTTTCTTTGTATTGGAAGAATCGGAATCAGAGTCATAAAATGGCCGATTTTCGTCTTTGTCCAAATTCTGCGAGAATATTCAAACTATTATTTCAATTAATCGAATTAATTACCATTTCATCAAAATATCTTTAAAGATATACTTACATCTGTATTTGGATTAACAAACTGTGCTCTAGCATATCTAGTGAGCATGTTAACAATAACCACTTGGCCCCATTCGTCAACATCTACCAGTAAATTACATAATTTTCTATAATTCTTATGGATAAGATCTATTCTTTCTGGACACACTTCTTCAAAAGCCATCACTGCTGAACCCACCACAAGAGTTGTCTTGTCAGAGAGCAATTTTTCCAGTACACTTATCAATTCTTCTTTTTGTTCAGGATCCAACGAGTATAATTTAGGGATAGCATGAGCGGCAGTTTTTCTTACATATGGTGACATATCACTAGCTGAATCTTTAATAGCAAGCATAACAATGGGTACTATCATGGAAACTCGTATACTGGACAATACTCTTAAAGCACTAGCTCTTATTAGTTGATTGGGATCCTTCAAAGCTCTTTGAAATGTTGATATAGACAGAAGAGCAAGATCCTGTTGATCCTCTGCATAACGAACGAGATAAACATATACTAGCTTCTTTACTTCAATATTTTTAGACACTACATTTTTTACAACAGCTGGAAATAGTTCTGATGCATCCCTTCCTTTGGCTACCATCTGAAGAAAAGAATGAGATTATTAACATTATTGTTTAATACATCATGTTTATACCCATTAATGTCAAATTAATTACCCCAATTATACGTTTCATGGCTTCCAACTTAAGTCCATCCTTGTTACTATCTAGCATCTCCTTCAGATCTTCATGTCTGAGACATACAAAATACTTTTATGAAATTCTTCGCTTATACTATATCTATATCCAATACATAGATACATTTTTTACTATATTTAAATTATCCAGAGAGAGAAATAAAGTATATAATTCTGTATACAAAACATAATAAAATTTCAATGCGTAGTTAAAATATTTTTCAATTATCACATCATGATTGAAATTAAATTGTCTTTCACGTAATTAAATAAAAGTGGACTAATCACTTCTTATAATCGGAATGGAAAAATCCGCCGGAGGCGGGATCTGTCGCGAGATCCGCATCACCCGCGCTGGATGGCCTCTCATTACTGTAGGAGCCGTTATTGGACAACGTATTTGCGGCTGCCGTCAACATTCTTCTTGCGTAGAATGATAACACTCTTCTTTCTACGAGATAAATCCTGAGATTATTCAAAATACTCGCTCCCCGAGCTTTTGACAGCTGTAATCCTCAGAGAACGGTCATGCTGATATTCTGATCCACATCACAACCATGACTCTAAACTATATAGACGTGGCATTAGCTGTCAAAATTGAATCGTATACAAAACGAGCTCTGGCAGTCGAGACACGAAAGTTGAAACTGGAAATGAGGGGTCGAATTACTTGGGTAATTAATATCGTAATTTAATATTCGAGTACACGGGATAGAAATAATGTCTTATATTAGATTAGGCCAATAATTACGTATGGAAGAGAAAGAAATTCTGACACTACAATGGATTGGTAAAATTATAATGGAAATTTTCAGGCTCGAGGACCAACTTTACCGATCTCGTACTACTCCGATAGTCGTAACTCCGCGAATGACATTTGATGGCGCTATCGTTGCACATGACGCGAAAGCAGAATTGGAGCATAAAAGATCTGGGTTCTCTCTCGAAAATATTCCTCTACCTGTTTCGATCATCCCTCTCTCTCAAGTCAGCGTTCCTGCGTTTCCTCGTCGTAGGTAGACACGGACGTTTCTCGCCGAAACGCAGTATAAGCTCCGTGATCGTATATTTACCATGCCTGCACCTTCTTACACTTTCTACAGTCGAAATATCGAAGGTGCAAAAGGTGCAATGGAATAAAGCGCGAAAATAAGATATTGCGTTTCCAGAGTAGAAAAGAAAACTTTTTTCTTATTCCAACTAATTCCAGCGGAAGAAAAGCAAGTAAGCTGAACGACTCGAGGGAGTCTTCTTCTCGAATAACTCGATCGGTTACATTCGGCTAGTCCGGAGCGTTATTTCTCCTGAGAAAATGAAGGGCTATATTCAACGTGACGAGGAAGGCAAACCAATCATAGACAGCAATGGATTCGTTACAGTTACATGTGAAGGTAATGGATCGTAAATATTTTTATTTTAAGATATATGTAATATACCTAAAATTGCATAATAGTTATTATTTATATTATATTTTGTGCATATGTCTTTAAGTCTAATTTGGAGTAAATTATAAATAATTGTTAATATAAATATATTTACACATATATAGATGAAAGCTTGGTGTTCCAACTACATCTGTCAGAAGTTGATGAAAAAGCGGAGCAAATGTGTTTCAACGTCAATGGTAGAGATGTATACATCGATATATGTCCATGGGAAATGATTGAGAATGATTCTGAAAATGATAAAACAGAAATAACTGAAGATGATAAAATCAATATCCCATCTACAAGTAAAAATGGGAATACGCATTTTCCTTGGTGTGATGCGTCGACAAAAATCTTTTTGAGAGAATATAAGCTTAAGAAAGAATTGGTAAGAAATCGGAAACTAAAAAATATGAAACTTGCATATCAGGAAATATCGCAAAGCTTGCAAGATAATGGATTTACCGTATCTCCTTTACAAGTAGAGAATAGATTCAAAACACTGAAACGTGCTTATAAAAATATGATAATACATAATAGAAGGAATGGAAGAGGAAAATATATCTGCAGTTATGAACAGTAAGTTTATTTTCATTAGTTTTTTGTATATATTAACATTAATATTCTCAATTAATGTATTAAATATGTTTACAGAGATTTAGATGAAATCTTTTCTAAAAGTCTCTTAAGTGATGATACAGATATGAAAGAAGGAACCACAGAATCAGAGTAAGTTATAACTTGTCAAGATGATTTAAAATTTATTCAATTAAAACTGGTCTAAACTGATCACAAATGTCTTAAATGTCTGGGAAAATTATTAGAAGTAATCAACCACAATTGACTTTTACAGAAATGGTACATTCAATGCTGAAAGAATACATAATTCTGGAAAGAATAATGAACAATATGCAAGATTGGAAGCTCAGCATATGAAGCTAATTGATAATCTACAAAACTATCAGCGTATGATGAAGAATTTAATTACCAAGACAGATAATAGAAGTAAAATTTGCAATGAAACACAAAATAAAATCTTGCAAATATGTATGGAAATGCATGAAACACAGAAAGAAGCATATGCTCGTGCAGAAGAACAGAGAGAAAAAGCCAATATACAGAGAGAAACAAGAAATAATTTACTTGAGGAAATTTTAACAATCCTAAGGTCTAGAAAGGAAACATAATGTAATCAATGTCAGATAAGCAAATGCATAATATTTTGTTAACATCTTTAATAGTTACAAAATGATGAATTATTTATTTTATTAAATCCATGATCATTTAAGAAATCCTGATCATTTTTTTGTTGTATAATTTATAATGTTACAAGATTAACATTCTCTTATCTGGCAATTTATGACAGATTGTATATTTATGCAATATTTTTTATATATGTACATACACATTAATGTAAAATATTAAATGCAAAACTTACTTATCATGGAAAAAAGAAAATCACATATAAGTAAAAGAGCAAAATTCTTATATACATTGATGTAATAGGCCAATTTAAGCTATTTTAATGGCCAAAAAGTTAAAATCAAATCCAATTTTTTACATAATCCAGTCCTCTATTATATAATTAATGTATATAATATTTGTATTATTCTCTCTCTCTGTAATATTGTTAAAATGTTCTAATTTTAGCCAGTTCCAATTTTCCAAGACTATTTTGCATAAAATGTTCTAATTATTTTATAAAAATACATATTTTTTATCAGATATAAATACATACCATTTAAACTATTTTTCTTTTTTTGATGCGATCATAAATACGATATACGAATATACGTTAAAATTCATGCAAAGAGTTTTACATTCAAGTTTTTATTTCCAAAAGTCGAACACTTCATTGTTCTATTACGATACTATCTGATGCAATCCAATTCATAGATATCAGGCTTTAAGCTATGACGATTCACATACTTCCTGTCGCTCACATGTCTCGCGGTTGTGCGCTAGCATATTTCCTTATTTATTAATATATTTATTAATTTATTGGTAACAATGATTATTTCAACAAACGAGAATAACCCGAACGCGTTGAAATTGATTATCGCGGCTAAATTGATTCAAAAGACATTCATCGTTAAAGTCGTGAAATCTGGCGGTGAGTCCATTAACCTCTCTCTTCCTGCTCACCTTTATAATTAATTTGTAATTAAATAAAATTTTAGCAAAATCAAGAAAAAGTATAGATTATATAATCATTTTAATATTTTCAATTAATATGTAGCATGCATGTTGTTAGTAACTCCATAATTGTTTCATGCAACAAGCAGCATGTATTGCATTATGTACAGACGCTGTTCTGGGTCGTTTACCAACGCTAACTGTATCTTCGGGATTATCCTTATTCAGTGTGTCTTCAGCACTGCGTCTTTTATTACCTATATCTAAAGAATTGGAGGTCCTCAATAATAGATGGTTGGAATGGGAAATTTCTCAATTACAGGTATAATTTTGTCTCTCAATATATTAAAACAGATTTTTTCTTTTTAAATATTAGAAATATATTAAAATTTAATATACTTTTCCTACAGCCAACTATATTAAGTTATACAAGTGCGAGGACTCCTAAAATTTTACAGAAATCAGACTTATGGTCTTTATTAAAAGATCTCAATAGTGAATTAAAAAACAAACAGTACTTAATTGAGGTATGAAATAACATAAAAGTATTTTATTGTTTTATTTTAAAAAATATATTTTATTTGACTTTTTAATCTTTTTTTCAGGAACATAGTAATTTATCACCAGCATTTATATTATCACCAGCAGATATTTCTATTTGGGTAAGCCTTTGGAGTACCATATTACTTCCAGATATCAGAAATGATATTTCCAAGGATCTATCAAATGTCAATAACTGGCTAATTAATATTGAGAAGCAGCCAGTTATTCAGGTATAAATAATATATATTCAGATATAAACAATAATAAATACTCTACATTATGCAATTATTATTTCTATAAACAAAGATTTGATATATTATTAATTTATTATGAATATGATTATCTAGGAATCTATCAAAGAGTTTAACTTGGAGAGAGGTGCAAGAGCTATCGCAAGTATTGAAGCTGTCTCTTGGTTTCCTGTTAATGCAACCTCAAATAATTCACAACTTTGCAAGCCAGTATCAAGTGATGTAAGTATTTAGCACTTTATATAATAGAGAGAACCTGACCACACCAATATTTTGCCTGCTACTGTTTTACAAGATTGCTTGATACATTCCTCGCATCTGTTTTCAAAGTTGGAACTTTTTTGCATACCCATTTTTTAATTCATTTTCTGATAACTGTCGATAATGTTTCCACTTGTATCCATGCTATGCTCTTTCAAATGTCACTTTCTGACACTGCCAATATGCTAAATAGATCTAAAGGGCATTTGAAAATGGTGGGGCATATCAAGCAAACTTGTATTTCTTGTAAAACGATAACAGGCAAAATACGTGGCCATTTTTAGATTTCTCTTTGATATCGTTTAGGCATTGTTTAATTTTTAAAAACAACTAAATTATAATTTTCTTTTTCATATTTTAGATTTCTATTGATATAAGTAACTTTATTTATAGACAAAAACTTAGAATACAATTAAATTTGAAATTTATCAATATATATTTGTTTAATCTTTAAATTATTTTTATGCAAAAAGATATCGATTTCAAATCTTTACTTTTATGCAAAAAAAATCAATAAAATAAATTCTTATTAAAATTTAAGTACAATAGATTTATCTAAACATTTTAACGGTATCTAAATGATTAAAAATTAATCAAAATATATTCTTACTAAATGATTTTAAAATCAATAAAATATATTCTTATTAAAATTTAAGTACAATAGATTTATCTAAACATTTTAACGGTATCTAAATGATTTTAGATTAGCCCAACTAAAGAAAAAGAGATGGAAACTGTTAGTCAAGAAGAACTTCATAATGTAGAAAAAAGCTGGACTACTGGACAATATCCAGAAGTAAAAGAAAATTCATATCCCATGTAAGTTGGATAGATTGTATGAATTTATGAAATTAAGAATTGTTTAAAAATAATTATGCTCTTTTTTTTTTTAGATTGCCTAAAAAAGGCGAAAGGAACATATTGGTAACATCAGCTCTTCCATATGTTAATAATGTTCCACATTTGGGAAACATTATCGGTTGCGTTCTTTCAGCTGACATCTTTGCAAGGTTTACATTAAATATACAAAAATATCTATAAATGTGTCATAATTTGTAATATTAATTTGCAATATTATTTTCTTTACTTACACAGATACTGCAGGCAAAGAAATTACAATACTCTTTATATAAGGTAATTATCTGTTTTTTGATAACATAAAGAAAATATATATATAATATATCTATAATTATTTGAAATAATTTATAATTTTAGCGGGACCGATGAATATGGCACTGCAACTGAAGCGAAAGCTCTGCAAGAGAAAACAACTCCTCAAGTTATTTGCGATAAATTCTTTGATATACATAATGATGTTTATCGATGGTTTGGTATTGGATTCGATTATTTTGGTCGTACTACTACACCCGAACAGACAGAGTAAGAGCAATATTAACAGTATTATTTTTTTTGTTTTTTTGTTTTTAAATCTTTATCTCTTTTATTGTTTTTTGCATTCTTTTAGAATTGTCCAAGCATTTTTCTTAAGAATCAAATCGCAAGGTTACGTATCGAGTGAGACTGTGGAACAACTACATTGTGAATCTTGTGATCGGTTTCTCGCTGATAGATTTGTAGAGGGCACATGTCCCAGATGCAAATATGAGGATGCACGCGGTGATCAATGCGATGGTTGCAGTCATCTTGTGAATGCAGTCGAGTTAATAAATCCTCGATGTAAGATGTGTAACACTAGACCTGTTATTAAAAATTCGATACAGTTTTTCTTGGATTTACCCAAAGTAAGTTTATAATATCGTGATCGTTCCATTGATGATATCTCTGGCAAATACATATTACAAATATATTTTTCTCATATATTGTAGATAGAAAAAAGATTGAAGGAATATTCCATTACTGTGGAGAAAGAGTGGTCCAGCGTCGCGAGAGCGGTTTCGAAATCATGGTTACGTGATGGTCTTAAGCCGCGTTGTATTACTAGGGACTTGAAATGGGGTATACCAGTCCCAATAGAGGGTTTCGAAAATAAAGTGTTTTACGTCTGGTTTGATGCCCCTTTCGGATATATCAGTATTACAAAGAGGTATACCAAAGAATATAAGAAATGGTGGCAACCTCTTCAGGATACAAAAATCGATTTGTGCCAATTTATGGCAAAGGATAACGTTCCGTTCCACGCGATAATGTTTCCCGCTTATTTACTAGCGGCCAATCAAAATTATACGTTGATCAAGTATTTAATGGCAACTGGTACGATATCTCCAAAGAATACAAGAATACACATTTGTCGGATGCACTTTATGCCTTTGTCTCTATGTATCTTTAACATTTTCTTTTTCTGAATGATATGCTCTTTTTTCTTTATATACTATCTATTGTTCGCTTCTCTCAGTTCTATATCATTTCTATATTAGTTTAATATCTATGTTGTTTCAGAATATCTGAATTATGAGGATAAGAAATTCTCCAAATCTAGAGGCATTGGCGTATTTGGAACTGATGCCAGAGATACTGGTATTCCGGCGGACGTATGGCGATTTTATTTAGCTTACATTAGGCCAGAAACTCAAGATTCTAATTTTAATTGGGTAGATTTAGCCACGAAAAACAATAGCGAATTACTGAATAACCTTGGCAATTTTGTCAACAGGTTTGTAATTGTTTTATCTTTTTGTAATGCAACAATTAACATTGTGATAACTTGTTATTAACAGTCCCAAAAATTTATTATGGATAGAGCTCTGGTATTTTCTGAAAAGTTCTTCAATTCTACCGTACCACCGATAGAAGCAGAAGAAGCTGATTGGACTGTATTGGCGTTGGCACAACGCGAATTGTCATGTTACATAAACGCAATGGAGCAAGCTAAATTGAGAGATGGCTTGAAATACATATTGGCGATTTCAAAACATGGCAATCAATACATGCAATTTCAACAACCATGGGTAAAAGTTAAGGGGACCGACGATAACAAGTAATATCATGTTTTAACTATTACTTCATATTTTGAATGTGAATATTTGTTTTTTAATTGAAAGACATTTTTATTGAAAACTAATAGGAAAAGGGCTGGAACTGTCATTGCAATTTGTTGTAATTTAGCCTGCCTTCTATCCGCTCTTTTGGCTCCTTTTATGCCCTCTACAGCTAAACAATTGAGATCTCAACTAGGTTTGAGTAATAAAAGTTATGGCTACATTCCTGAAACAATAACAAATATGTTACCTACTTGGCATAAAATTGGCAAACCCAATCCATTATTCACTAAAATTGAGGATCAAAAAATAGAAATGTTACGCAAGAAATATGATGGACAACAAGAGACTAATAATGGAATATCGGCAAATAAAGTTTCCGATGAAAGTATTACATTAGAAGCCGCCATCACGAAGCAAGTTAGTAAATCTTTTCTTTCTACCAAAAAAAAAAGCATTTCTTTACATCTTTCATATTTTTTAGGGTAATTTAGTAAGAGAATTGAAAGCGAAACGCGATAAGAGTATTTGGCAACCTCAAGTAGAAATCTTGTTGGACTTAAAGAAAAAGCTTAATGATCTCAAAAATAACGTAAACACATCTGAGAAAAAATTACCCGCGAAAAATAAGAAAGTCGAACCGATACATGCACCAGAACAAAATGGAGATGCTCTAACAGACGTGATGGCGTTAGAAATGGCTATCGCGAAACAGGTATTGGAATCGTAAAAAACAGGATATTTTTCGTTCATAATTGTGCACTCAATTTACATACATTATGTCGCTACTTTAGGGAAATCTTGTGCGAGAATTAAAGGCCAAGGAAGACGGAAGTATATGGAAGCCACAAGTGGAGATATTATTGGAAATGAAACAGCGTTTAATGGATCTCACTGGAACAGCGCCAGTCGTTGTTGATAAGAAATCCAAGAAGAAAAAATAACTTCTAACTCATTTCTTTTTGTAATAAAAAGTGATGAAGTATTTCTTTTTTTATCACGTCTCTTTTTAAATTATTATGTAAATTATTATATTTATATAATAATTTCTTTTATGTGTGCACAAAAAAAGTGTACTCAATAGTATTTGGATAAAAAATCTAAATGCTCTTTGCATTTAATATGTTTATTATATTCCATATGCGGATTATGTACTGGAAATTGGAAAGAAGCGGTCGTAAAAAAAAATATTTATATTTTATTTAAATATATTCATTCGCACTATATACATTCGCACTATACATATATCTGTATATGTAGTGATCTGATAAATAATTTATATGAAAATTGAGAGAAAGAGAATTTCCTCTGTTATTGTCTACAATTTTATTTATGTCTTATCGCTTCATCATTAAAATCTTGTGAAAGAAACGATTTGTTTTTGGAAAAACCAGAGTACTTTTATCGGACAATGTTTTCTCCTTTGTCTTATTTTTCTTATGGGTTTTAATGTCAAGTGTTTGTTTCGAATGCATCGTATAAAAGACAAGTTGCTCGACTCCAAATATAATTAGTGAAATCATCATTCCAAAGAGCAAAAGAAACAAAATTGGCGCCACTTCGTAAATAGTTACACTGGAGACGAAGACTTCATCATTTGGACAATAAGGTCTTCTAGCCGATCGGCGGCGTATTTCTCGTCGCCGAAGTCCCGAGGTGGATATCTTCAATAATCTGACAATATCAATCCATGTAAATCAAATTTCAATCTAAGATATCCTTCATCTTAAGGAATATAAAAATAATATTTTATTATTATAAGGATATACTTACGCTATTTTACTGATTTCGTGAAAGTGACTTTTAAGATTGGACCACAGACCTAACTCGGAGGGTTGTAGTAGATGAACTTCCGTGAGTTGACAAATCATCTGCTTGTCAAACGCTTGTTCAATGGACGGATAAATATCATCCGGATCTGCATGGTATGCAAAGCCTCCCTTTTTTATTCTTTCCACGCCATCCTCAATCGTGATAAATCTTTTTGATTCCGGTATAATGTCCCAAATGTGCTTAAAGTATTGCACTTCCGGTCTTTTATTCTAAATTCAATATAGGTTCATTGAGATTCGATTAAGCTTAAAAATATTGGAAATTGTTATAGCAAGACGTGCTTTTTTACCCGCAATAAAAAGTCAAAGTAAATGTTTTTCTCAGCCGCAAATTCCATCTTGCTATGCCCCAACGAATAAAGCGAGTCATTCATCTTGTGGAGAGGCTCGTTTAATCTAGCTGACACTATCGCCGCCGAATAATAATTGTACACCAACAGACCGAAAACCGTGATCTGAATCAACGCGATTCGACTGGCTGATTTGTCGGTGAGAGAAGGAAAACCTAATCGCAATATAATGTATAGCAAGAGCGCAGTATTTTTGTTATTGTATTGTACAACCATATGTACCTTGCTGGCATAATGCGGCGACAGCGATCAATGCCGAAATGCTGTAACCATAGTCACTAGCGTGTTCCAGTTTTAGTATGAAGGATAAGATAAGAACGATAATTACTACGATCACAATTATCATGTACCACGTATTCGCCGCGAATGGCTTCAGTATTATCCAGGATTTTATCTTCATCGCTGGTATAGTACGAAACATGAAGCAAGTTCTAAATGAGAAATTAATAAGCCTTGGAAATATTATATTCATACTTTATGAAAATAAAGTATACATATATCATAGTTACATATTAACAGATATATGAGTTCTAAAAGCCAGATTGATAAACTTCATTTTTAAATTTTCAAATAAATTTTTTAAATTTCAATATCAAAGTATTACCCAGGTAGCAAGATGATATCTAAAGACGTCTTAATGACGTTATTAAAACGTTATTTAAGGTGTCATTTGACGTCATTCTGCCTGGGTAATTATGTATTTTCGCACTAAAATTAAAAAATTAGTAAAAAATGAAGTGACTTTTGAGAGACTTATATCTGTACGCATTATTATATTTTTTACTTCTTTCTGCTCAATTATATTTTTTTCTCTTATTGGATACTGTTTACCGCGTGGGCCATTGCGGAAAGATGACACGTGCGTCTCTGTATCTGTCAGTCGTCAGAATGGACGGATAGTAGCCCAAGTCAGCATCGTCCCTTTTCAAGGTCCTCATCAAGGGGCCGTTCCTGTCATTCTTGTCCCATTCTTTAATCTCGATAAGATCCATGCTACGTGCGAAAATGTTCGTTGAGCAATTGATGATGTAGGAGAATATATGAGATATTTTTAGGCATTATCGTAATCTTGATTACGTGAAGTTAAACATATCGGAGACGTGCGAGAGGAGAGTGTATCCGAATTTGGGCCAGTTGTCCATGACTTCAAGACCTTCGCCCTCCAAGTAATCCACCAGCGTCATGTGTTTCGGTCTATGCAGTACCTATGAATATTTATCGTTTATATGCTAAAATTACACATTTTTTATTAAACTTGAGACTTACGATTCCGGCCGATTTGGCACGCAATCCATGATAATTTCGTCGTCTGGTAATCTTCGAATCATTTAAAGCGATCGTGAATCCGATGTCTTTCCTCCAAGTACCAAGTTGCGTAACATTGAGTATTCCGCCGCGCATTTTGCAGTGATTATATACATCGTAGAGAATATAACCGGACTGAGAATCCGATAACATGATCACAAAATCCGTGACAATGCTGAAGACGCTATCGTTCAAGCTTTGCAAACTGTGACTCAAGTTACTTCCCAAAATCAGCCAGTTGTATGAATAATCAAACATGCGATAGGCCGAAGCCTAATTATAAATACATAACAATAATATATATAAATTTTATTCTTTATTTAATTTTACGAGTAATCTTTTTTCGGTAAAATAAGACAAAAATCAGAATTCTTACTTCATCGAAAATGCTACTGACGTTCTGATTCGGACATCGCATGTCCAGAAACACACCTAAGGTACGTGTAGTATCAAGATATCTCAGAATATTGACTTGAAAGCCAGCAGGTTTAATTGCCGTAGACATCCCGGCGTCGGTCAGCAACTTCATCGTAAGAAAATCATCTACGAAGAAGATTATTAATTAAAAAGAACGCGCAAAAGAGATAGACGGAAAGAAAGAAAGAAAAAGAGAAGGCGAATCTACCTACCTTCTACATTTCCGCAGGAGAATCCTACTACTCTAGTTACCTTTTTGTAGACAAAATAATCCCGAATGATGAGACTGGTTTGCGCGTACACGAAAATAATGAATGCTTGCGAGAGAAAAATACTCAATAGATGCATCCTTGTAAACTGTAAGATTGCTGCGACAATGCTGTAACTACTATGTTTCAACTACATTCTATGTAAGATTCCGGAATAATTTCGAACTCAAGACAATAATACATTCGAGACACAGTAGAAACGATTTGCGGAATTCGAAATCACCCATAACTCGCGCACATCAATTGACATGACAGCATAATCAGCGGTTACTCCGATACTAACCACATACATAGGGTGTCTCGCTGTCTTCGTTATTCATTTTGCCACTAGATTCTTCAATTTAAAATTGATCTTTATTTAACGAAAACGTCTTTAATTAATAGCTCTTGAGTTTTATGAGAGAATGTCGCGTTTAGATAATTTACAATTAATACGTAACAATTAATATGTTAAAAAATTTCACAATTATCATCGTGACACTCTGTATACAGCACATACTTATATTTCCTCTGCGGTTTCAGAGTTTCTTTTATTTTTTGTCTCTGTTCCTTATCAATTACTCCGAACTCAAGTCAAATCTGTTACAATCGATTGCCTGTCTTTCCATCTATTATCCGATTATTTTCTACAAAAGTATTCACAGAAAGTTTTTCGACAACTACGTGCGATGCAAAGCGAATGGCTTTATTAGAGCAAAATATTACAATGGCTGGAAAATTACATTAATAGCATCTTTCTCTTTCTCTCTCTCTCCTCTTTTCTTCGCATGAGGTAAGTCTACGATAACGAGACACTAATGAATGAACCAATTATAATATATGACCGACTTGTAAATATTTTACTTCTCGAGGCGAGACAATTTTATTCGAGCAAATTGTGTTTGCTTGTACCGACTATCTTCTCCGCATCGTTGCTCATCGATCGTCTTAACATTTTCTCTCTGTACGAACATAATTACGCTATAAGCACCTAACTTTCCCGACACACAAAAAGGTGAGTGTTTAGTTTACCTTGTGGATCGATAGTAAACGATATTCTCGACGATGCATATTCCACACCCGATGAGCATACCGAAAGCTAACAGAATCAAAGCTGGAGCTGTCTCCTGTATAGATATGCTTCTCGTGGACAATGTATCGAGCTGACATTGAGGCTTCCTACTCGACCAATATTTTATCTGACGATCACGCAAACCGGTGTTAAACATCTTATATAACCTGCAAAAAATTTCTTTATTTTCTATTACGAGCTTTTATTGCGAAAAAAAATAATAACTTACCCGATTTTCGCCACCTCGGTGAATTGACCGTTGTGACTGGCGTACATACCCATGACAGATTGCTTGAACAGATGAATCTCCGTCAATTCGCAAATCTTGCTTTGCTCGAACATCTTTTCGATGTAAGGATACGCCGTGTTGGGATCCGTGTGGTAGGCCAGGATACCTTGACTAACCTGCTTCATACCCTCTTCTAACGGCAAGTATCGCTTTGATTCCGGCAGTGGATCCCAGCGTTTCTTCCTGAAGTAATCAGATTCCCAGTTGAGTTTCTGAAAGTTTCAACGTATGCATGCATGCGCTTCTGGAGAACTTGATGTCTTCATATAATTTCAATGTGTCTAGAAATATGCGTACGTATAAAAAATAGTTTAGATATGGTACAGCCTCCGCGGCGATTTTCAGATTACTATCCGCGAGGACCGTCACAGAATCTTCCATCATATCGAGCGGCTCGCTCAAACGAGCCGATACTATACTGGCCGAATAATAATTATACATAATCCAATTGAAGACAATGATCTGTAGAAGAGCGATACGGCCTGGGATGTGCTTAGGAAAGAAGTTTGCACCTATGTAAGAGATGTTACTGTTAAATTGATGAAACGACACTTTTGTTATCTGTGATTTCATTATTTTATACCTTGTTGAGCGAGAATGCCGACAGTAAGAACCACAGCTCCCGAATATTTCTCTTGCTTGCTGTCTTCCTCACGTCTCAATATTATTCTCATTATAAACATGGAAATCATTATAAATACGGCCCACACATACCAAGTAAATTTGGCGAGTGGTTTCAGGAAAATCTCGAGTTTAATCTTATTCGATGTAGTGGACAGTAGCATGAAGCAAGGTCTGTAGGCAAGAAAGAGATTCCTTTTTTGTTAATTAATGAAAGAAAAAAAATATCAGATTAATGTTTTTTTAAAAGCGAAATTTTTTTATACCGAATCGGCCACGCCGCACCAATAAGACTGGCATAATCTAATCTCTCGGATACCATAATCCTGGGATTACTGGCAAAATCGATGTAATTCGTTTGCAAAATCTCAAATATTAATCCGTGCACACTGTGACGGTCCCAATAAATTATCTCCGAAGCGTGTACACTTGAAAAAGTGTTTTTTAGAACGATTCAATTATCGATAATACAGACAAAAATCCATTTTAAGATAAATAAAATTAAAATTACCTAAAATTAAAAAGATCAGCGGTATGAGATATCATCGCGTACGTGAACTTATGCATGCTATCCAAGGATCTCGTATTAATATCGTACATATAATCCTCCAATCGCATATTCTTCGGCCTATATTGTATCTATGTAATATATAATAAATACAAAAATTTATATTGCATAATAAAATCCATTTCTTTTGTTATTACGTATTTTGGTTATTTGTATTCATATTCGATGATACCAACCACGCCAGATATCTTCAATGTCATTCCATGCATGTTGGCCCTTCTTTGAATCAATGGTTGAGTGAGAGTAATGGTAATACCAGTTTCTCGTTGCCAGGAGCCTAATTTCGTCACATTCAACGTACCACCGCGATATTTGCAATGATTATAAACGTCATACAAGTCGTAATTGTTACCGTTTGTTATCGCGAGTACGAAATCGGTAATTATACTGTAAGCGCTGTCATTCAAGAACGGCACGCTATCATTTAGCTTCGATCCCAGGACCAACCAATGATATGAATAATCGTACATGCGATATCTAGAAGTCTAACAATTGCAATATATTAATTCTTCCTTCTTTTATGTTAGAGTAATATTATACATGTAATTTAACAATTTGTCAATTCTTTCAAATTTCATTACCTCGGCGAAGATGGTCACAGCACTCTCGTTGTTACAACGCAAGTCCACAACAATCCCTAAGCCCCAAGTCTTAGTGTCCAAAAATCGTCGCATGTTGATGTTTGCATCGTATTTTCTGACAATCGTAAATATACCGGCTCTACTCAATGATTTTACGAAATAAAAATCACCTATGATAAAAAGAAAACAGAAGAGAGGGAGACAGAGAAATATTCTTTAAAAAATATCTATAAATTTTAAAGTTTCTCTTAAGATAATTTGATATTTTAATTTCTGATATTTTAACAAATACATCAGACATACTCGTGATATCTCCACAAGAGAATCGAACGACATTTCGCACTGCCTTGTGTATAAAATAGTCGCGAACAAAATCGCTGTCTCTTGCGTTAATGTTAGAAATAAATCGTAACAAAGTAAAAAAAAGTATAGCATACATTTCACGGTGATTTATTTTCTCAGAAATCACGAATATTACTGTTGCAAAAAAGTTGAAGCAGTGTGTGGAATTTTAAGCAACACCACGTCTGCTAATACAAATACGAATGAAGAAAATAACTAACAGAAAAAGAAACATAGCTCGATTAATTTTTTATGGATTAGCTGCAAAGTTGGGGCATTCTGAATTCTTCAACATTAATATAATATTAAATATATGATTTCATAGTCATATATCTTATCATTTATTTACGTTATAATGACAAAGAGTTCTTAGGAAATGCATTACTGTCGCATTACATTGAACAATAAAAATTGTAATATGACATTGATTAATTATTTACGTGCATGTCCAACGACTAGACACACAAACTATTAGTGATAAAATCTAATAAGCATCTCAAAATAGATGATATGTATAACACAAATAGTAGATTATTAATTCATTCACGCGAGAATATTTTGTTCCAATTAATAGATATATGCTTCATTAATCCTGAGAAAGGCAGACTCTTTTGTACGGATTGTAGCATAGAAATTAATAATCTGTAAAAAAATAGATAGATAAATAAATAATAATAATTTATTAATATTTTAAAGCTAGTTCTCTAAGAACGCGTAAAAAATATAAAAATAAATTGGAGAGAGAAAATAAAAGAGAGAATAAGGCGAAATGATGAAAAAAATAGTTTGAAATTTATTATCTCCTCTCCTTAAATCTTTATTCATTCAACTGCTTGTTACCCCTTAGAATGCATCCAATGGATCAAGTTCTCCATTATGCAGATCACGAAAGAGAGTGCAATGAAAATGCCAAGGAATACGAAAATGGGCGTAGCTTCATGAATCGATAGTGGTTCGGCAATCAGGATATTCTTTGGACAGAACGGCTTCCTTGCTAACCAGAGTTTCAACTGTCGCTTGCGTATGCCCATATCATATATTTTGGTCAAGCTACAGTAATAATATATATTAATAAAAGATATATTTATTAAAAATATAAGAATGTATATTTAAACATAATTAAATATTTATATAATTAATGATGCAATTACAAAGGATAACAATAATAATATTAATAAAATATATATATAGTTTGTGTGTCTGTGTATTTTATAATTTGGAAACTGTTGTTTTAATTATGTTTTAATAACAAATGATATTTTCCTACCCGATTCTCAACAGAGGAGTAAAAGGGCTTCTATGTCTGCCCCAAAAAGCGAGGACCGCGCGAAAAAGATGAACCTCTGTTAATTCACATATCATTCGCGGATAGAAATGCCGTTCGATATACGGATATGCTGAATCGATTGACGTGTGATAGGCCAGACTTCCCTCAGCCACGCGATTCAGACCTTCCGCTAGCGGCAAATATCGCTTGGATTCCGGTATTCTATCCCATCGTTTCGCATTAAAATATCGTATCTCTTTTTCCGGTGACTTCCGGTGGTGCAAAAAGATAAAACGAAATATGTATGGATTTAAATGGATATTATATGGAAGGATGTATTTTAAATAAGAGAGTAAATTCATATAATTCGATGTTATTTTTTTCTATCAAATTTCATCACTTGAACTGTATACAATAATATGTATCATAAAAGTACCTGTAGAAAAGAACGAATGTACGGAGTAGACTCGGCCGCCATTTTCATATTACTATTTGCCAAACTGATTAATGAATCATTCATTTTTGGGGCTGTGTTCTTCAATCTGTCCGACACGATGCTCGCCGAATAATAATTAAAGATCAATACGCTGAAGAGCATAATGTGTATGAACGCTATGCGACTCGCATAACGTACCGGAACAAATACGGAGCCTGCAAATAAGCTTAATCTATCGAAATCTCTTTATTTTCTCTATTTTCACTATCTCTTTATTTTCCTTTATTTTCACTATTTAACTCAAGAAGCATTAGATACTTAAGATAGATGATTGAAGAGATTGATAAGTACCTTGTTGGGAAAGAGCGCCTATAGTAAGAAGAACAGAAATTCCGTAACCCTCCGTTATACTGTGAATGCCTTCCTGTCTGATTAATATTACCAGAACCGACATGGCGATTATCATCGTACAGAATATTATATACCATACCTTAATATTTAACGGTCGCAAAAACTGCTCCGTCTTCATATTCGCCGAGGATATGGTGCGAAATAAAAAACACGACCTGTACAGAAAAATATTAGAATGAGTAGAAATGACGTGTATATAATAATCGTATATTTTTGTACCGCATTGGCCAAACTGGACCGATAATATCTCCCTTCCGTAATCTTTCCGTTTTCATCACAATCGGACTGGCCGAGATGTCGATCATTTTTCTCTGAAAAGCAACGAACATGGGCGCAGAATTATCCTGCTGTTTCTTTGGATTTACTTCCACCATTTCCATTCTAAAAAGACATTCATGCATAGAGAAAAGTGCTCGAAAAATGATCGACAAATTTTTGTCGAATCTTACGTGAAGTTGAAGAGATCAGCCATGTGTAACAAGATTGTATAAAGAAATTGGGATCGACCGTATTTCGCCTTCATATCTGGGTTTAACATAATATTCTCCCTCGATAAATTATAGAATGTTTGCGGCAGCTTGAAAAGATTGGCAATAAATTATATTCTGTATTAATTACGTACATGCGCCGGTGAACAAGCTTTATTACTTACTAAAATTCCCACTTTGAGCCTCATACCATGCAAATTAGACCGTCTCTCATACTTCGATTGTTTCAGTCTAATAGCCACGCCAGATTTCTCGGTCCAGTAACCCAAAGCAGTTACGTTCAAAGAGCCACCGCGTGCTTTGCAAGGATTATACACATCATACAAATCAAAACCGGTGAGAGAGGGTATAGCGATCGTAACATCGGTCATTACACTGAAGGCGTTATCATTTAAAAGACTGACAGTGTCGTTCAACTTTTTTCCCAAAATCAGCCATTTATGCGTCTCGTCATACATAAGATATTTCGTAGCCTAATAAATTAAAAAGAAATTAATATCAAGAACTTTGCATGCAATTGCTTTAACATTCACAATTTTGTTATCTTTCATGACCTCTGCTCTCTTCTTCTCCGATTGCACATCTTAATACGTATTATTTTCTTATATTATATTATATTTCTTACATTTTCTTATTTCTATAAATGCTCAGTAATTAAAATATATTCTTCGTAACACTTAAAGTTCTCTTAAGGAGGAGCACTTTTACCTCGGAATACAACACGGTGTAATTGTGAACGTTGCATCGCGCGTCTACGTAGATACCTAAATTACGATAATTGTTCTGTAAAAGTTTCCTGAGAGTCAATGATCCAGCCACAGATTCGAAATTCCACATCGATGCGATTATAAAGACATCGTTGAATGTCTTCGCAAATTTCACGTTGTCTGTTACGTAGGAAAGAAACTTTGCTTGTAATTATGTACGTGTGTGTATATGTCTATAATTCAGATATTTTTACGCACTTTCGAGATTCTCGCAGGAAAATCCTACAACACTATATATGCCTTTATGCATAAAGTAATCTCGGGCCATGATGTTGTCTTTCATGCAAGAAACGAGAAAAAAACGTGATAAAAGCAATAGCTTCCAGTTTCTATGAAGCATTTCGTAAGCTGTATAGATCGCATAAACATATAATATGAAAAGTTTGAAGACGGAAACGCTACGTCCTCTGAACATGTCCGTTGTGTCGTCAAATATTTAATACATAAATATTTTATAAGTGTTTAATTTTTTAAGCATTTTTTCACGATTTTTAAAATAATAATCTCGATCGATTTACTTACTTTATCTATGTTAAACCTAGTTGTTAATTTATTAGACTTATTTCTCCTCCTTTCTCCTTCGCATGCGAAAACTTTCGATGTTACTTAGAAGTTATCAAATGTTTGAAATTGAGAATAACAAAGAATCTCGGGAATTTTCGTGATATCATAAACAAAATTAAGGAATTTAAAATGGAAAAAAGTGACAGTTATGTAAGAGGAATATTGATTTAAAATCATAGTCGCAGTTAATGTAATTTGTACTCTTTTCAAGATTGTATGTATGTAAAACACATCACGTAATATTAAAGGTATATTCTGATACGATGCGCACGAGACATATTCGATACGCGCTCAGAATGAAAAGTTTCATAAATAAGATAACTTATAAATGACTAGTACAAACTATTATATTATACGATCGTCGCTCTACGATCATCGCTCTGAGCTCGCAAATTCTCAGGTCAATTAATATTTAGAACGTTTATTATATTGCATATGGAGCAGCGCCATTAGTCGACAGATAAAATTTGCCACGTAATCTGAAAGGAACAAATTATTGAATCGATCCTTTTCATATATATTATCCTCGGGAAAATTATAACAGGATATAAAAAAAAGAGACAACTTACGATGTAGAAGCGTATTCGCCCATCAATACGATCGGATTGTAATCGCAAAGTTGCTCCTTATATTTTTCCCAACTCTCACACATTCTCGCCTTGAAGCCCACTGTACTGCCAATGCTCTCGGTCATAAGCTGATGCGCTCGCGAATGGCTACAATAAGCTGTAACGTAAAGAAGCATTAAGATATGATCGTTCACAAGTCATCTTATCAATATTCTTTGTGATAAAGATGCAATAACACGAATACTTTATACATAATACTTGCTTATTGTCGGCACAAAAGAACATCCAGGTTGAGGAATTTTGCCATCGTTGGGATAAAAATCGGCATGTCCCAATGGCGCTAGAAATCCAAATGTCGGACCGCTAGTATGGATTACATCTACAAATTGAGCATCGGTCGGATCTAATCGATATTCGGGATCAACTATGCCGGATATGGTCTCGAACAAAGGACTCGCAGGATCCAATCCTTCCAGGAAAAAATTATAAATTGCATTTTTAGCTGTCTTTCATTTGTAGTTATTTTCTACTACTATTTTTTCAGTAGCATGTTTTAAAATATATAGCAATTCTAATTTACATATATAACTTTGTATTTATTTAGTATTTTTTTTTGTCACTAATAAATATTTTGGGAAGAAAAATTATAATATATATATATATATATATATATATATATATATATATGTATATGATGTATATAATTATATTCTGGAAAGAATGATAAAAAATATACTTTTGTAGCATAAGGATGATGATAAGCAGTCTGTTCTACCTGTTATTCTTCCAATACGTCCATCGTGATAAGCTCCAGCGAAACCCGCTACGTAGGATCCTAGACTATGACCGCTAATGTGCACGTCCTTGTACTCCAGATTCGAGTCTCGATTTAAGAACTCCAAAAATCGGCCTAAATACTCACCGACCAGGCGCGTATTCTTAGCTGCTACTGGATAGGCGTCGGATGCCAAAATTCCCCAACCGACGACTATCACGTTCACATCCTGATAAAGCAGATACGCTAAAAATGCAATTAAATGTTACATTTTCTTTTTTATTTTTATTCGGAAATGATGCTATGCATAAGAAGAGATAAGAGAACAGTTGAATATATTGTATTATAAAATCGCGCATAATGTAAAAAGGAACTTGCAGCTCTTCCGCAAAGTTTCTGTGGAGGGAGAGCGAGCAAAAACTTGCAAAAACGATTAATTAAACTGTTATCGCGCTGACTCTTGAACCAACAACGACGTCGATTCCGTATTTACCGAAATAGGCTGACCCTGATTGTTTACAAAAGTAGTAGTAGTAATAGTAGTAGTAATAGCAGTAAAAAAATATACAAATTACAACGCAATATCCATGTCGACTTACCGTTTATTAAATCTCGTATCCAACCTTCGTTCCCGATATCGCTGAATCCGTGGACAATCAACTTAGTTGGTCTGCTTTCGTTGAAGTGCGATGCGTACAACACCTCGGTATTATTTAAAAACAATTCTTCTTCGCCGAATGGGTTCTCTCTGCGAAAAATAATATCATAATGACGATTTGTATTGCAAATTTATCGTATTGCAATATTAGACGTTTCGGATATTATAAAAGTTAAAAAATATAAAAACGCCAAATATCGTGATAATTTTATCATTACGGATGTAGGTTTCAAAATTTGTTATTTTCTTCGTATAATATAAAAAAAATTTAAATGTCAAAGTGGCGTTACTTCTTCGCTATTCGGAAAAAGAGAAAGAAAGAATGCAAAAGAGGGGGGAATCAATCCGAGAACGTGATATTGAGGCGTCAATGCGTCGCGACGCGATGTGGTGCGGCATGGCGCCTCGATGCTGGATAGTCGATCAAACGTCAGCGCTGAGAATAGAATTCTTGCTGATTGCATGTATCATTAAAAAACTGATGCATCCTCCACGGGGCAGTCCGCGATAAGTAATATCACGGTGCATGAAAATTAGTCGCATCGACATATGATTGATTCCCGATCGGTGCTAAAGAGATACTTTTCAATTGCGAATATATAAAATATAATTATTTGAAGAATACTGAGATTTTTTATATGAAAAATATAATGATACACGCGTAATTAGAAGAAATATTCTACAATGTATTATGCAATTTGACTTTAAATCAATTATAAACCAAATATAATCCGCGAATGACTTTCTCTCTCCCCTTCGAACAAGTCATTACTTGTAACAATTCTTTTTCGTTCCTTCGTCTAAGTGTTTGAAGATATATTATTTTATATATGTTGTACAATAAATATTATATAATATTATATATAATATTTATTATGTGTATATAATTAAATATAATATAATATTGTAGCATAATTTATATTATATAACCTTTAATATTTTATATTAATAATATTATAGATTTATATTTTTATATCTCATTGTAAATTGTCATCTCGTAATAATAAAGAATTGTACGCACCTAGTATATAATTTGAAAGTCGCCGGTTCGCGTTCAAATACTGTCTCGATAATTGATGCCCGTGCGTTATCGTTCAGTCTATTTTCCGGATATGCATATATCGCTGGAATTAACAACTGAAGGATTAATCGACATCAATCGAAATTCGAAGAGAAAAAAGAGATTTTATATATCAGATATTTGAGATTTCAAATCGATAATCAACGATTACCTGACCAGGCGAGAAAGATGGTCGAAATGATGAAAAATTCGACGAGTGACATGTCTTTGAATGGGATGCTGCACGACACACCAGTCATCTCCACGAGATGCACCGGATTACTACTACTTTAACTTGGTCGGCTTAACGTCTCGGTCCGTCATTCATCCAGAGCGGTTTCTTTTTGTTCGTCGATCAACTCTCGAGAATACGATAAGAATGCTTAACTCATTAAGACATTCATTACCATAACGCTGATTTTAAGAACGGTCCAACCGATAAATAAATGTATATTTGTGCAGTATATATTTTTAATTAAACACAGAAATAATTTCAAGATATTTAACAATCAGTACATTGTATAGTATTAACACGTTAACTCTTTCTTTCTATGAGAAAAATGCATTTTCAAAATCTTTCTAAAATAAATTTAATTCCATAAAAAATACAATATCTCTTATTTATATCTTTTTCGTAAAATATTATATTGTATAAATACATCAAAATAACGTTTTTAAATTTAAAATTTTTATTTTATTAAACTTTTTATATAAAGAATTAGCATTTAGAATATCAATCATTAAATCATTTTGCTCCATCTATATAAAGCTTAATAAACTATCTGCTACCATTAAATTGTTGGCATATTATACTTTTTATTTAATTTATATTAGAAAGAAACATTTTTTATTTAAAAATATATATACATATATATATATACATATATATATAAAAATATATATACATATATATACATATATATATATATATATATATATATATATATATATATGTTAGACATAAAGCTAAAAAAAAACATGGATTGTGTCGATTAATTAATTAATTGTTTTATTTAATTATCAATTTATATATGTATATTATTAACAATAATTTTTTGTTTACTTAAACTGTATAAGGTTGTACATAAGAAACAATCTTTTTTATTTAGTATTTCAAGCATATTTTCATAGAACTTTAATTTAATTATTATATTATTAAAAATATTGAACACAATAAAGAATTGAAGCTGACTTTCTCTGCTTCTCATGGCAGATTATATCAGAAATCATACTTTAATTATTGCAATATATCATGAAACAAATCAATCTCAAAATAATGGAAATATTTGCAGAAATATCAAATATGTAATGTAAATATTTTAATTTTTTTGTATGCGATCTATTTTTTATTCTATCAATGTTTTCATAGTGATGCACCTTGAGCACTTTGCTTCATATGTTTGCAATAAAAATATATTAAAGCAAATTATTTTGCAAATTTATTATTCTAATTTTTATTTAGAAAGACTAAGATTAAAAAAGACGTATGCATTTTTGCAGATATTTCTATTGAAAAAAACGCATCAGATAAAACTTTCCTGTACATTTTAAATGTGCCAAAAGATTTGCTCTTTATTCCACTTACTGCAATAATGTACACTAAAAATGACAGATCTATATTAAAAATGATAGATCTATATTTAGTAGTTGGAAAGAAAGAGAGGAGAAATGAAAAGTGCATCTAGAGAATTTAAAAGAATAAAAATCTAAAAATAATAATACATAAAAATTAATATTATGTATTTTTTTCATGAGGAATGTGGGGCGCACATTTATGCATTTATTTATTTAGATGAGATTTACTTTAGAGCACATTCAGTATTCAACTTTAATTTTATTTTCTCTTTCTTATGATATATAAGTATAACATAATTACCTGCAAATGCTATCATTTTTGTGTGCTTACAGTGATACAGAAGCAACATTACAAGTACTATATTTATAGATAACATTTGCATAATAAAAAAAGCACCAAAAATCTAATGATGAAAAAAGGATAAATATTGTAGACCAGCATAAGTATCAACCAATTATTCCACCGCTCTGTTTCATTAGAGTTGCAATTTTCTTTTATATCATAAATATTATAAATAAGATAAAGATTTCTGTACGTTTCAAATAAATTTATATATTTTATGTATGTAATACTGCGCACATATATTAAAAGGTGATAATATCGCAGTTATAATAAGATACAATCCTGGCAATGTAGTGATTTTTGGATCCTATTTAAAATAATTTAATTTGATTTATTTTTGAGAAATGCGCACAATACTTGAGAACAAATTATTTTTGTGCCATGTATTACCTGTGTAAAATTCCACACACAGTATCATATTGTTTGCGATATATGAAAAGCTTCATCGATGAAATATGAATGAGATATAAGAAAAGTAATATAGTACTTGTAATGAATAACGTTAATGTGGAATACATAAATATTTTATATTTTAATTTCATATAATCAAAATGAGATAAGACATTCATGATTACTTTAAAAATGTGTCCACAAATATCATGTAACTTCAATAGCTGCACATTCGTCAAATTAATCCTATTACGTTAAATGAATCACAGCAGTGTTTGTTTTAATTTAATCTAACCTAACCAATTATATTATATGCTCCTCATTAAAATGTGTAAAACTGTACGTCGCACATTTAATACGATTAATATACTACGTAATAAAATGTAATACACTAATGAAATAATTAAATATTATTTTTAAAAAGCATGATACAATCCAGGCAGCATACGCTTGTGTTTACATTCGATATCCAAAGACAGAGGTTAGATTAGGTTAGGTTAGATCAAACAAATTTATCGTTTAACAGTTGGCAGCCCTACGAAATAGGCTGTGAAGCACTGCGCGCGCGTATACAAAATTCAAATAGCTTCTAGCATAACCATCTTCACGCGATCGACTTTATTTGAATTGCACCGAATCGAATTATGATGCAGCGCTGATTTATCCGAATGTAATTCGGGACATCGCGATGCTGTATAAGCGTCGAATGAGCACGAATTATCACGCAAATATGATAAATCAAATCTACTCACCGGCTGTTCCACAGGCCGCTCCTCCTCGGGACAGTTCGCTCGCCTCGGGACGTCCATTCCGATCTTGATGCACACAAATTCACACGATATCATCAACGCGAACGCGCGACACTTTATTCGGCACTCCCGATACTCGCTCGCATCCGATAATCATCATCAAGGGCGCGAATAACGCGACGCAACTTCGCTCCATCTTCGCGATGACGCCATCACTGAATATCGTCAAAAATCACTGTCGCGCGTTTCCATCGACACACTATAAAAGTCGCGCGATCATCCTTGGACACTTTCGACGCTCGTTCACTCGCGATATTCGTTTAAAAACGGTTAAAAGACGCGAAAAATGCGGACGTACGACGATCCGTGTAACTGCGTATGACTCCGATCACGTATGACGCGTATGACGTAGCAGTGACGTAGCAGTCACGCGCCAACATGGCGGCCGAACCACTGCGCATTCGTTTCTGCGCATGGCCATTCCTGTGTTCAACGTTCGCGCAACTTTGATTTCTGAATATTGTCTACGGCTTTAATTAATAGCACATAATGATAAATATATAAAGATGGAATCAATTAATCATATTGGTCATATATGTAGACTTGCCTGAAGAAAGAGAGTTGTTCTCGATGTTCACTTTTAAAGGAATAAAGAGAATTATATATAAATGTAAATAAATTATCTGAAGAGAGAAAAAATTGAGAGATATTTTTAATTTTTTAATAAAAAATAGAAATGTCTATTCATAGGCTTGTTCTTCTTTTCCTCTTTTGTGCAATTTCGATTCAATATATAACGTAGAAAATTCATAGTATATTGCATTTATTTTTATATATTCACAATATAATATTCGCACGATCATTTTTCGACATTTACAATACTCGTGTGCCTTGTTCTCGATGTTCACTTTTAAAGGAATAAAGAGAATTATATATAAATGTAAATAAATTGTCCAAAGAGAGAAAAAATTGAGGGATATTTTTAGTTTTTTTAGTAAAGGTTGGAAATGTCTGTTCATGATAGAAATGCAAAGAAAGAAAATTATTATGTTTAAAATAATAATTTCATATGAAATACAACATTAAAGTTACATTATAGAACTTGACTTTCTAAAAGCGTAATAAAACAATCAAATAGTAGACAGAGAAAAGACTAATTGTAAAAGAAAAAAAGTTGTTAACTTAACTAAACCATTTAACTAAATTATTACCTTTTTAACTGGAATATTTAACTATTATAAATCTAACATTTATTTAACTTAAATATTTCAATATTTTAATTTAAAAAATAATAATTTAGTTAAAAGGTTTAGTTGAGTTAACAAAAACTTTTTTTTCTCAGTGTACGTGTGTGTGTGAGACTTTAAAAATATACTTGGATATAAATACATTTATATTATTAAACGATTAATATATCTCGTGAGGTTTAATAAATAATTAATCTGTGTACACTGAGAAAAAAGTTGTTAACTTAACTAAACCATTTAACTAAATTATTATCTTTTTAATTGAAATATTTAACTATTATAAATCTAACATGACATTTATTTAACTTAAAAATTTCGATATTTCAATTAAAAAAATAATAATTTAGTTAAACGGTTTAGTCGAGTTAACAACTTTTTTTTCTCAGTGTACGTGAGTGTGTGTGTGTGTGTGTGCGTGTGTGTATGACTTTAAAAATATACTTGTATATAAATACAATTCTCACATACGTCACAGTACGCGTTAAATATTTCGGCAGCGAGCTAACACGTCATTCGACCTTGTGACGTCATTTGGCCTTGTGACGTAGCGCGCTATTGTTTACATACGCGACGACCTCCCCTCATTCGCACGGCGACATTCCAACGGAGAAAGTAGCGATACGGACCGCTCCGTATTATCGAATTCTTTTCCTAAAGGTACGATCGCGATTAGCTCGAAATATAATAATTCGACTATTACAAATGACAAATAATTAACTCTTATAATAAATGCAATTGTGGCGACGATAAATTCATCGAAACGCGATCTTTCATTATTGCAAATAAAAATTGAAGCGAAAGGGGCAAAAATTACAAATTTTCTCACAATATTCTCCGATTATCGAACTTTACGAATAATAATTATTTCTTTAACATTGCATAGAATGAAATTCGATTTCGCCCGATGTTTTAAACTTTCCTGCATGCATATATATCATATTAATTAAACGATTGCTGTATCATCAATTTACATTACTTTAATATTTTAATCTTATGATTCGCGTTATTATGCATATATTATACATCAACAAATAGAAATAGTTAATTAGTGTAAGAATCGAGTGGTGCATGATTTTGGCTTCGTTTAAAAATCGAACGAATTATTGTAATTTTTGCGTTCCTCTCTTGCAATAATAATAAAATAATAATAATATTATAAAAATACGTATCTCGTATGATTATTTTGCGATCGAGAGTGCCCTGCAAAGTGTCTGGCGATCGTTTCTGTATATGACTGAAATATAATTAACTGAAATATAATTGTTTGTTCGCGAGTGAATACGTGACTGCTACGAGGAAACAACAAAGGATGAAACAACAAAAGAGAAGGACATCTGGAAAAGTATCGGACAGAAAGCAGGGAGAGAGCCTGAAGCAGCCAGAGACATGCGGTGAGTAATTTATAAAAATTATTTATTATTTATTATTTATATACACTATTTTTAAAATAGATATATTGCTTATTATTTTATTATTGTTTTATTTTTCGATCATTTAAATATATAATTCGGATTGAAATGCAGTAAAACAATCGAATCGTAGATCTAAATAATCAACTTAACAAAAAGATCCATAAAAGATATATTAGTTCTTTTAATAAATAATATCATATAATTAATCTATATAAAAATGAAATATTATCTATTTATTTCTAAATATTAAATACTATAAATTTAATAGTTATATATTTTGTAAAATTTAATTAAAAGAATCTTTAAGATATTCCAAAAGAAACGAAGAACTTTTCTCAACGTAGAAAAAGTTAATTATAAACAAATTTATATTTAATTATTATAATTAATTTGTATTTAATTTTATTGGAATTTTATTATTAATTTTATTGCATTGTCAAACTCTACGCGATCTCTGTAATGATAGCTATTCACGAAATAGGTACAGTGAAATAATCAATTATTATCGAAAAGAGGCAATAATATACTTTTAAATCTAATTTAAGCTTTTGATAAACGATATAAAATTTTTTTATTATGATGAGAAATCTTTATTAAAGATCATAATTGCAAATAAAAATGGAAATAACTTCACAAAGTATATTAATCGTTTAATAAATAATTAATCCGTGTGTACGCGTACGTGTGTGTGTGAGTGTGTGTGTGACTTTAAAGATGTGTGTTTAATAAATTATTAATCCGTGTGTACGTGTACGTGTGTGTGTGAGACTTTAAAGATGTGTGTTTAATAAATAATTAATCCGTGTGTACGTGTACGTGTGTGTGTGTGTGTGTGTGTGTGTGTGTGTGTGTGTGTGTGTGTGTGTGTGTGTGTGTGTGTGTGTGTGTGTGTGTGACTAAAGATATACTTGTATATAAATACACTTGTATGTAACTTTAAAAATATATATTTCCGTTATGTTAATTATCCGATTTTTATTCGATCGTTTTATTGCGCGTTCTGAATCAAATTATATTTAGATCAAATGATATCAGAGAGAATATTTATTTATTATATTAGAATTCTAAATGTGTGTGTGTGTGTACACATATATATTAGGATAGAAACGAAATAGAAATAGAAGGATAATCATTGCTCGTAAAGATTGCAACAAAGTAATAATTTATAATTTTGATTCCTATCGTATAATCGAGTATCGTATTTCGAGAGCAATCAACTATTTATTAATAATAAAATTGTATATAACTTACGAATATATTCCACTTATTTCGGACGTTAATATCGCGACAACGACGAATAAACTTTTCAAAAAAGTTCAATTCAACTATTTCATATATGAGACAGTTCAACCAATCACTGATACAAAAAATTCGTCAATTGACCAGTTGGTGAAACTGTTTTAGTCCTGAGTATTTTCTTAAAAGAGCTGTTGGCGCACATACATGCGTGTATTATGTTTACGCGCGTCACGCGTTCGAACGAACCTTGACATTCTCGCGGGTAAAGTCACTAGATTAACAATGTACCGTAATTTTGATCTCAATAAGGCTGATGGCAGAGAACTAGATGTCTGTCGTAGTCGTGGACGTAAAGTAAGACAAAGAAAAACGTAAGTCGTACAAGGCCATTGTGACAATGTCTTCTCTCTGTTGGCTGTAAGCAGAAGTAACTATGATTTCACCGGTTGAAATCCTAGTTACTTCTGCTTACAGCCAACTTTATCATCATTTCTATCGTCTTCTAGGATACATAAAGCTAAAGCAATATTCTGATTGGTTCTTCAGCTTACGTTTACGTTTATAGTTATGGCAATTCATGTGCGAAAGCCTTTAGTCCCGATCTATAATAGGTAATTTAAGCCCTAAGCTTTAAGAAATTGACTAATCACAGTGGAATATTCTCTTCGTACTTGATTGTGATTGGTCAATCTCTTAAGACTGAAGGCTTAAATTATCTATTGTAGACCCGACCTTAAGGCTTGCTGTCAAGCTAGGGATAGTTGTCAAAATTAGTCTTGTATAGTCAGTTTCAAGTTTATTTGTACGTATATTCTTTGAGATATTTTTATAATATTAATTAAAATAGGTAGGATGCATGATATATATATTTATTTTGATATCTGTATAGTGTGTGTATAAAATTTTAGAAATTATCGCTATCACTATAACATTGTTTTGTTGTGAAAACAACAGTAAGATGAAAATTTTTTCTATATTGAGTATCTACATATTAAAAATTTTTAAAAATTTTTGTTAATTCTAGAGTTAAATCAGTCAACATAACCATGTCGCCTGAACCTACACACGAACCTATTCAGGAAAATCTGACAGTTTCTAATGCACTTTTGGATACAAGAATGATGAATGACGACGAGGACAGTGATGATGAGGATATAGGAATGGCAGGATATGTGCCACTATCTCAGGTATCTACTGATGCAGATCCTATATTGGATAGAGAAGAGGTAATTTTATCAAGTGATAAAATTCTTATTATTTCTAATAAAGACATTTGTCAAAATTACAAAACAATTGACAAAATTAATTAAATATTCTTTTCCTATTTAAGAATGATGAGTGGTTATCTGGATTTGACGAATCTACTCAAATAGCATCTGTTCATACAGCAGAGACCCAACAAGTAAGTTCTTTTTTTTTTAAGTAACTATTATAGAATTATTTATAAATCTTATTATTAATTATTAATAATCTAATTATTAGTTTAATTATTAATGATCGCATTATTAATAAATTTCTGATTGGAAGATATTTCTGGTTTATTCAATTTTGGAAAGTTTTTCAATTTTAATTCAAATTTGAGTCAGTATTTATTATAAAAAGCATATAAGAAATTAGCCTATCTCTCTATTTGTGTACAAACTTGTTTTTGTGGTATAGTAGAACACTCAATCAATTTAAATTACATTTCACATATTTCAGAATTGTTCTTCAGATATACTTCAAGTTTGGTCGTGTTCGCACAATCGTTCTGATATTGACCTAGATGCATCTAAAATCAAGGAAGTTAAATCTGTAATGGCATCCATCACCCTTCCTGAAACTTCGATTCCACAATGGGCATCCACAATTTCAGAGGAACAATGGAAAGAGCAACTTCTTGTTCGTATTAAACAGATGCAAAACAAAGATCCGTAGAGTTTCTAAGTTGCAACATAGTCTTGATTGCAACATACAAAAGGTTCAAATCTTTATTATTTGTTACATATAATATGCAATATATATATATATATATATATATATATATATATATATCTGGAAGTATTCAAATTATAATTTACTACAATGTTAAAAACTGTAGAAATAATTAAGCATGAGTCATATATACTTTAGCATTTAAATGTAAAATAAGATACTTGGTTTTTATATTAACTAGATTAAGAAATACTGAATAAAATTATTTAAGCATTATCTCGTTAACTTATAGTATGTGAAATTGCAATGTGAAGGATAAAATCAAAATATATTAGTTATACAAATTATAATGAATATTACTATTTTTGCTTTTTTTGTTTATATTATTTGGAAACAAATGATGAGTATATGATATATTAATTAATAAACATCGCTCGATGTGATATCGTGCTTATAGTGTCAATGAAATACATGATCTTATTTTAATACTATCATAATAAAACCTGAATTTATTATTGAATCGTTTCCGTTGCGTTTAAATCTTTCTTATTAATGTTTTATAGTCCATCATATATGTATTTATTGAAGAAGGCACAATATGATTTTATAACTCGAATTCTGCATCGATGGCAGCGGCTTTGACTGGATTGAGTTTCTTTCGTAAGGCAGCAATATCGTCTTCTATTTTTATCAATTTTCGATATTTCTAAAAAGAAATAAGTAAGTTATAAAGTTTCGCGAGAACATCCTACTCTTTCGCACAATATTATATACTTCTGAGGTAGTTCCGGATGTAACATTCCAGATGTAAATCATGTAGCCTGGAATGCACAACATCGAGGAGAGACCTGCGAGCCATCCCAACAAATGGCTCCACCATGGAAATTCGTACGTAAGATATTTCACAGGAACAAACTTAATGATATTAAAGATGAAAACGCCCTATGTAAACAAAGGATAATAAAGTAATGTATATATACATATAAATTATATTATACTAAATCATCTCATTGGAACATATTAAAAAAAGTTTCACCACACAAATAGCAGGCGTAGTAAATGTCCAGCATATCTTCCACCAGAAGCAGGGATAATAGCCTATCATGTCTCTTATGCCATCGTAAAATCGATCTACTCCGAATGCCCATGATACGGAAATGCATTCAAAAAACATCAGGAATAACAGGCAAAATCCACTCACGGCGTATGTATCCAAGAGTTGAAACACATACATTCCGCCCTAAGTAAAAAAAGATTAATGCATCAAGTAAATGAAATTAATGGCCAAACTTTTTATGAAATATATAAAACATCAGAGATATATCTCAGATTATCATTAAATAGTACGCATATGACAAATATATACTCACTTCCGTAATGCACAAAAGCCCAATTAAATAGGAGATCAGGCATACGATAGCGATAAACATTTCTTTTCGTTTTCTGAGAAGTCGCGGCCACTCGTCCACGGCGGCGGTGATAAAACCTTCCATGGTGCAGAACTGGCGAATACGACTTATTTTTAATATTAACATTCATCTATGATAATTTTATGAAATTATATGAATGTCGATCCTTAGATTCGACGAATCTTACATTACCTGACTGTCTAAGCCTATCAGAAGAAGCATGAAGAAAAATAGACTCGACCAAATTGACGCTCCCGGTAATTGTAATACCGCTGAGGGATAAACTAAGAATGCCAGACCAGGTCCTGATCAAAATGACATAACAATATTATTATGTTGCCACAATATTGAAAGAGACGGAGAAGATAATACGAAATAAACACGAATAATTACCAGAAGCAGCTACATCGGCTACAGGTTTCTGTTGTTCATGAGCCATAAAACCGACTACAGAGAATATAACTACTCCACTAAGCAGACTGGTACAAGTATTCACTCCGCATACAATGAGAGCGTCTCTACAATATTGATAAAACTTTGTATAACAAATTTTTCACAAGAGACTTGGATACTTCTGTACATTTGATAATAAAGTTAAAGGAAGATAAAAATCATGCTTAACGTGATATTCAGTAAATACACATAGTAAGCACAAAATTAAATTCGTCATTTTTCACGCAAAGGAAAAAGATATTTACTTGTAAACGTTATTGTTGAACTTGTTGTAACTGCCTAGAGCTACCAATGCACCTAAACCGAGAGCGTAAGTGAAGAATATTTGCGTTACCGCGTCTATCCATACCTATATATGAAATAATTGTGAATGTAATAATTATATATTTTGATTTATATAGCTATATATATTAACGAGAAATTAATAATGTGACAATATTACCTCGGGATCACCGAGTTTTGAGAGATTTGGTGTAGCATAATATTTCAAACCTTCCGAAGCACCGGGAAGTGTCAGACCTCTTATGAGCAGCACTGCTAGTAAGGCGTACGGAAAAAGAGCCGTGAAATAGACGACCTACATTACATCATGTATATAATTTACAGTTTTATATTCGAAAAACAAAGATTTGAGTTTGCAAGAATCCGCTATACCTTGCCAGTCCATTTGACGCCTTTCCAGATGCAAAAGTAGCACATGATCCATACGACTGCGAGCGTACCAGCTAGTTCCCATCTTATACCACCCACGGCTTCGATGCCAGTTGAAATCTGCAGGGTCCGTCTCCTTTTCATGACAGAAAACGCGAATTATAATTAATTAAAGCATGAAAAAGACTAATAACTTACTCCCAAAATTCCTTGACTGGGTCTTTCAGCAGTTCATGGCTCAAATTCCCGAGAGACGTAGCGCATATGAAATCATTCGGCCAGTAATCCTGCCAGCATGAAACATTCAAACGTTCATCTGGTGTGATGCAGTAGCGCGTGTTCCATGAATTGTCGCACGTTCTCCAGGGTACGTCTGCGCAAAATTAATCAGATAGATATAATAATTTTTATTAGATTTTTATCAGATTTTACATAAATTGCCGATTAAATATTAAGATTGATTTCAGAAAAAATATTGGAGCATATTGAAATGCTTTATATATGCTCACCGGCTCGTAAAGAGACTAAGAAGTAGAAGAGTGCCCAAGCAAGAATGATGATATAATACACATTGGTCCAGCAGGAGAGCACGCAAGTCGCATATCCAATGCCTATTAAGAAATCAGCATTGTCATTGTCGTGTCCTAATGAAATGCTTTATGCTCTAAGAGTGTTTTGTAAAATTACCTTTAAAAATTGGTGCTATCTTAAAGACACCTAAACCACCTATCGTCAACATTTGTCCCAAGGACAATTCCATTAGGAACATGGGTATACCGGCCAATGCGAGCGCGATGAAGTAGGGCACCATGAAAGCACCGCCGCCATTCTTGTAGCAGAGGTAGGGAAATCGCCACAGATTTCCTAAACCTATCGCTAATCCCACGACGGATAAAATAAATTCGATCTTTAAAAGAAAAAGATTATACTTATTGATGAGATTCAAGATTAATTGGATTTACGTTATCTGATGTCTCACCTTGCTGCTCCAGTTTCCTCGTTCCGGTAGATCGTGGATGATGTCTTTCTTGATGATGGAGGATTGCCGCAGACATTGTATGGCCTCAAATCGGAAGTCCGGCTCCTTTTCGCCATTAGGGAGAACTGGCAATTCGTTGCTGGTAGGTTCGGCGAAAAGAGCCTTCAACTCCTGCACTGGATTTGCGGAACTCGTCGCCGATTTCCGCGATAGAGGACTGGTGGATCTGTCTACCTTGGGACGACCGGTCGATCCTCTCGAAGGCATTATTTATTGCGACGAAATCGCGGAACGAGATCGGGATTGAAGGATTTACCTCATCCTCCTAACCGATCGACTGCGAATGAGATTAGCTCAACAGTACGTACTTCGTATTTTTTCTTGTGATTAAAATGCTAGAATATTTATAGCATGATTGTTGAATCAGTAAAATGGAAAAAAATATAAGAATATAAGAATAGTCAAAAAATGATTGGTAATTGATTAAATTTAATTTAATTAGGAAGTTTTTATAACGCAACCTTTTCGTTTTATCTGTGTCGACCTCGATAAACAGGAATCTCTTAAAAATGGCTGGACATATTACGAAATGGTATACCAAAAGAGTATATAGGAAATGACAATAAGGCCCTAATATAAATAATATTTACGGGATCTCTCTCGTAATATTCATCGTGATCATCGTCGTCATCGCACATATATGAGCGCATACAAGGTATTACATATAGTAGACAAGGGTCTTGATGATGACGAACGATGAATAACGAGCCACTTCCGGGAATCATAGTATTCACCGAATACATTCTCGTCGTCACAACCTTGTCCTATTTTAATATTTAACTCACGATGCCCTGTGCATATTACATATCATCCGTCTTGTATTGTATGTCCTGTGACAATGATGTGCGATGAAAAATATTCATTTTTTTATTCAATCACGAATATTTTATGTGTATCAAACATGATTACTATCAAACTATAACTTAATTATCAAATTTGATTTTTCAAATCGAGCAATTCAATTTTCCAGATTAGTAATTAAATATAAAAAAAGAATGCGACATGCAAGAGAGACGGATAATTTTATTTTTATTTAGTATATTTCTTTCTTTAAAGTTACATAGTTATATATGTACATATGAATATATAACTTTAAAGAAGAAATAATAGATATAATCATCGAGGGAACAATAGAAGTGTTCATTTCGCATAGAACTTGCAAGTTCTCATACATACGTAGTTATTGAGTGATCCAATATGCGTTTTTCTTGTAAATATCCTATTTCCTCTTCTCGGTATCCTTCTTGCACTGATCTTTATGTCTGTATCCTCGGCATCCTTGAAGCCCAATATTCTTTCGTGATCCTTTCAATGCAAGGATCACTTCCGGGATCTTCGACACGGGGGATGTAAAATTTCTGAAGGAGAGCGAAATCACCCCTTTTGAATAACGTCAGTCGAATGTTTAGCCGAGCGCGAATTCAAGGAAGGGCCCGCGCGGATGCAGAGATTTCTGCCGTACCCCGTCACGATCCACCCCACAATGACACTCGGTTCCCCTCGAGTATGAACGCACCTATCTTTCCATTCAACAAATTAATGTGTCACTCTATATTTAGGATCTCTCGTGCGGAGAGATTGACCGATGTATGTACGCGCGAATCACGCTGACTGATCGTGCGATATTCTCTCTTTATTGTTATCATCGTATGAATCCTTCGATAAAATTTCATCATCTTGAGGAATGTAGTTAAGGATAAAATGTTGCAGATTACACGATCGGCGCAGTGATCAGATTATAAGGTGATGAAACGAGTTTCGTCTTGGTGATCAAAATTTCTGGAAATCAATAAAAATCTCTGCAATAAATTACATATATATTTATATACTTAGAAATATAAAAAAACTCAGACAAAATATAATTATTTATTAAACAAAAGTTTTATTCCAGTTTCATATTTAATACATCTTTCGATTATAATTCATTAAATGCATTTAATTTAAGAGTTTGATGTAAATAAGAACTTTCTCTCTGTTTGTCTTAAAAAAATTATTTTTGATAACAAACAATTTTAGACTTTGTCACAAATTTAACAATATTATTAAAAAAATTTTAAATCGCGCATATAATATCTCTCTCTCTCTCTCTCTCTCTCTCTCTCTCTCTCTCTCTCTCTCTCTCTTTCTCTCTCTTATTTTAAAAAATACATATCTGTTCTTTTTCTTCTTAAATAAGTGAAATAAAGAGTTATATTTTTTTCCATCTTTAAATTTCCATCTTTAAAGATTTTGTATATGTTTCCTGTGTTTTCTTTCTTATAAATTTTTTTAAAAATTTTTTATTCTTTTTTTCAGTTCATCATTGTTATTCCAAAGAAACCTGTAATAAAACAACAGTTTTATGTTAAAAATATACATATAATAATTTATAATAAATCATCTTTTTTAAACATTCAAATGTTAAACATTTTAAACATTTCTTGTTAACAACAAGAAATTAACAAAGATTAATTTTATCTAATTTTCCCTCATATGCTACAACCTAACTTTACCGTAACCTAATCTAACCTACCAAGACTCTTACGATATACCCGCGACAGTTGGATTTTCAAGCGGACACGTTATAATTGTAATAATAAAAACATCGTTATCGCGAATCATTTGCATATATTACCCAAGTCATGGATGGAACTGGTAATACTGATGACACTATAAAAGAGGCATCACAATGTTTCGTTTGCGACGCCGAAATTCAGGGCCGCTTTTATGCCTTGGCTACATGCAGGACACAACATTCAAACAGCAGAGTAATCGAGAAACTTGGGGAATTGGTTGGCGAGAGGTGATAAATCTGCATTATTAATAGTCATAATTATTCTATAAAATAACGAAATATTATAAAAGAAGTTGGTAAATGTGCAGTATAACGCCCCCACCTCCGATTTTTCAGAAACTGTAAATTTGTTCATTTTAATGTTTAAAATATATTCTGAGAAGGAAAATCGCTCATGCCTCTTTTTTTATTTAATTTCAAAGTTTTGTGATGTAAGTATGAAAATGATAATTTATGGCTTTTATTTATGGTTTGGTTTTTGTTTATTCAACAAATTCATAACAGTACAACATATTCTCTGCTTTACGTAATATTCTCTGCTTTTTAATATAAATAAATTCCTAAAAATACAAATATTTTCTGTTATTGTTAAAAACACAAATAATTAATATAGCAAAGAACACAGTTGGATTCAAAATCTCATTTTCCTATTTACGGACATCATAAAACTTTGAAATTAAATTAAATTAAATAAAAAAAAAATAAGGCATGAGTGACGATTTTCTTTCTCAGAATATATTTTAAACATTAAAATAAACAAATTTACAAAGTTTCAGAAAAATCGGAGGTGGAGGCGTTATACTGCACATTTACTAAGAAGTTATTTTTTTCTCATAGATACATGGTTGTGATATCCGAGGACGATGTAATTTGTCGAAGTTGCGCCATTCGTATTAATCATCTTGATAGGCTGGAGATGGAAATGCGTAATATTCGCGATCATGTCTTACGATTTTTAGAAAAGAAATATTCTCTGGAAGATGGGGAGCTCCGAGGTGGTGGCGACAAGCCAAAATCGTGTCAGCCACCACAGATCACAAAATCTAGTACAAAAGATATGGTCAATTATTGCAGTAAACAGAACAAGGTTGACCTAGAAACAGAAGAGAGAAAGAATAGTATATATTCGGAAGATACTATGATACAGAAAAACTCTCACTCATGGTTGCAATGTGACAAGTGTAAATATACCACACATCTCAATTCTTTCATAATGTCTCATCTGAGAGATCACACTAAGCAAAGAGAATTTTGTGATAAATGTGGATTATATATTTCTGAGAATCAAAGAGAAAATATAAGACATAGTTGTACCAAAACAAATAAATCAGGAAACAAAGAAAATGAGAAAGGTTGAATATGAAGAAAAATTATTAATGGAACAACTGTTTTCTTAATTATTATGATGCTATTGATTCGTGTTTTAGATAATTCTGATAAGAATAATTCAATGAAGACATTTCTTTTGGAAAATACATTACCAACTTTGCCACTTATCCAAACTACACAACCACCATTGATAGATTTATCAAGTTCTGATCCTTTATATATTTCCAGTATACTACCAGGCAGTAAGTAGTTTATCTTTAGTAAAATATCAGCAAATAATTTATTATTAATAGAATGATACATTATTGTTAATAAATATATGTTTAATACAATATTTCTATTTTAAAAGATAATTCATCTGAGCAGTCAATGTCTATTTCGCAATCAGTAAATATTGACATTTCAAGGAATATGAAAAGAAGTTTAGAATCAAATCCTGTGCAAGAAATAGAAATGAAAAGCAAAAAACAGGTATTGACTTTAACTGATGATGGATCTATGGAACTATCATATGGAAGTATCATGTTGGAAGGAGACATAAATTAAAAATAATAAAATATATAAATTAAACATTAACATGACATTTTATTAACTATAGATATTAAAACTGTTTTGATTTTTATATTTTTTCATTATATTCATTACAAATCTCCAAATATAACTTGGAGTATTACAAATCTAGTATTGTAATAAATAAGAAAATTATTAAAATTCTAATATTGTACACAAAATAATTTTACTATTTATGTATATATAATTTTATTATTTGCATTTCTCTATTTTTTTGTTATGTATGTTGTATCACAATTGTATGAAAGTACATACATGAACATAAATAAATATTAGCAACAGAATAAAAGTCGGTATGGCATTCTCAAGTTTCTCTCTACACTTAATCGTTTTTATCGACTCAGAACTCGTTTCTAGTGATATTTAAAGCGCAATGTTGACGTCACTGCTATAACTGCTATGCTGCTATACAAAATGTTTTCTAAAATTTCTCAAACATCAGGACAATATGCCCGTTAAAGCAAAGTGGCTGATCTCAGATTTCTCTTTAGTATTGGAAAATGACGACTGTAGAAATTCACTTTTAGAAGAATTGGAATTATTTTTTCGGAACTTTCGATTAAATGTCGTCGACCAAATCGAGAAAAGACTCATTTACGAGAAAGGTACAGTCATTGTTATGTATTTTTACAAGATTATCAAAGACTATCGATGAAAAAGCTCACATTATACTATTACACTTATTAATATATTTATTAGTTTAACAATAAGTTCATAAATCATTATATAAATATGAAAATCTTGTTTTATATTATGTAGATTGCAGTAACAAGAAGTCCGTCAATACTACAAAGATAGCAGAGTTGCAACAGAAGATTGATACAATAACATCTGACATAGATGCTATCACGTTACAAGAAGAAGTAATAGATAAAAAGATTTCTAATGTAATAAAGTCACTGGATAGTGTAAAAAATGAATTGGAAGAGACAAAAAAGCAAAAAGATGCATTATCTTCGGAGATATTGGACTCAGAACTGGGTGAGTATATTCATTTACTTGAATCAAAATCTGTAAGTTCAATATTGTATAGTTTTTTATCTTGAAAATCTATTATTTTTTCTTAAGCATATATATGTTTTTCCAGAGATTGAAGAAACAAGAAATAAAAAATGTCTACAATGGGATGCTATTAAGCGAACATATAACATGTACAAAATACGCTTGGACATGCATATAAGTCTTGAAGAGGAAATAGATCATCAATACATAAAAGTTGCCTTTTTTATACATAATAAAAATACAAAGGATAAATATTTCGTTCAGTTATCACATAGTAGTAACTGCTGGAAAGGTATGTAATATTCTTAAATATAAATTTAAAATGAAACAATGTAATGAATTAATAATACTGAGTTGTTTGTATATTTTCAGTTGAACGTATTGAACCAAAATTGAAGAAAGAATATTTTAATGAGCTAAGCAGCATAGAAAACTTTTCCGAACAATTCAAAGTATTAGACATTACTTTGTTTTTATATGAAATACGAAGTATATTTCTAAAATATTACATATAAAAAGTTGAAAAAAAATTATGAAAATTCCTAGAATAACATATTTTATATAAAACAACATATTTTTATTCTATTTCTTCTAGCAATATGACTCTTATTAAAAATAAAGATATCTGTTTAAATGTTTATTCAATTATACAGATATTTTAATATTACATCAATATCTTTTTTTTTATTTTCCTTTCATCAATTTTTATTAAATTGTTACAAAAATTCTTGTAATGTTTCTTGCAATGTTTCTGAGATTTAAGCAAAAGATATTGGAAAAAAATGCAAATCAATGCGGATAAATAACTTAGATGCTAAACATATAAACAAGTCTCTCTACTTTGTCATTTTATAGGTATAGATATATATACATATACATATGTATATAAATGGTACCTATATACATATAATACTGCATCATTTCACAGACATCGCGAGAAAATTAATTTATAATTTTAAATCAGTATATATATTGAATTTAGTCTACAATATACATTTTTAATCACTTAACCATATTTTATACGTGCAAATACTTGTACGTAATCTAGATTAGACAGATGTTATGCAACATTTGCTCACTGTAATACTTTATCAATCATTTCAATTTTTGCGATGTCTTTCTAAATTGATGCAAATTTCATTGCAATATACAAAATAACAGAGATAAATTATTTTTTGATTATGAGTTTTGTAATTAATTAAGCTATCAGTCGGCTACCTTTTGTAATGTGTTATAAGAATCTAGGGAAGAAATTTTTCCGTTTAAATTTATAAAGTTAATGTTTCGATTTCAATTCGAAATAATGCATTTTGCATGGATATTTTTTATACATTCTTCGAATTTTTATGCAATTTATGATGTTATGTTTCTATATTAATTATAATATATAATGCAAAATTCTAAACTTTTCAATTTATAATACATTTAATTGTCACATTAATTTTGGCAGGAAATTCCTTTTCCGCGGCACTTTCTGTCGTAAATTATTATACAAACTAATATTTTATATATGCTATATTTATTTTAATACTATGTACGCGCGCATGTAAAATAGTTGAACATCGTGGATATACTGCAGATAAACTGATATATTATGTATGCGTGGAAGCACGTTGATAACAATTCGCCCCTATTGGCACGAATTAACGAAAGAGTCAATTGATCGCCCACTGCCAATCTGCTCATGTCGGTGGGACAGTTAACAGATTTCATTTGCTCCATTGACCTGTCGAGAATTCATTCGCATGCACATGATCATCGAGAAATTCGATTGAAGACCGAAGTCTTGTTTATTACGTTGTAGAAGCTGCGGCTGTTTTCCTCCACTCGGATCGTTGATTCTGCTATGTGAATGTGAAAATCTAAACCTAGTATTTGAAAGCAATGATTAGCGTATCTCCATCACGTGCAAGATACTCGGATACACGGATATTTGAGATATTCTTTTTTTGAAATAATGTTCAACTATGTTATATCAAACATATAAACGTGAATTTGTCAAAAATGTTTTATGTTCTAAATTCAAAATAAACCGCTCTAAGGCTGTGGAAATGTATCGCAAATTGATGCCAAAAGTAGAATTCGTGAATGAGAAACGCTGCTTCGTTCATATACGAATGTTATTAGCCATTCTCTATATATTTCATACTCAACTTCGACAAAAAGGAATGCTAAATTAAAGATGACTTATTGTTATACGCGAATGGAACTTTCGCTGTTACAAACTATTTACAATGTAAGAATTCCATCTATTGCGGAATGGAAAAGTAACGATTCTTTTGTACGCAATCGTACAATTCCATGTTCATTCGACTTTTATATAACGACGGCAACTTCCGTTATATTTTTAATTTTTCCGTATCATTTCGGAATTATACTCCGACAACATGATTCTCACATTATTGTCTCGATATCCAACTGATATTATTAAACATCCAAGATTGTCTTAAGCGTATCGGAGCTGTATGAATCTATCTCGGAATTGATGATGATTAGAAAAGATGTTTCCTTCGGCGATTGTATAAAAAATCGTCAATCGCAACATCTCCATCTATACACACGCATACGTAGATAGATACACAACACATTGTGCCCTCAAAATCGCAGAGAAAACGAAAGTTACAGAGAGCGCTTGAAATATCGTTGAATCCACTACATTTACTGCACTACTGTGGATATCTAAAGACGGCATATCCGTTTTCGATGATCGAATTCTGCTCATCTACTTTGGTAGTCTTTCTTCTTCCTTTCTCCAACGAACGTCCAACGAATTGTCGCGCAATTTTTTCTGATATCGCGCAATATTTTCTCTATGCTGATCCTTCTCCTTTCATCCCTTCCCTTTCCTTTATCTTTTTCTCTCTCTTCCCTTCTCACCATGCTGGATATGGATGCTCGCGCGAGTATTATTTTCCACCATGCGGCGATGCAGCCTTCTTATTCAAGGGTGGCAGCGAAGGATACGTTGCCGCCGGAGGCAGCCGCCGCAGCAGCTGCAAGCTCAACGCGGCCCAGTAACAGCGGCAGCGGTTCCGATGGCAGTGCCGACGTCAATTCGATCGCCATCGGCGGTGCCAATGTCGTCGTGGATGGGCAATCACTTCCGACCCCGTAAACTTTAGCATGATTTACCTCAAGCGCGACGGTCAAATCGGCTAGACCGGCGTCGCACAGCACGGGATTATCTGCGAACAACAAAGTATGTTTGTGTATGAAAGAGAGTGAGATAAAAAGCACACACACGTGTGAAATGGAACAATAAGATACAAGAAATGAGAAATCTATAGATGTGAGACATGTCTGTAATACGATACATTTGATTTTTCATTTCTTGTATCTGACTCTTGTATACGTTACTGTATCTTGCATTACTCTCCCTTAAATTCAAGAGCCATTATTTTGATCATAAATTAACGTAATTAAAAAAAAAATTATCGCATAAAGACGCCTGATTATTGACGAAGTGGCGCCAGCTGTGATAATAAGATTAGCCCAGTCGTAGTATTATTCATTAACAGAAAAGAGAAAGAGAGAGAAAAAGACAACGGCGAAATATGAATCAACAATTTTGGCAATTTTTCCACTACATATTTCTATAATTTTCTCAATGCAAACTTATGAAAAGGAAAAAGAAAGTGTTTAATGAAAACTAAGACCAGACTAGAGATAATTGGGATTGGACACGATAGCATGGTGGCAAAAAGAAACGATATATTAACAATAACACGAGCAGGCGCCGGTATACAATAAATAATTCGAGATGGCGCCGCAGCGGGGGTTATCGCAAGAAATGTAACTGTTGTAACAAATAATATATGCCTCAGGAGTCAAACGAAGCCAGGCCATTATCAGTAATTTATTTTCTGTTCACTCACTTCACGCCACTCTCTTCTGTCCCTTCCTTTCTTTCTCATTCTCTCTTTTTTCTTTCCTCATTCTTCTTCTGTTTGCTTGATCTTAGATTTTACAAGATATTTATTAATTATTATCGTATGCGTCACATATTCTGCTGGTTTCTTCAATTAATGTCTATTAATGCCTAGCAATCTAATTAAATTTAATTGTACACTATTAGTAAGTAATATTGAGCAGGAAAAATTGTGAAAAAACAAATAAACAAATAAAACATTGTTCTCTTAGCAAACAAATTGCAATTGTTGAAATTTAATAAAATTTATGACTAAAAAAAATTTCTTTTTAAATCTATCTATCTATCTAATCTATCTATCTATCTATCTATCTATATATATATATATATATATATATATATATATGTATCCATACATATACATATATATATATATATATATATATATATATATATATATATGTATGGATGTGTATATGTTGTGTTTGTGTAACATGGAATATTGAAAATTTATACAAATAATTGCATGAGTTCAAAAATTAGCTATTTGTTTGAGACATTAGAATTTGCTACAATATAATATTAATGTAGCTATCTCTGAACGGAGATTTCTCTATAGAAATCAGAGTCTCGTTTACTTACGGTTAATTCAATTACTATTCGTCTGTGATAAATCTCTCTTATACCAGACAAATATGACATACAACATTGCATATTTTTTTTTCTTCTTTTGCTCATCAATATCACTATCAAAATTAAATCTGCCAGCTACTATCGATTTTAATAAAATAAATATTTTGAAAAGAGAAGCAGTTTTTTTAAATGAATGTAAGAAATTTTAAACACAACACGATGTTGTTTAACTTTACCTTTAACATTCTCTACACTATTATATAACGCTGTTATAAATAATATATTATGCTCATGAATATAGGGATTTGTGTAATGAAAGCGTTAAATGTGATACTGAAAGGAGGCGAAGAGAGACGCTTAGAGAGAGAGACAGAGTTTAATATAAACTCACCTTGAAGATATATACGTAGCACATCGGGTACCCCGTGAATCGTGCATCGCGTATTAGCTACTAGCTCTGGCATAAGAGTACGTATTTGATTCATGCTGACGTCGGCCCAACAGAGCACCGGAAAACCGCGAAAATCTCGGCCGGACAGTGTGACTAGACGATTATGTGATGCATTCAATTCCTCCAAGGACGGCAGCCATGTCTAAATAATAATCATCATATCAGTACCTTTTAATTGTATGATATCGAATATTGACCGACAAAAAGAAAGAAGCAAAATAGAGAAAGAAAGAGAAAAAGAAAGATAGAAAAGAAGAAATCAATATCATTTTTTTTTGTTTACATCTGATGTATCTTCAAGAGTAGTGAGTTGATTGTGCGAGATATCGAGCACGCGAAGCCCATCGAGACCACGTAGATTGCGCGGCCCGATTGTGGGACCCAACGCATTGTGACTGAGATTGAGCCTTTGCAGTTCCTTCATGCCTAGGAACAAGGAGCTGTCCAGGCGGCGCAACTCGTTATGCTGAAGACGCAAATCCTGAATATTGCCACCAGCGATCTCTTCATCCTCCTCCACTAGATTCTATAAACATCGTTAATTGTTTTTAATCGTTTCTCATTGGATCAACTCGGTCAATGTCGATAACATACTTTATACGTTTACGATGACATTGATAAGTATTTACCTCGGAGGAGAGTCTTCCTCTGTGCAATCTGGCGATGCGATTGCTCGACAGATCGAGTAGTCTGAGCTCGCGCAAACCGCGCAAGGAAGCCAGGGAGAATTCGCGAAGCTCGTTGTGTGTCAAATTCAAGCATTTTAACGATCTAAGAGGATAAAGGGCGCTACTACCATTTCCGTCGCCATCCGCACCACCCAGGGATTTGAGAGAGTTGTGCCCGAGCTCGAGATCCTCCAGCATCTCGGCTTCTATGAAATCGTTCTCGTTCAACTAAAGCACAAATCAAACATTTCTTTGGTCTCTATTATAGTTTCCATAATGTAATTTTCGTGTAATTAATCAATTCGTTTGCAATTCGAGTATCGAGTTCGATCTAATTGAATGCGTCACAATCGAATAAAAAAGTTGTTGTCTATTTGTTCATTCGATTCTTTTGAAGATGGCTTGAAATCTTTCCACTAGGCGGAAGACAGCAATAATTACGTTACGTATACGTAATTGACTCAATGGCGCGCTTTAGCACGAACGAACATCTCGACATCTCCGCCGCGTTGAAACGTAATATTGAGCGCACATGCGAGCCGCAATTCCGCAGATTCATATTTTTATTTTTTCCTAAAATCTTTTTTTACAAAAAAAAATTTATTTATCTACAAAAAACGCCAATTTTCGGTAATTTAAAAAAAAATTAAATTTTGTTCCATGTGTATGTGAAAATATTACTTAAATATTTTAAAACACTCGTTCGTGCGCTATAACAGATTATATATGATTCAAGATGAAATTCAAGAAGAATTTCATGTGACATAAATGTATGATCAAATACCTCTTGTAACTCGTTGTACGAGAGTTCTAGGAACTTCAAACGTCTGGCCTTCTGCAGAGTGCCGTCAAGATTTCGGATCTTGTTGTGTTGGAGAAAGAGAGTCTCCAGACGATGGAGGTATCGGAATTCGGCCGGCAGATGTGTCAATCTATTATCCGCGGCGTAAAGCATCTTAAGATTGTGGCCGGACGACGGTAGCTCGCCATCGAGAGACGTGAGCTCGTTAGAATTAATGAGCAACCACTCGAGTTGATTTAGATCCCTGCGAAGCAAACAAATGGGACACATATGGCTAAATCGTCCAAGAAATCCTGTTTTACATATTCGACGTGCTGTGAATCATCAAACATTCACATGATTTTAAAGGTCGTCACTGATCAATAGTCCATGCACGGAATTTTCTTTAATCAGCAATTCGCGCTTGTCAGCTTGATAATAAACAAAATGAATAAGATAAGAGACTTAATATGATTAAATGATAGTAAACAGGATGGGAACAAGACGCTGCAGTAGCTTCTGATGCAAACGCAACTTTCAAAGATCATAAATGAATGGAAATTATATTTGAACCATATATTGCAGCTCTCATTAATTTCTTATCATTCTTGATAAAAGACTGAATTGTACTTTCGTGGCATTCATAATATTCTTCTTTCTTACCTACCGAAAAAGTACGAGTCGATCGTACCTTAGAGTATGATTCAGACTGTTCAGATGATTTCTGCCGACGTGCAAGTGCTTGACTAGAGGCGGCAGCGAACCCGGGGTCATCTCGGAGATTGCATTTCCGGCCATGGCCAAGTGTTGAAGCGTCGGATTATACTAGAACAGAAAGAATAGCACAAAATTGCAACCTTTATAAAATATATGAATGAAGTTTCTTCTCTCTTCTATCGAATCTTACAATTTTATTCTCCCTTTTTCTAATAATGCATTTTCTAGAAGAATTATTCTTAAAATCTAGTTTCAATTGTCTTCATAATTATAATAATACGGAAAGTTAATACACAAATTTTATTATTCGTTGCAAACTAAAAAACGCGAAATTCTCTTTCTGATCGGCTCGAAAATGATAATCAAGTTTAATAATCACAACAATCAATTAACTTTTTATGCATTGGTCACGTGCAATCATCGTGTCTTATATTCTATCGCATTGATGAGTTTGCGATTTCGTTTTCCGATCTCTTTTTCATCTCGCACACGTGAGTTCTATAGATATATGTATAAACGACCGCATAAACTAAATCTAATCTAATCCTCACTAATATACTCACCTTAAAGTCATCCGAATCGATACGGCTTATCCGATTCCTACTAAGATCCAGAGTCCTCAGCAGCGAGAGATGCGACAGGATGTGCCTCGGTATCGATGGTACTTCGTTGTCCGCGAGACTCAAGTACTGCGTCCGACCCAGACCGGCAAAAACATCGCCGTCCAAGACCCTGCAAATAGTATCACACGCATGTTCCTTGACTTTAAGGAAACGATACAAGCGTTATGCAATAACGAGTGCTCGCGAATTTTTTCTTTTTTAAATGTTATTGAGCAGTAGTACATTTCATATATTTTTTTTCTCTATTACTACACCACTTATCATTTGTTTATATAGTAATATATGATTCGAGCGAGTCGATCTAATAGAAATCCTGAAAAAGTGACGACGCACCAGACGTTATCGTATTCGATTATACACTTAGTATCGGCTCGTACACTGCGATTCGTTATTTAATTATTCCACGACGATAAACAACACTTGATAACTCGCGCGCGAAGAGGTCAGGCATGATTAAAACTTCATTCTTACGTCCCGTTTCTCCTGTTTCGCGAGGATACTTCTTGGTGTTTCTAAAGAAAGACATACAGTTTTCAAGGACCGTCGTTTGTTCTTCACCTCGTCGAGCGGGATATGCACGACAAGATCATCAAGGAAGACCGGTGACTCGTCCTTTGTGTCACTCGTAAAAAAATGATACAGTCATCGCACGCGTGATTTCGATGAAAAATAATGATACAGAGGCGAAAACTTACAATTGACCGAGAACGAACTCGTCAAAATATCGAGACGCGTATCGCGTTCGTTCGTCATCTCTATGACAGAATTATTATGTAACGATATCCTCTCCTTCCGTTATGTATGCGACATTGTTTAACGACGTCATCGCGTCATGAGATGCGATTATTAAAATTTCATTCGCGAATCGCTTGTTGTTTAATAATATCAGACAGAATAAAAAAAATTCTTATGAGAGATACGATATCCAGATACGAAATCGCTGTCGCACATATGTATCATTTTATGCGGGAATCTAATTACAATTTAACTATTATTTAAATTATTATTATTTAAACAATATAAAACGATCGGATTAACATTAAGCTCGATGATCAATAATAAGATTTCAAGGATGACTTTATCGAATATATGATTGTTTTTCCAGTACGTTTCGAAGAAAGTTCAAGCGTCGATTCAAACGCAATGGCGCCGTGAACGTCTTCACAAATGCTCGTTGCGAGCATTAAGATCGCTTCTTTGTTATACATACACAAATGTCTCCATTCAATGTCCGCAATAGCAGACGATGACCTTTTGCAAAGATACTGGCCGGTTATATCGTAAGTGTGGCACACTTATAAACGGAGAGCACGAGAATGACAGATGTGTACCGCAGGACTCTGTCATTTCGCTGTCGTTTGCGATTTACTCTGTTTTGTACCATCGGCATTTTTCAATCGATCCCTGTGATTCTGCGAAATTTTTATATAAATCTATTTAGTAATTAATTCCATCAAACTTTCTTTTTCAAAAATTCTATAACTAGTATTAAATAATCAATCAAGTAAAATCCTAAAAATTGTTAACGTTCAGAAAAATAGAAATAATAAAACATTACGTCGATAAAAGAATGTTGATGAGGGAGGATAAGCTGCTTAGATAATGTTTCGAGGAATAGACGATCAGAACTATCGTACTTATCTCTATGCGCACGCAATTGTGTACGTCGTGTAGTAACCGTGACTGATAAGCAGTATCAGTTATCGTAGCCTCTATAATTCTCTTCGTTTTCATCGACTTTGACAAGCACTCTTATCAAGTTTATCATTCAAAATCCGCGTCGCGCGATTTTTCCAGAAGCAGACGAAGATCATTTCGTCACGCGAGATCAGTGACACGCAATATATCGCACTCACCCCAGATGATCATGATTCAGCTCGAGTCGGGTGATGGACATACGCAGCTGCTTGAAGTCATGGTGCGATATGTCGCGCAGATTCGAGTGTGACACTCGCAGAGTGATCTGTTGTTCGGGGGTGAACTTGCCGCTCAACGCTTCAGCCAGCTGATCGAACGACTTCATCTTCTCGCACGTTACCTCGATACGTTCCCCAATATGATGAGTGCCACCCCCGGCATTATTATTCGCATTGACGCTACCGCCGGTAGATGCGACTACAGTTGCCGCTGCAGTTTGTGCCTGGGTGTTAACGGAACTGGGGAACTCTTCCTGTCGGCAGGTGCACGGGTTGATCTCACGGCGCACAGCGCAATGGAGGTTCGCGCTGACCGTGAGACTCATCAACGTTAAGAGAATGCCGGACATGCTGCCGGTTAATTACAATGTGTAATTACAGGGCGATTGGAGAAAATAGCGATAAAAATATCGTGACCGTGAGATTCGTGAAACTTGGTGACCGCGCGCACCACTTCTGCGCGATCACTTTCAAGAGAGAGAGCGTCCTCCTTCGCGCCACTCAATACGCGCGATATTTATGAGTTTTTCAATAATAATCGTATAATTGTTTGTCATTAAAAGACACGAACGTTGATACAATTTCGTATAACGCAGAAAACTGGCAATTGTCCGCGATATTATCCCGCGTTTGGACACTGCCACACTGCCGATCAACACTGATCAACACTGGCAGGAGGAATCGACACAGTAGTTGCAGCAGCAGCGAATGACAGCCACGTGTTATCTGCACTGTGGCTGTGTTCACATCATTCTATGGAATATAAATTCACCGCACCTTCCTCTTTCTCTCTTCTTCGTTGTCTTCGAGGACCGGCCGGGAAAAGGAAGCTTATCGTCGTCGCCAATGGACCTTCCTCCTGGCGCCACGGACGCGGCAACGGCAGCATTAAGCCGCGACGCGCCGCGCGAGACTTACTTATAGTCGTCGCGTCGGCACCCACCGTGGCGCCGCGCGAGGGTCTCCCTCCGGAGAGCTCTTCTTCACTCTTCTTACTACTCCCTCCGTCGTACGTTACGTGCGTACGTATACCGACGAGCTCATCTTCTTTTTCTACCGGCCGCTCGCGAATGAGTGAACAGCCCAGCTCGGCCTGGTCCGGCTCTCTGTTGCTCTCCCTCTGAGCTCTCACCACTACACCCCGTACTACGCGTATTCTCATTCCTCCTTCCCCGTTGTTGTTCGCCTCGTTGCTCCCTGTCGTTCTCTCCTTTATCATGCCCCACGGCACGTTCCTGACTCTCACACTCCCTCGCTGCGGCTACCGCACTTACTTAAATCCAGTCCCCGTTAGACACGCGACACTTCTATCTCTTTTTATATTTGTCCCATTATTCCGGAAGTTTTGTTCGTCAAGAGAAGGGATATCTTTCATTTTCACTCATGTACCGCGATGGATACGAAGTTTTCGTCGACGGAGGATTCATCAACCTTTCCTTCTCGTCGTCTATCGCACTGTACACACACGCTGCAGGCATATGTTTGCACCGATAAACGAACCGATTACTCATAACTTTTGACCTTTTGCTTAAGTGCTTCGCACGGTGCACGACATGAAAGAAAATATTATAGATAGATAATTCTCTCGTGCTCTCTCTCTTTTTTTCACTCGCTCTCTCCGTTGCAAAAGACGAATCCATCATACGTTGGTCCAAATATACCCTGTACAAAGAAATTAAAAATCAGAAAATTATTTTATAATTTTATAATTGAAGGATTCAAAGCGGAAGAGAATAATCAAAATACAAATTATAGACTTGTTTTACTTTTGCCTCAAATTTCTTTCAATTATTTTTTATTACAATTGACACAAAAAATGACTTCTATATCAAAAAATTACTACTGGAACTTCAAAAAATACATCATGTTATTTAGATAATTTTGTTTTCTCGTTATATTTGCTGGAGAGCTGATAAATCGCGTAAATTGAATCTTCTCAGGCATGAAAGAAAGATATGGAAATTTTTCTGGAATGTCAATTCAATGGAATCAATCGAAAAATTGACTGTTATCTTGTTGGATTTAGGTTCAACCGATTCATCATCGACGATAAATAATTATTAGAGGCTGGATAAAGGAGACTTCGACCGAATGTCTTATCTTCTGCGCTCGAATGAATTTCAACGAGCAATTTATAACACCGGGTACCTCAGGTAGCCCGGTAGCTTTTGTCGCGACACCTTTCTTTCGTTCTCTTTTCGTTATTCGGGATCCGAAACCGGTATATGTAATGTCATGTTAAATTCTTGATATGAAAAAATTTATCTCGTCTCGGTCAGGGATCCGTTTTAATCGTCACAAATAAGCACGGAAATTATTTTGAAATACAGCAATCGAGATAATAATCGATCGAAATTACAACGGGGCTTTTTATATGGAATGTAAAGGGTCGCAAGAAAAATGTTGCGCTCTTTCGCTCATTACAAATTGGAGAGATAAATCCTAACTTTGCGTCGTAAGAAGAGCGATCTCGAGAGTACGCGTGTCCGTACCGAGATCGTAAGTGTTCTATCAAGGGTTTCTCTGTTCATCATAAAATAATATCGATTACTTAATGAGTTCGCCGATGCGGCGGCGGCGGCGCTTCACGGGTCGCTTGTCATCCGAGTAAACGCCTCTATCTATATAACGTGGCTGTTTACGCGCATGATTTACGTACCCATTTATATGCCGTAACTCGCCAGTGAGGTATGCCATACAAATTCTTGAGCTTGGCGCCACCTCGACTCGCCTTATATCCTCTTTAAGCTATTCTACATTGGCTCCCATGGCATCCATCTCTGCTCTGACGCCTATAATTCGCCTAATCTCTCCGTCGCGTAAAGGTCATCAAACTGTGGACAAAAACAGCTAATTTTTCACAGACTTCTCGAGCGAAAAGAGAAAAAGAAAGAGAAAGAGAAAGATTCTCACAATTTTTATATACCTTCATTTATTTATTTATTTTGTTATCCGTTTCAAAAACAACGATATAAAAGAGAGAGGGAGAAAGAGAGAGAGAAGGGATTTTCTCTTTGTCTCGTTGCTGTCCGTTACCGCTCTTATTATCGTTGCGGGCAAAGAGTAATACGGGAGCAAGGGAGGAGGACACAATACAAGCGAGAAAGGCCAGGCCAACAGGCAAGACAAGGCAAGGCAGGACAGGGCAGGGCACGAGGCACGAGGTACAAGACGGAGGGACCTAACTCCGTGCCCCTCGGTTTAACGAATGCGAGAATGCGGCCTGGCGCCAACGCACACGCGGCCGCCGCGTCGGCCGCCGCGTCGCGCGCTCTCGCCTCTCTCACAGACTCTTTCTCTTTTTCTCTCTCTCCCTCTCTCTCTGTTTAATGACCTTACCGGAGTTCAAAATACTAAATTGCAACCGATCTTTCAATTCGTGTGTCCGCCTCACGTTTAAAATATACGATGAGCGTGCATGAGGCGCGTTCCAAGGTAATATCCAGATATGTGGCAGCTTCTGAGATAACTCGTATTCCCTCAAAATGATTATTAGGATCTCCTTTTACAGCCCTGTAAAATATTTCGATATTATTTTAAAAGATACTCTGTAGTATATATCTCGTAAGTGAAAAGTTTAACGATTTTACATAAAAAAATAAAAAGAAAACGATATATTTAAATTAGAAAATAATTTCATGTAAATTAAATGAAAGTAATAATCTTTATATTTCAAGCAAATCTTTCTCAGCAATTAATAAAATTTTTTTATGTAGTGTAAAATTTTTTTATTGTCTGCCGCGAAATATAGAATATATCAATCAATTATAATCATTGTTTTTTATTCTTTTAAATTTTATTTTAATATTTTTCTTTTTTATTATTAGATTATTAATATCAATTTTATGACATAAAATTCTCACAAGCTATTTACTAGTTAGCTAGCTAAGTTTCATTCAATTAAATCAACTTATCAATTTAATATAATATCATAAATTAATTTGATATCATAAATTTGAAGATAACATTTATATAATTATCTTTTTTACATTTGCCTACACATGTAAGAAGAATTTATAAGTGATAGTAAATTCTCTCTTTTTCTCTCACAATAAACATCGATATAGATAAATCTTCGGCACTTTATCTACATTTGTATATTATACAGCTTTAAGGTATGCATGCAAATTTTTTTCTTTTCTTATCGAGAAACGTGGGAGGAAAGGAGCAGCTGGAGAGTAGAGACAGAGTAAGAAAAGCAGCAGAACGAGTATCGCGTTCAAGTATATATACGATAGGCACTTTACATGCTGTATTGAGATATCAGGAGATAATCGCCTGGCGTAGACATTAAGATTTGACATAAGTGTGAATATGAGCTTTTACTCACAATTTATCCGCTATTAGATTTTATTTCGTATGTTCTCGATTAATAAACTGTTCTTTGCATGACGACAAGTTGATCTACATATCCGTTCCTTTCGATCGCATTCTTTCTACTTCTGTTTTTTTTAAATAATTTTAAATGAGTACAGTAGTGCAATTGCAAGGAATAAACAACTAAATTTGTGTGTACAACATTTAGTATTATTTTGTTTCCTTTCCTATTTGTTCTATTTATTTATATTACATTTGCATAATTCTCGCATGCAATTATTCGCCTGTTACACATTATTTTTTATTTTAACTGTAATTTTTATTTTAACTGTAGTTTTATTTTAACAATAAGTAAGCTTTTTTAAAAATTGACAAGAATTTAAATTACGGCTTCTATTTTTTTTCCTTTCTATATATATTTTTATCGAAAGAATACTTATAGCACTAATTTTTCAAGAGCTGCAGTCTAAATTGTGTCTAAATTGTATCCTATAAGAAAGATGTTTGTCTTCACTTTTTCACGCCTTTAGCATCTGGTCTTTTTTTCTCTCTGACTCATTATGTTTACACGACGCCACGCGTTGACCGAAAGGGGTAAAAAAGAAGCTGTATGGGAGAAGATTAAGTTAAACACATACTGATGATCTAAATCTAGATGGGCGTCATTTAAAGCCGTCTCGTCACCGTGTCGTTTAGCCAACTTTTTTCTGCTTCTAAATTGGACTACGATGAAACGTTGTATTACGATGAATGTTGTAGAGATTCTTCTTCTCTATTTCAAACCATTCATCCTTGTTATTTGCAGAACAATTGAAGTTTGGACTAACAATTATCGAATAGATATACCAGAAACAATATTGAGAAGTAGAAAGAATTTGTCTAAACACATTTTGATTCTTTACAATATCACAAACTTTATATAAGACAAAAGATTTTTTAGTGTCATCTGTATCAATTTCACGCATGCTGTGATTAAAGAATTTCGTCTTTAAGAATATGTGAATACTTGCCATCGGGATAACCATCCGGTCAAGGTGCTTCGACAATGTTGAGAGCCTCTGTGACGAGTGTGTTTACGGTGGGATTTAAAATCGGCTCCCCATCTCGTGCCTTTCCACCGCGGCCACGGCCAAATCCGGGCCGAATTTTTCACTTTTATCGCTCTTATTGGGTCTTCTTTCTGGACAGACAGCGGAGTTGCTTCGACTGTCGTGGTAACCGGGGGTAGGCGAAGGGAGGGGGGCGTCGTGCTTCGCGGTCCATCGTCGCGTCGGGGCGCCGGGTGCCCCGGACAGGCCTCCATCACGAGATACATGTAGGACGTGTATGTATCCTCACTTCCTGCATACGATATCAAAACATCATTAACATTCTTTTGTGAATACACTGTGCACATGCGATTTCTTCCCTTTTCACCGATGTGCATACATTCCCTCGAATGGAATGCAAATGCAATTGTCGTAAAAGCGCATCGCAAAATGTTTTTGTTGCGTGTATAAAACAGCATATTTTTTCGTGCAGAAAAAATTAAATATCTATATAAACGGTAACAAAATCATCTTTTTAAAAATTAAATAATTAATTTGATTTTTTCTAAGAAGAAAAATAAGTTAACCTAGTTTTATCAGCTTACATGTGTACATTTGCGTTGTGTAATAAAAAATGTTTTTTAAATTTTCAACACGTACCTATTTTTCCTAAGGAAGTTAAATAAAAAAAGAATGAGAGTTTAAATTAGTAGATACGTCGAAAATCCTCAATTGTATTGTAAGAAATTTTTTCATAAGATCTATAATCCGCAAATATATCGTGCTTGATAGCAACCAAGACTGATATACTAATCGCTACGACAAATTTTTTAAGCGTATTGATTAACTAAAAAATTAAAAATTTTTAGAGACTCGAGAAATTTTCTATTTTACAATCAATACACTTAAAAATTGTGTTTGTACAACAAATATAATATCGACTTGACTAGACAAATATAATAAAACAATTTGAGCAAAATATCATTTCAAATTTGCTTGTCTCTGCAAAACTTAAAGTCCTTGATAAATATGCTGATGCCTTGAATATGCTCATTTTCAGATTTTTCAAAAAACTAAACACTTCTGCGTTTTTTTTTTCATTGAACGTACAATAAATAAATACACTTACGCGCGAAAAGAGATGAACTTTTAACCTGTTTTAACCTAGAAGCTTATCTATTCAACTTCAGATAGAGCTAACTTCATTTTCGAATGTCGTGGTGTCATCTCTTTACTCAATCTTACACCGCGATGATATGATACGGTATCGATAGACGGTAACACGATCAACGTTCACTTCCGACTTGGGGATTATTGCTGTCGCGTGTTGTCAGCACTCGCTGCATCGTTGATAAAGCGCATTCTGGGTAAAATAACGTGTAATCCTGCCCTCCTCCCGTTCCTCCCATCGTTGGACGACATCATTACATACGTACGACGTTATGAGAGCAATGAGAAAAAAGTGAACGAGGCAAGCGAACAATGTGGTGAGCGAGTCGCGGATCGATATCGTGTGATTTGCAATTTTGCATTTTCATCTCTTCATTTTCATCCCACGATCGAACCGTGTAAATCGAAGCTACTCACGAGCGTGTTCCAATTAGTGGGGTCGAAAAAGGAGCCGTTCATTCGCTCGTATCGTATACCTTGTGTGGTCTCTGCGTATTTCAATTCGCTGTTATACTTACAACGTTTCTTAGAAATCTCGAAGTTTCCATCACATCGTGACGCGACACGCCAACGACGATGATCGACTTAACAGTCAAGACCTTGGATTCGCAAAATCACGTCTTCTCCATCGAGGACGACGTAAGTATCGCGCGTGTCCCGGATAGACAAATGCCACTGTTTATTCTTTGTCCGCTATAATTCGTACCAATCTCCTGATAGATAGGAAAAAAATCATATTTCAATATAAATATATTGAAAAAATCTTATTTAAAATAAAATATATTTTAAAAACCACAAAATTATATTTAAAAAATCTGATCATATTAAAAAAATGTACAATAGCTTATTCCGCTTGCATTATTTCCCATGAATTTTTATTTAATTCTTGTATGTTTAATTATATATTTTTTTGCAATTCTCCTTAAAGCAAATCACGGTCCGTGGCTTTAAAGAACATATAGCAGAATCTGTTGCGGTATCAGCTGATTCGCAAAGGTTGATTTATTGTGGACGAGTGCTTCAAGATGACAAGAAGTTAAATGATTATGGTAAATATACATATTTACTTATATGCAATAAATAACTTGTTACAAGAATAATGTGATATATTTTTTATATATAACATGATTCTTCAGATGTCAATGGAAAAGTCATACACTTGGTTCAACGTGCGCCACCTCAGCCAGGTCAACACGGAAATGATGGTGGGCAAACGCAGGGGCAAAATAGACAAGGCTGGCAGAATTCACAGAGATCGCACTACCGCGTTACACGCGCTCAGATACATGGGAATGCAATGTATCTGGGTGCCATGTCAGTTCCAGCAGAGATTGTAGAGGGACATGGTAGCATTTTAATTTTTACTAAGTGCTGTCGTTTATTGATCAGTTTCGCTAACGCACGCACTATTTAATTGTTCCTCAGGGATACCACAGTTGAGCAACAGCTTATCCGGTAGTAGATTGAATCATGCAGGTCGCATGCTTGATCATATAGGTGAGCTGATTGATCGATTAGATGATCCCAGTTCTCCTCCTCTGCATCCTACTCCGTCGGAACTTAATCAATCAACAACACAGCAACAGCAACAATCGCAAGAACCAGAAGTAGAACAAAATGAGTGAGAATATATTTATAGATTGTTAGATAGATTCCTTTACATAATGTAACAGTTTGTAATTTTTAATAATTTCTGCAGGAACAATGATGTCTTGAGAGACGATAGTGGTGCTAGACTCGCGGAAGCAGCCGCAGCCGCCATTACGGCCGCATTATCCTCTGCTGGTGCGCGCGCTGTCACATTGTTCAGAGGTTGGTATATTTAAAAGTTCAATTTAATTCAGAGATATTTATGATTTTATATGTTGCATTAACTGTTCAATAATGCATAGGAAGCAATTATAATAGTGGAAGTACGAGATCTACAAGCGATACAAATGAAAATCAAAGTGATGCACAACAATCACAGTCGCAACCACAAACACAACAACAGCAGCAACAACAACAGCAAGCACAAGCGACTACAGACACGGGAGCCACATCGAACAATGCTGGACAAAACAGACGTGTTCAACAGCAAGAGTATGTATCTCAATTTAAACATTTCATGTTAATGAAATATTAATTAATGCGACTAGATATATATTTTACTGTTAATTATTTTTTCTCAGCCTTCCACGACTTCCACAAATGGCAGAATTATTGCAGAGACTGATTAACACTCAAGATCGATTAAGACCGTATTTTGAACGTTATTGCATGCTCACGCGTCTCGATCCTTTATTGCCGCCTGGGGTAAGTTGATGAAAACCATATCGATCATCAGACAAATAGACTGAAATTTCGCTCTTATAAAGATAATCTAATTATTGTTTAGCCCGGGCCAAACACTGTGGAAGAAAGTCAAAGGATAGTGGACGGAGTCAGCGAAATTCTGCATTTTATGTCTCATGCTTGTCACGCGCTAAGCGACATTATTATCGATATGAGTCAACCGCCACGTCGAAATTTGCGTTGTCGACCAATAATAGTACAACATTCGGCCATCTTACAGCCCAGTATACCAATACAAGTAGAAGTGAGCATATTAATGAAAAATAAATAACCATAGAAATATCGACATAAATAATACTATTACAACTTATCATTTTTTTTACCTTCTACAGGCTCACATCAGTTTGAACGGTCGCAGTGCTAATAATAATAACAGTAACGACGAGTCGATCGAGTCCGGTAATCAGCAGGCGCAATCGAATAACGCGGAATCAGCGACATCACACATTAATACAGAGGAAGGCAGTCAGGAACGAGAATCCGATAATACGCAATCGCAAGGAGAACGACCGCAACAAGAGCAAAGCCAATCGCCTTTCGGTACATTTTAATATGAATATTTTATTTATTTATTATGTTTATTTTAATATGATTCTAAAAAATGTTAGACAAACATGTCAGAATATGCGTTTATTTCCAGATACAGTATTCAATTTACCGAATCATGTCGAAGTGCTGATGGAAGTTAATTCCGAGAGTAATATAGATGGAGGATCTGGCAATGAACAAAACGCGGCGGGCAATGAAAACAACAACAATGATAACACCCGTAAGTTAATTGCATGATATGTTAATATATTCCATCTGCGAAAAGAATAACTTTGCGCCGTTGTACGTTTCTTATTATTACAGGTAGGACAAATGTATTTCCATTTGGCACAGGCCCACCGCCGTATTTTATGCGAAACTTTATGCAAGCTGTTGCCGGACATATGGTGCATAGTGGTATCACTACTACGACTATGAGCTCAAGAAATCCACCCGTCACTACTGTAGGAGCGCAACAAAGTGTTTCCACATCGATGGATAGTGGAAACGCGAATACCGGACAAAGCACTCAAGCACGGTATAATAACATCTATAATATATTATATCGTAATACTTTATATAAAATCATCTCATACAAGAGAACAGTATTAAAAAAATAAATATTCAACACACACAGATACGGCATAAATTATATAAATATTACAGGAGCAACACTGGTACTCATCCTACAACCGCCACTCAGACTCGAAGTACGTCGCGGCCGCACGTGTTCCATCATCACGCTCATCCCGTTGGTCTCGGTATGAGTATTGGACTAGGTCTTGATTTCGATCCCTACCTTCCGTGCAATTCGCATCATATATATCGCACTCCAACAAGTACCACATCTAGTACTACTACGACTGGCGTGACAACCTCATCGCAAACGACACGCACAACATCAACAGCCACGGCGGACGCTCAGAATCAAACGAATCAAACCGGTAAAGGCGAATAGAAATTTCTTTTTCATATAAACTTATAATTAAGAGAAGATACGTTTTTCTACACAAATTTGAAAAATATTTTATAGCAACAACTTCAACTACAACTACTACTGTCCCTTCAACAAACACAACATCGGCGACAAATGCTGAAAGGGCTTTCAATAATCCTTTTGCAAACTTATTGCAAATATTAGATCAGTCAGCAGTAGGTCAACCACCTAACATCAATAGTAATGGTAATTTCTTTAAAAATGAATCTAATATCGAGAGAGAGAGAGAGAGAGAGAGAGAGAGAGAGAGAGAGAGAGAGAGAGAGAGAGAGAGAGAGAGAGAGAGAGAGAGAGAGAGAGAGAGAGAGTGAGAGTGACAAATGAGATACTTATTTCAATGTCGACATTGATTATGTTGCAGCTTTGGTAGAAAATCTTGTTAACATAACGCAGATACTCAGTAGCAATATGCACGCAGGATTCGTGAGTGACAGGTAAATATAATGTCAATAAATTAAAGAAAGAATCGTTGATTATATATTGCTAATCGTATAATTCTTTTGATAATCAGTTTGAACGGAAGTGATGTTATCACTTTATCCGACTTATTCGAGGCTATAGGTCTATCTATGGATCTTCTCACGTCACACGAATCTGGCAGAGAAGATAACTTCCTCATCGATCTATTCGCATTACTGGTAATTTTGCCACTAAATTATATATACGGGCACGAGTCTACATACAATATAAAATGAATCGTTTTGATTAAAAAAAAAAATTACATGTAGGCACATACTATGACTCTGGATGAGTTGAGCAGACTACGTCTTGGTCAATGGGAACCTATCGCTAGTTATCGAAGACCGTTGCAGGAGCTCCTACAGTACACGTTTTCCGATGCTTCATCATCAGATGTTCTTCAAGAACAAACAATCGAACGTTTACTTTCTCAACTGCGGCCTCATATTCGATATCTTTTGGCGTTCGAGGAACACGCAGGCAGCAGGAGCGGTTCTCGCGTTGACATATGCGCAACTACCGAATCATTGATCTCTCGCCATGCAAGGGATATACTGAAGATCTTATTTAATAACGGTTAGTATTTTAATTGCAACATATATCATAAAATCAATAAATCTCAAATGCGTTGAATTTACAGAAGTTGATGATGCAAGATTCGGACAGGAAACGCTAAACATCCTAATTAATCTGCGCAACCAATTCTTCACGGTGCTGCGATATTCACTGCGCGGCGGTCAAATTGAATTGAGGCCAATTATGACACGTTTTGTGGTTAGTTTTGCTCCTTTTTTATAGCTAAATATAAAAATGTAAATGTTTATTATTATTTGTCGTATTAACGTAATTTAATTGTTTTGTGTTACTAGAACGACGTGATGGACGGTAATAGATCCGCTCTTCTTCAGTGGTTACAGCTTATAGTTATCGCTCATCTTTGTACTTACTTTCTACATATGCCTCCATGGCCACTGGCATTGGATTCAGAAATCATACCACTTTTGATATATAAGGATGCATCGTCCCAGCAATCTTCAGTATCTTCAGCTTCTCGCCAATCCACACAAGTACAATCGGAAGATGAGGTAACCTGTTCATTTCATTTGCACTGTCACTTCTTGTCATTGTATAATGTAATTACATAATCATATAATTACATAATCATATAGCCAATGGAAACGGAAACTCTGGAAAGCAACAATCAACAACCAACGCTCGAAAGCTCGATTCCTGAGGATCGAGAAGAAATTCCAGAAACATTCCCCGGGCACGAGGTTTTACCTTCGGTATGTCGAATAAGAAAATAAGAAAAATTCGCAAATATTTTTTATAAAAAAGAATTGATTTGATTATAATTCTTTATATACGTTTATATATAATATTGCCATTAACAATATTCTTTTTCGCAGGATTGGGTGCCAATTATTGCTCGCGATGGCGTGAGACAACGTCGACAATTACAAAGTGGAACGCCAAACGGAGACGTAACAACGTTTAGCGACGCATATCTGGGCGGATTGCCGAGTAAGCGTCGCAAGCTTATTGAACAACAAAAACCGCGATTATTAGTTAGCCCGACACCGAATCATCACTCAACGATAGCGGCGTCTATGGAACGGTTGGTCAGAGAGGGAGTCAGTCGCGCCGGTGTCGAGGAAGTCGAGGGTGCCGCCGTGGCTGTCGCGGCGGATCCTGCCGTACGACGTGCGTTTGGTCAGGCAATTAGGGATTGTTTGAATCCGTGTCGATATGATTTTCCGGACCCGTTGCGCTTCCCGAATGCGACTAAGTATTTCGCAGAGCAGGAACGCCCGCCGAAATAATAGCTAACGGAAAGATATAACACATCGTACTTTGATTTATGGATTACAGAACTGAAAGAGATATATTAGTTTAAAATTCGACAACGAATAAGCGACTATCTCTTTGAGAAAAATCGGTACGCAACATTCGTCTTTGTGAAAACATTCTAGTTGTAATTATTATTCTAAAATATAGTAAAGAGAAAATTATCTCTCCTCTATTCTAGAATATAATAAAGAAAAAAATTATCGATTCTCAATTACTATTCTAAAATATAGTAAAGAGAAAATTATCGATTCTCTCCCGAATAAATATCTCCGACGAATCTAAAATGGCTGATCAGTACGGTGCAAATGTACCTATTTACCTATCTACCTACCTACCTATTATCTATATGCCCATATCAATGTTTCTGCTTTAATAGAATTATCATTATTATTCTTCGGCTTAAGTTTGTAATTGATAAATAAAGTAACATTTATAGGGTGTTCTCCTCAAATCAAACTCTTCGTCAAATCTTTGCGAAGGAAAAGCCAACATTAATTCCATAAAGGAATATACACCCTGTATATACATAGATGTAAAAATTGTTAACTGTACATCTCTATTTATGAATTTACATACGCTAGTTAATTCTCCGTTGTCTTTTCCACTCGCAAATCTCGATTTCTCATTATCTTTTTCTCACTAAATTGGTCATTCCGAAAGAATAAACTTGATAAATCCGAGACAATTGTAATAAAAATAGATCGATTTCGTTTCATTTTTTTGATTATCACGACAATGATGAATATGATAATGCGACATTGCTTTTGAAAGCAATGCATTGTAAGTCATAATCTTATCAGTTGTTTCGTGTAGATAATTTTCGATATAAACACGATGAATCGAAGATATTTTCGGATCCAGAATCTTTCTACGACGCGCGTATTATACGTTTATTTGCACGATAAAAATAAATCGATGTGTACAATGCGTGATTATACAATGATAACATATTGTACGTGAAATAAGTTTAACCGTTCTAATAACCAAACAATTGTACGGAGAAAAAAAGAAAATAATAAAATTGTGTATCCCTTTTCCTCCGCGTTACTTTGTTCCTTCGATTCTTTATATATAACAAAAATTGTCAAATGATCTTTTGACAGTCATTCACATATGAGACTATTGTTAGAAATTATTACAGCTCTTATTGCGGCAATAAGGATGAGCATAATTCGATATTTAAAATAAACGTCAGACTTCCTTTCGAAGACAATGTTATAAAATAATAAATTATCGATAAACAATTACACAATAATTATAATTTAATAACATTAAATATGCAAATTTCACATCAAAGGGGAAAAAAATTAAAATTGTTTTTTCTGCATTATACAATAGTTAATTTACTTTTCATTTATTCTTTTTTCCTCTTATCGTTAATTTATCAAATTATCGACGCCAATTATAGCTATAGAATATATCGTATATACTGTTATGTGGTAATATGACATGTAACATCTGTAATATGAAAGAGTGCCGTCAATTATACGCATGGCTGACTATCACGAGAAATCGGACTATTCCATTCGGTCCACCTCCTCCGCGCGAACTTGATACAACTGATTAAATTTTCATAATCGCGCGCCGAGTATGGGAGCGAATCGTACAATTATCAAGATGAGGGAGAGGCCGTAATGAAATATATGCGGAAAGGGAGGCGATTCGCGATTTTTAACTTGTTTGCTTCATCGTCGGAACATCACTCAAACGCTTATAAATTCGATGTTGAATATCTCTCGGACTAATGAGGAAAAATTTTCTTCTCCCGTTTCGCGCAATCTGGATTTGAAAAATTTCTCACCGATAATCGAAATGTTTACGAGCGGCGATGAAAACAACGCCGGGTAATTTAATTTCCGCGAGAAATAACTTTATCGCGGTCACTCGGACTCTGAGAATCATCGAGATATCGGATTCCAAAGTTTCACAAGTCGTGTATGCGGTAGGTAAATGATAGATAGATACCTAAGGTAAGCAATCTTTAATCGCCGGCGATATTATGACTGAGCGATTGGACGCGAGACTTATCCAAATACATACATAGCGTAAAGCGATTTTTTTTTGCCGTTCGATTGTTTGCGGGCTCCCGCGGCTCGCAGATTCCTCCTCCCGCGAATTACGAATATGTACATACGACATAATATGACGTAATATACATATAGAATTTTTTTTTCTGATCGCGGAGGAAAAAAGAGGAGAAGGCGATTGTTACATGCTTAACCGAATGTTCTTCCGACTGGTCGCGTCGGCCGCCCTTCTTCCTTCCCCTCCTATCGGGATACGACATCGTACTATTACGAGAAGCGATTTGGAAAGGAGAGGCGTCGGTATTAATTGGTGGACAAGGAACACGGTGGCGGCGGCGACGATGTTCGTAGTCTTCTAGCCTCTTCTTCGAGGGCGTTTTTTTTCGTGCTCGCCGCACGTTGACGACGAAGACGACGCGACGTTCTCTCGTCGCGGCTCTCTTTCCGCGCTTCGAACAGAAGAGACCAACGGGAATGTAGCTCGCCTTCTCGCTCCCTCTTTCCTCTCTTTCTCTGTAGAGTATATCCTCGACCGCGTATACCGCGCGTATACCACGTATACCACGTCCACACATACGTACACGCCGCGGTCGTCGCGGGGAAGAGCGCGTAGAAAGGCATAATAAAGGTAGGGTAGAGTATACCAAGTCCGCGCGGACTTGACGGCCGGCTGTCAAGCGGCGCGAGAGGGAACCGGATTGGTGGACGAACGGCGTTCTTTCGGCCGTATTGGTCTTTTTCGCCACTCGACGACGCCTCTTTATTCGGTTCAGGGCGTCGCCGTACATTTTTATGCACGCAGGTTGGCCGCGTGGCGCCGAGCGCGGCTCTTATAGGCGCATCTCGCGAGTCTCGGCTCTCAGTCCGCGCGGACTCGGTCGCCGCGTCGTTGCTAGCATCGTCATCGTCGTCGCTGCTGCCGCTGCCGCGCTGCTACGAGGCCGAGGTTAAGACGCCTTGGCAATCAAGTAGAACCTCGGGCAAGCAGGGCCGGTTACGGCGTCGCATCGGTACACGAAGAGAGAAAGAGAGAGAGAGAGAGAGAGAAAGCGTACACGAAGGCGGCCATATTTAGAGAAGGAAATCAGCGAAGAGCATTTCGCGCCGCGTACCACCAAGCTACTTCTCCTCTCTACCGCCCTCCATTCCACCACAACACAGCGACGACGAGGACGACGACGACGACCACCACCACCTTATCGTCTCGCTCTCGTTCCCCAGCTTCGATCTCTACACCCGGGGGCTCTTTCCGCAGCCCGTCGCTCGGATGGATTTGACGGATGAAAAGCAACCGGTCGTGTTTTCCTCGCGCATTCTCTCTCCGGTAGCTTTCCCGCCGCCGATACCTCGCCGCGACGAATGTTAACGGTAAGGGGGCGCGAAATAAGTCACGTACGTTTTTTACGTATAACGACGCTCCGGCGCTAATAACGAGTCACCCTCTCGTCCCCCCTTCTCCCGAGCGAGAAAATGCTTACGGACCTTTTTTTCGCGCGCCAACCTACACACGCGAGCATCGATGGTGTATACGCGCGCGTAATCACGCGCGGAGAGATGGTTCGGAGCGGAGCTTTCCGAGAGGATTTTTTCTTTTTTTTCTTTTTTTTTTTTAACAGTCCGAGTCTCTCTCATTGCCGTCTGTTGTCGCCGTCGGCGTCGATTCGAGTCGACGAAGCTCGAGGGAGAAAGAGCTCGAGAGCTTTTCTCGCGTCACGTCTACGCCGAACATAATGCGATTTCTTCCTTGCGCTTTTCTCTCTCGCCGTCCTCCGTGTTTCGCAAATGCGTACACGCACGCTTCCGTCATTTTTCTAAAATTCTTATTTATTTCGCCGCAGACATCTCGACGAGGTTCGGACGATTCGAATCGGCGACAACTGGCTGGAAGAAAAATCCTTAAAGGTCACATATTTTGACTCTATCATTCGATATTTTAACGATAGAATATTCGGAGGGCCTTAATCAATAAAAGAAATTAATTTAAGATTCACCAACTTTTGTTGTACATCATCATTTCTACAAATGGAAAGAAAATATGTACATTTTTTTTAAACACTTTTAACACTTCGAGACAGCTAAAACTGCGATAAGAAACGGAGCAAAGAAAAATGTATGAGCTACAAGGATTAAAATTGACCGAAAAGTTTGCAGAGAGAGAGTCGAGTAAATGCGTTCTTATTCATGCGCGCGTACATTTGGAGATAATAAATAAAGTAAATTCGGTGCGGGAAACTCGAGACGAGAGAAAGAAAGCCCCATCGATCGGCGAAAGCTCGCTCGTGCGATTCGAGTAGGGAAAATAATTTCGGAAACGAGAGCGTTTGAAAAAAGCGGACAAACCGGAAATATCGTCGAGAGAACGCGCTCGACGAGCTGCATATCTCGCGTCGCGTATGCGTCGCGACGGCTCGTGTATCGCGCGCCGATTTACGACCGAGCCAATCGGCAATCGTTACAAGCACGCTTGGCAAGAATAATGCCAATTAACACGTTTTTCGACGAGTCAACTGCACGGCAGTCGCGCGGCCGCACGTATCCGGTTCGTCGACGAGCGACAAAGTTTTTCAGCTCGAAATATTTTCCGGAGCGAATCGTGCGTCAGCGAAAGCGGACAAGCGCATCATCATTCGAACCGAATTTGCGCACGGGTGACGAAATATTTTTGCAAAATGTCTTTTTAATATTATCATTACACATACGCATGTTGCGCAAAATATATTTAGGTTTACTTCAACTCGGGTGCGGTTGATTTTAAGATAAAGAAACCGTAAGAATCTCTCTCTTTTTGTTGTCAAATGATAACGATGCGGCTAATTGACGATAATTTTCGTTAAAGTATCGAAAGCTAGTATCGTGATACTTGTAACGAAAATGTCTCGATACGATAACAATATGTATGATTGGTACTAAAGTCCGAAAGTGAACGTGAACATGACCGATAAAAAAATCCATAAGATCGATAAGAATAATCGAGAGAGACAGAGAAAGAGAGAGATGCGTCCTTATCGCTATAAAAATAATCCGGTCAAGACTGAACATATTTCGAGCACGTACGTATTATATCGAGAATAGTATATCGCCGGATCTTTCGATCCGTTTGTACAAAATATTATACTTAATATTGTCCGCTTGTTGCGCAATATGCTTTTACGAGATAACGCTAACGATAAATAAAGATTGGTAAGCTTGCGCCGAGGCGGATCTGGACCCGCTGTCGAGAGTTGGCGAGATATGAGCATTATCTGCCACTTATGTTGCTCTCCGCGCATACGCGTTATCTTTTTAAGTCATACGATTCTTGAAGTCTCGTCGTTCCGAGCGAAACGCTGTTAATATTCGCGGGATGGCGAAGGAACGGCATATTATCTTTCAGACGTTTTGACTGCGTTAATAATAGATATATTTAAAATATACAGAACTTTCACTAGAAACGCGAGAATGATAAATCTTGCAGTCGACGTTAAGAAAGGTAAATGGTTGATACTTTTTACCACTACTTTACACATTTGGTTAACCTAATTCCTGACTCTTTTCACGGCTTTTTTGTGCATGAACAATTATCATGCGCATATCGTAATCTCTTTCTTAATAGTTTCGCACTACAGAAGTCTCTCTCTCTCTTTTTTTCCATGATGTTAAATGTATTAGTTTTTATTTCATCTTCCTAAAGCCTAGATTTTAATAATGTATAGAATTCTAACGTGTATTCTAGGTTTTTTTTGTATTGTCCCGTCTCGAAAATTTTACGTTTTCACCTATCTACCCACATTTTTTAATCTTCCATCTCGGTTGGCCCTTGTAAGAAAATTACTATTCCTAGTGCGTATCGATATCTCATACTGTGTCAAGTTTAAAGAACTCCCCGCTGACCGTTCGGGTAATCTCGAGTACTCTGAAAACTTTTTGTGTAGATAAAGCATGTATATGGCACGTGTAACGATAATAACGTTCTTTCCTTTTTCCAGTAGTTATTCAGTCCTTTTTTAAAACACAAACCATTCTCTTTTGACAATCTTTTCTCTCTTTTCTCTACGTTCTTGAATTATTTTTCTCGTTATTGAAAAAGAATTCCTCAAGTTTCGATTACGAGCAGGAAGATTCTTTTTAAACGCGTTATCGTGATTCATAAATTATTAGCTCTCTTGACATTTTCCTTCATTATTCTTTATATTCCTCCCACCTAGGTTGAACCTAGCCTAATCTAACCTAACTAGCGAATGATCGAAATTCGCTACTTAAGCCTGCAATCACGTCGCCTCCATAGGCCGGTATTCATATTTCGGTCTTACATTCAAGATCATCTTAAGAACTCATTCAACCAATCAAATAGCTACAATGCAGCCATTGATTGGTGGAATGAGAGCTTAAGACCCTTAAATATAAGATCGAACTATGAATTCCAGCCATAGAATCTTCCCGCTAACATTTTTTTTTCTATGGCAGCTCTGTGACGAAGCACGTGGAGGTATCCCAGGGCGACACCTAGCGTCCGGAAGGTGGCGGGGCGAACGTTCCTTGGCGATTGGCAGCGACGACGGCGGCAGTTCATCAGTTGACACACACGCGCCGTTGGATGTGGTTCGTTTTGCGCGACTATTGTGTCAGCTGTATAACGTGTCTCTCTCGACGTGATGCGTGATTCACAAATATTCTACGTGTGATGTGTTGCGTAACGTGCGCGTCCGTACGACTCGCCGCTCTGTGTGAATATAAATTTCCCTAGTGCGAACGTGTGTTGATACATCGCTATTCTTCACCTCACTTCACGCGACTGTGATGAATGACGGTGAGAATATCGCTTCTCGGTTCCTCGACGACGTGCGGTAGTGACGTAGTCGCAAAACTCTGTGGAGTAACATGTATTCGAGCGCCGGTATCAACGCGGCAGCGGTAGCCGTGGCTGCAGCTCGACATCCGGTACGTAATCCATATCTTTTTCCTTTTTTCAATACGAATAATATTGTCGGACGCGAGGACGAGAGCGGAACGCGTGGCCATTTTTTTTTTTTTCTCAAAGTCGAGGCGCTTCTCCAACGACAAGTTTAGAGTCGCGAGATTCTTTCCTCAGAATATACTATCGACATGTACTCGTCGCTTCGATTGCCGGAGTAAGCGCACTCCCTTTGAACGGAAGCGGATTCCAACCTCCGATCGATCTTTCCTTTACAAAAATATCGAGGCACTCTTGGCTTTTGAATAATAAACGCTTCGAGATAAAGCGTTTCTTGAAATTTAAGCTTTAGAGAAGCAAATAGATTGCAAAATGATGTTCTTTAATTCATTCTTTATTTTCTGAAAAGAATTTTCACTCGAAAGCTTTTTAATTATAATATAATGTTGAAAATTGAAAAGTGTGATGTGTCGTACGATAACCTCCAATATTATTTCTGTTTAGAGAAAACTGATTTAAAATTGATCAAAATATCGACAAGTAATGCATTTACTCAAGGTTCTTTTTTCCAAGTTAACATCTCTTTCTTACGTTTTATGTAATTTATACCGTTCATGTAAAAAAAGAAAAACGAATGGAAATTAAATAGAACTTAAAATACTCATCTGTCTGTGCAAAAAATTTATAGCGCGTAATAAATATAAAGCATAGAAATCTTTTTTAGGTAGTAAAACAAATTGATTAGTCACGGTACGAACATAATCTGGCCATTGTCCTATTGGAGTGAGAGCATTCCTTCGGAATTATGATATTTTACTTGTAAATAGCTTTACTTCTTTGGTCAAGTGTATAAACTTTGTAAAAATACATATTTCCAAAAATTCAAAATTTCAGAATTTACGGTTGTCAGAAATTACGTTGCTTTTTTTCACGTTTTTACCATATCTATCCATTTTTTGATGTACTTTATTATATTTTTGTGGACTCGAGGAAAGTTTAAATTAATCGATCCATTTATCCATAATAAATATATCGATCCATTTATCTATAATGATTAAGCGCAAAGAAAATTATGTCTTTTCGTTCTCCTTATCTCGTGTGTGTCTATAAACTGCGCTAATTTCGAAGTTAATCGACCGATATCTACCCGTCGCATACACAGTTATTACCAGATACACATCGCTCGTGCCTATGAATCGCATTATTTCTTCGCTGTCAACGTCGCTCTAGCGGAGTAACGAGATAATTAAAAAGTAGCGGCGCGGGGCGAATTCACGTTTTCCAAGCTGGCGCGCGGAGCTTAGGCCACAATAAATTCTTTCCGGCGATTATTTATCTTTCTCCCGATTCTCCCCCATCTCTCTAACGCTTAATAGTTCCGCGCTCTCGCAGTCATGCACGCATGCACGCACGCACAGGTCCCCGCGCTAAATATCTGGGCGCAACCGTGTATAAATACGTACCGGATGAAATTGACCAACGCGTTATACAATGGGGCGAAGGGCGTAAAAGGAGGAGCGGGGGGAGGGGGAGGGGGGGCAGGCGAATCGCGCGCGCGAACAGAGCCGAGCGACGACGGAAAAATATTTGGCCGGCGAGCAAATTTTCATTCGACTGTAAACACCCGGCGAGCCGAAGCGGAAAAGCTCGTACGCGAACGACGAAAATAAATCTATATATCGCGTGGGCGGGGAGAGGGGGAGCGCCCGGAACCGATCCCCCTCCTCCTCCCCCCCCGGTATCCGCAATTACATTATATCTGTAGCCGTACCATCGCGCGCGCACAACGATTAACCCGCGCGCCTCCCCTCCCCCCCCACGCCCCGTCCGACAAACGCGGGGTGAAAAAAAAAAGTCAAACGGAAAAGTGGGAAAAATAGACACACGGAACAAAAAAAGCCACGTCGCGTAAAAATGGATTTGCTCCCCGTTTTGCTGTCGCGCGGCGATAACGAACCGTCCTGGAAGATTTTCAAAGCGTGCGAACCGATATATCCGCGACAAATTTCCCTTCATCGAGAAATTTCTCTGAAATAAAGCGTTAACTTTATTCTCCCTCTTTCATCGTTTCTCGAAAGTATATATTAGCGTTAACGGGCGAGGCGAGCGAGTTTTGCCTCTCGGATAAGAATCTCGACAAGATGAGATTACTCGCGGATGATTGATCAATTTAAACAATAACGTCTATTTATATATATAGTTTCTTACGCGCGCGCAAGTTGAACGGAGATGCGAGAAAGAAAATTTTAAAATTATACCCGCTCGTATTTCCTCCATTTGCGTGTCACTTTTGTTTGTACTAAATGCTTTCACAAACGCGCGCGTGCGGTGATAATCTCATTAGTGTTCCGCCAACGACGACACGGTCCGATCTCCCGTTGTAATTATTTCCCGGCGTGACGCGAGAAGGAAGAGACGGGAACAAAATTGAAATCGAGACGAGAAAGAGAGACGGAGAGAGGGAGAGGGAGAGGGAGGGAGACAGCGAAATGATATCGCTCGCGCACCACGAAATTTGCGGGCCGCGCGGGCTCGCGCGCTTCCGCAGAACCGCAATATGCATTGGTAATTACACCGCGATGAATTACACCGCGGAATGAGCGAAGCGTGTTACGTGCAATTGGCGCGAGCATTATAAATCTCGCCACGTGCAAATAGTTGGCCACCTCGCCTCTCCGATCTCTTTCTCTCATTAACATTCGTCCGACGAGAATCTCAGACGACGAGAACGACCAAACTTCCCCCGACGAGGCGCGACATGCGTCATAATCGTTGTTCCTTTTTTTTCTTTTTAACCCAATCCACATCGTACGACTTTAATCTATTATTACGCGCAGTAGTGACGCGCGACATGGGGCGTTCAATTAAATCTCGACGCGGACGATACGCTTTCAATTTCCGAAGAATGTCGCCGCTATGTGTAATCCATGCCGAAGATCGAGTCACGTATTTACATGACAGTGACAAATTTACTAATTATCGGGGAACGCCCGACCGACGCTCTCGATTAATTCACGCCACGTGACCTGAATCGCGGAGGGACGAAAATAGAGGGTTAACGGGTAACGTAAGTCGCGACAGCTACTTACCTCCGTCGCAGTCAAACTATCGAACGATTCGGCACTTTTGGATGTCGTCGTCCTCGTCGTCGTCGTCTCGTCGACGCTTTCGATCTGCGACGACGAATGCTGTCCCTTCTTGGCATCGTCATCGTCGTCGTCGTCGTCGTCGTCGTCGTCATTGACGCTCCGGTGCTTGACCGAGTTGACACAGGCGGTGGTTATTGGCACTCTGCAGGGCCGCCAGGGCTGTTTACGTACAAGCTGTACAAATATTATTTCCGGACAAATCGGCCCGTCGATCATTACGAAACCCCAGGCGGAAAGTTTCAACGGATACCTCGTCCCCCCCCCCCCGCTTCCTCCCTTTTATACACACACACACACACACACACACACACACGTGCACGCACACAGAATTCTTGTTGTAACGTTGAGTCCTTTAAACCGAGACTATCTTGCATCCCTCGAAACGACTAGCCCTTAGGAATTAGATCTATTGCCTAGATCGACTCGAGTGCTTTCGAGGTTTTGCATTTAGAAATATATATATCTTATTGATCTTTGTCAAGCCGGCTATTATACGTTCGCACATACTTCCCGCGATAAGAGATGACACATTCCACAATATATTATTAGTTGATATCAATTTGATAATGGAAGAGGAAACGTTCATGACTCGACACGCTTTTGTGTGCGACACTTACTAGTTCTAAATGATAACTGAAACTCCGCTTTGGTTGATTGTAAGTTCGATCTCTGAGGTTACGAGGTCAAACACAGTGATATAAAACAATAGCAATAATATTATAGTATCGAGAGTGTTTTCTTTTTTCGATCGATAAGAAATTATTTAGCTATTCCGAAACACTGTCAACTCGGTCAAGTACCGTGACGTCAATGATAACGATGACGATGACGATGCCAAGTCATTCAATAGTATGCGTTATTCCGTATTTAATTTTAAATTTTATACACATGATGCAACGAATAAACAAATTGATAATCACATGACGATGTAAAATACGAAAAACAAAATTCCTAGCCCGGCTTTAGATTTTTCATTCATCGAAATTATAATCTCATGTACTGATATTACGATATATTTTGAAATAGAAAATAAGTAGGAAAAAATACAAGTGAAAAAATACAAGTCTCGGATTATTATCGAATCCTCTAAAAAATTGTTGATATATAGATATCGATATATAAATATTGACAGTTGATATATAAGATACATATGATTGTATCAAGCTATTTACCAAAGCGGATATTTAGAATAAAAGAAATTTAATAGCGTAATCATCATTAAGTATAAAAGACTCGTTTTTTATAGACACATGATTCGGCATAAAAAAAATATAAAATTTTTTCGATGAAAGAAAGTTTAATTCAAATGGCCAAATTGTAAATTATGTTATCATTTTCATGATCCATGAATAAAACGGTAGATTAAGTATTAAAATAATAGGAATATTAATAAACATTTAGTTTAGAATAGTAATATTAAAATAATAGGAATTGTTAATAAACATTTTATTTTTCAACAAAATATATCACACACGCAAGCATATGCATGCAAAATTGTATAAAGATTCTTTCAAGTATAAAAAAGTAAATGTTTTAAAATGCTTAATACAAGATCTGAATATAATCGAAAATTGTTGAAAGAGAGAATTAGCAAGAGCTGTCTACGCAAAAAGAAGACAATTTTAATAATCCTACTTTTATATCTACCTCTCCATTTTACAGTATTTATCACGTCAAGTTTTTTATCATATATGTTTTTTTATACCTGTTATTTTTACTACTTTGCTATCTGGCTCCCATCGTGCCGAGATGTAATAAAATTTCTCTTTCTCTCATCATCGAGTTTATGATTAATTAATATAACGGCGCGGAGGAATTTGTCGAGTACGCCAAGATTTCTATCATCGAAGACGACGCAGCATTGCCGAGATCTCGTGAAGGCGCATTTAGCTATTTAATTAATCGTCGCTAATCAATCTGGAAGAACGCCTTCGTGATCGAGATCGTAATTCTCGATTCGTGATTTAATTGACGACATCTTCCAATTTAAGACCTAGAGTCATCAGATAAGAAGTATTAAACGCTCGCCCGACTGTTCAAACTACTCTCTCTCATCGAACAGTTTTCTGAAACGTGTTTCAACTGTAAAATATTGACATTAGGCTATATCTGTAGCGTTTTCGTAAATATAATTAGACCGGTGACGACACGGTAAATAAGAAACGTTTTGACACATGCGATGCGCATACGAATGATGTAACATGGGACTGATGTTAATTGCAATCGTTCATTTAGTCATAAATTAACATTTTTAGATCGTCGCTTTATCTCAGAAATTTTCGCTCTCTTTTATTAATCACAATTAAAGAAAAATCTTACATTAACGTTCCAACATGGATCGTAACCGGTTTTAAGGAGAAACTCGGCGATAAAAAGGATTAATAAAATGATCGAAGAAGCTGCGAATTTGAATTTCGAAAATTTCGCCTCCAGAATTAGCGACTTCCCGCTAAGAGGAGACTGTCCTTGTTGCGAGCGTGTTACCGACGTTGCGTTGACTCCCGTCTCGCACGAAAAAAAAAAAAAGAAGAAAAGAAAAGGAGAAGAAAAAGATCGCGACCGTGTACACGCACACGTGACGCGCGACTTGACACGTGTAACTTTGGCGGGCCGGGCGAGAGCGCGCGCACGCGCTTTATATCCCGTGTGCACTGTTCACAATAATGAGGAGTTTGCACAGACCGGGATCCCGACGTTCTTCAAACAGCGAGAGCAAAAACAAACAGCCCTATATGGACGGATGGACAAACACGATGTATGCGTTCGTGCTGGCTCGCTCGCTCGCTCGTTGCTTCGCGTCCACGTCGTCGGATCGGCGCTAAGCTGATGCGAACGCGATGCCGAGTACCTTTACCGCTACGAGAGAGCGAGCCGAGGTACTCTTTACCCTTCCCGCCGCCGCTGCGGAAACTATCGACCATCACCCTCGCTCAACAAGCACCATAAGCGATATGCTGGCTAACATTTGCCGAGCTAAGCACACAAATACGATACAGTGCTGTTTGCCTGGCGCGCCAGTGGTGCTCGATATCGCCAGGTAACATCGGCACTGGCCGCGCTATAACGGTTTCATTCTCGTCTCGAGGATCGCGGACAAGATTTATGAATGATCGGACGACGAAGAGGCAAAGAGATTGTCGAGATTCTCGCTAAATTCTCGCAAGTAGAAAAGAGAGAGGGAGACGCGAGCATCGAGCACGGCAGCGTGCGGCATGTGCCGTCCTGGCGCATCCTGGCGTGACGGTCGGGTCAGCTGGTCGGTGGTTTGCGAACTATCTCAATTTGCCTAAGCCGCAACCACGGCGACCGCGAAAACCGCAACTTCCCTCGTCGTGGCCACCTTTGGCCGCCCGCACCCTCCCTCCCTCCTGTCCGCAATTCCTCTCTTCCTCTCGCCGCGACCTCCATCCGACTATCCGCTTCCTCTCTCCGTCCACCTATATACGTACGTATCCTCCTTTCTTCTCACGCTCGCGCCTGCCGTTATTGTCTTGCGCCTTTTCCACTCTCGGTTTCGTAAATTTCGCGACTACTTGGTCGCGCAACCTTCGACCGCGCTAGCCAGAGGCTGTAACGGAAAGGTCGGCGACTTTGACCCCCTTTTGTTCTCCATTCTCGAGTAGCGACATTGTCGCGAGAGAAGTTATTTTGGAATCCAGTATTCATTCATCGCGTTAAGTTCAGCGTATGTCATTAGCTCGGATTGGCAAAGTCGTACGATGTTAACCCCGTGTGATGCCGTGGAAACAAATATCACGTCGTTGCTCGGCGTGATGTAATTTACGGATTCGCCGAAGGACACGGATGTGTGCGAGAATACATATCGTTGTTAACGACGTACACATATTTATGCACACATGCATGCACGCGCGTGCGCGTACTCATACACGACGAAGCGCAGGCTTATAGTTTCGGTTGTAGCGTGTAATCCTCGCGGACACCGCAAACATGTAATTAACACTTGCTCTCTCTCCGCGCGCGCGCGCAGAGCGAGAGGGAGAGAGAGAGAGAGAGAGAGAAAGAGCCGCTGTTGCAGCATGGCTCACATGGGCCGAGAGATCGCAACCGACTATTGCCGAACGGGGCCTCGGCCTCGTGTAATCGCGTATGCACGTGTGTAGTTGTGTATGTCTACATCCACCACCATCCACCCTCGCCTCCTCCCCTTCAATCCATCGTATCACTTTCGCTCGCACGGCGGCACCCCTGCCCTTTCGCGGTCGAACAGCTGTACGGAGTTAATTATTCGGGACAGGAGGACGTGGATCTCGAGTGCTGGCCGCGCGCGAATCGATCCGCCGACGTTTCTGGGACACGATCGATATATCTATATGTGTATTGTGCTAAATTAAGCCCGACTAAGAGATTCTCTCGTTTCTTTGTCCCCAGGGCCCGCCGCAGCCTGGTCAGCCGTTCAAGTTTACGATCGGCGAATCCTGCGACCGGATCAAGGAGGAATTCAACTTTCTGCAGACGCAATATCACGCGTGAGTATTGAACGTTCTTATCGTAATCTTATCGATATCGGGCGCTGTCTGTCGTCACTCGGGAAAAAGGTATACGAGCACATTTTCTCGTTCACGCGCGGACTTCATTCTCTTTCCTTCTTTTTTTTTTTTTATTTTTATCCGATGCGGAAGCGCGCGTAAGGATGTAGCGAGTCGTATCGCGAGAGAAAAAAAAAGGTCTGGGAACAAGCGCAGCTGCACGCCATCCTATACAACGTGGTTGTGCGCCGGATACGTAATGGCAGCTCGCGAATATACGAACTCGAGCTTCGAGTTTCACGAATACCGGCAAGACGGGTCTTGCATTTTTCAACAGCACTAGTAGCAGCAGCAGTAGCAGCAACGCGCGCGCGCGGATCGAAACTTTTCTCGTTGCTCGACGGTTCTTCTTCCTCTTGTTCTTTTTTTTTTTCGCTCGCCACACGTACGCGGAGCATATTCCATTCGTAAAGAACGTGGTTTTCGCGATTCGCGGTTTTTCCTCTCTCAGGATTCTCTCTGTTTCGCCAGCTTACTCGAGCGTGTCTCCGCGACTCGACTGTTTTCGCATGCGTTTCACGACACGTTCCTTCATCTCTTTCTTTCCGCAGGCTGAAGCTGGAGTGCGAGAAACTGGCTACCGAGAAGATCGAGATTCAGCGACACTACGTGATGGTGAGTACGATCATTGCTATGTCGTAAAGTTAGTCGTGTCGGTTAAATGTCGTAACGTTTCCCTCGACTGCCTCTGCGTTCTCTTCTTCTTCTCTCTCCTTCTCTTCCTCTCCGTTTCTCTCCCGCGCCTTCCATATCCAGAATAATCATGCTCGCTCGACCGCTAAACCGCCTCGGCTTCTTAGCATTAATTGCATCCTCCAACCGAGGGCCGGGACCGAGCTTTACATTAGCTCGTTACATCGCGCGTAGAATAGTCGGATATACTACAGATAATACATACACATACATATATATACATACATACATATACATATATATACATACATACATATACATACATATACATATATACATATATATATATATATATATATATATATATATATATATATATATATATATGCGCGTGTGCGCACGTACTGTGCATAGCTAATGACTCTAAGAGCCAGTAGCTCTCATCGAATTAGGCTGCAACGCTCGCGCGTTTAATGACGAAGTATGTAATACGCTGTTAGGTCGCGGCAGCGGCGACAGCGGTCTACGGTTCATTAATATTCGAGCACCTCCTCTCCTCATCGCTACCAAATGGACCATCTTCTACGACACGACAAGCAAAAATCAAGCGCGCAGTTATTTATGGATTTTCGAGTCCCGCGAGAGAGAATAATATCGTACCTTCTCATTCTCGTAGCGGTTTGCTTTTTTCTCTTGTATTAAAAAAAACATTTAATTTGACGTCATCTTTAATCACAAGCTTTTACTTTTTCTCTTCACACGACCAAAGTGCGAACAGAAGTATGAGCTTGTGATTAAAGATGATGTCAAATTTATACTTTTAATTTTCTTTAATTCGCGTTTGAAACTCTTAAATGTTTTCACAATAAAAAGCGCGTGTTCTTTTTAGCTGCGTTTGTATAAATTGGCAACAGTTTTGAAGTGGCATAACGACTTTTACTCTTCTCGTATTACGTTCTGCGAGTCTTTTATTTATCTCCGTATTGAACATCGAGCGAATAATTAAATCGAAAGCGCGTTAATTTGACGTAGCCGTCGACTCATCGTTTATGGTTTTAATTCGCCACTGGCCATTGCCCCGTTCTCTCGTCGCATTTTCTCATCGACCTAATCGACTAGGCCACTAATGTAAACGGGCCACCAGTTAATCTCCGCTTAGCCCATTTGATACGTGAATGCTTTTCCTCTCTCCGATTCGCGATAGTGATCTCGTTAAGGACACATTAAAGACGTTGTTACATCCAACGAACGCTATTGCCTTCGGGGAAAGAGTCCGCCGATTCCGCTGCAACCTACCGATCTCAACTCCCGTTAAACAACCTCCGTTAATGCGCGCATCATCCCCCGGATACTCGTTTCCAGCATCCACCCTCTCCTCCTCGCCGCCTCCTCGCTGTGTCTATCTGCCGGATGAAATAACTTACTTACGCTGCAATTAATTCGCCCGTGTAATTATCGGGCTAATGGCTCGTAAAATTAAGAACCTGTAACCCGGCCAGTGCGCGTTTACATGCGTTCATCTCCTCGTCTCGTATTATTCACGGACTCTCGCGTGTGCTCTCTCTCTCTCTCTCGTTCTTTCTCTTTCTCTCTCTCTCTGCAACTGCAACTCTAACTGCAACCGGCCTCTCAAGTACACTCGGCCGACAGACTCGAGTGCATTATCGCGATTAACGATAATTAATATCACGTTATCACGCGTGATTGAAACCGCCTCGGCTGGTGCTCGCTGGATCATTCGCGGGAAATCTCATCCGCGATGGGAATCCATTCTCGGAAAAATTACTCCCATTTTTCTGACAAAATATTGTAAATCACACATATTGATGCATCTTGATTACTGAAGTATATCATAAGAATTTTTTTCTGTTGCAGTATTACGAGATGTCGTACGGCCTAAATGTCGAGATGCACAAGCAAGTGAGTTTGAATTTTCATTTTGCTTTGATACTCTATTCGTCGCTCGTATAAAGCTTTTGCATTTTTTGTAAACGTGATCGTGAATTTCTTTTTTTATTTTCTCTTGTTTATACGCGACTCGACATGTTACATTTTTTTAAATAAATTCTTGTTATCCGAGTAATATGCATTACAAATTGCATTTTGTATGCATTTTTATGTTTCTATGCATTACTAGGTATATGTTTCATTCTTTTATCAAGTATCGTAACTTTCAATTCTATTCTTCGATTACATTCTATTATCACATATGCTTTATTGACATATTGTACTGCGCTGTATTTTTCAGTTTTATTTATCTTTTATCAATAATAAATTTATCAGTTTATATACTTGGATAAGATAAATTTATCTATTCATCTATTACTCAATGTTTGGCGGAGACCGTCGTTGCACCTCTTGGCCAGGTTCAAAGAACCACAAAGCTATCTGAAAATTCTCATGGCGAGCTGTCGAATCGTTGTGTCGCGTCGCATCGGTGGGGGACGACTTGGCTTCGTAAATACGTCTCATTATTCCTGCATCTTATGCTTCGCCTCGCGAGTGCTTTATTCTCGGAATGTACGCGCGCGCACATGCACGATATACCGTAACCGTCGGCCTGAAGACGTTGCGTGGACGCGACGAAAATAGAGGAAACGAACGTCTCGTTGACAGCAGATCGCCCCCCGGTCGGAGAAATATGTAGCCAGCCTCGCTCGTTACTCGCGCGTTTAAGGCGACGAGACGTTAGGCGGTCATCGCCGTCGTCGTCGTCGTCGTCGTTCAACTCGCGCTTTCATTATTCACCTGGGACAGCGTTTCTCCATTCGAGATGTAGCCGGGGGAGGCTGAAGCTGGACCTCAACTATTACTCGCGCTCGGTGTGTCCAACATTCTCTCTCTATCTCGTTTCTGAGAATTCTAATTCGCTTGTCGAGCCAACGACTAAACACATTCGTGATACGCCAAATTCGAGAGAATCTCTTTATGTACGCATATCTTTGTTCTTATTAACTATAAACATTGCGGCGGATTTTACTTGTAAATAAAAATCAAATTATTATTGCACTAACATATTACAAAAATGTATTATAAACTAAATTATATTTATGTCTTTAATCTGTCTTGTTTAATTGATTATTCGATATTTTATTATACTTTTATATCTTGCATGGTAATGTATATTGTCTTGCTTTTCCAGATGGAGATAGTAAAGAGACTGAGCACTATCATCGGCCAAATCCTACCGTTTCTTTCGCAAGAGCATCAGCAGCAGATTGCGAATACCGTTGAAAGAGCAAAGCAAGTTACAGTGAATGATTTAGGTGGCGTAGTTGGGGTAAGTAACAAGCAGACTGTGTAAATTTGACTATTTTCCGAGTATTTTTTAAATTTTCCGAGAGCAATTTGGCGCATATTCTTTTATTTCGAGGACTATTTCATAACCGTTACTGTTTACGACTTCCGATATTAGATTCTTTTCTTCATTTCGCAGTGCGACTACATATTCGTACGACAGATAAGCGCAATTGCACACTCGATCGAAACGCGAGATTGGCATTCAGTAGACGTGTTGCGTATAATTGAGTTCAGAGTTGATTCTCGCGCGCATGATTTGAATAATTTCTCAACCTCGTAGCTTCGTTAAAACAAACGTGCGCGTTGGAAAAAAAGTTGATATTTAAGCTCGAATTGCATCATGCAAGCGGGTCAATGTAAAACTCAGCCACAAGCACAGTTACGCTTCTTCCTTGGCATCGCCAAAAACGTGTTTAAAATCCTTTAAAAAATTAAAATTTTTAAATCCTAATGTTGCGGTTGCTGTCCGTTGCATTTATAATATTGACGTATCATAATTTAACGTATTTTTCTTCGTGTATTTTTAGTAGCAAAGCATTTTCATACCTCGATAAAATAAAGCAAAAACATTTTTACCTTATCGTGGCTTCACGGATATACGTAATCGAGACGTCGTCTTTGATGACGGGTGAAAGCGCGGAAGAATAATCACTCGGACAAGGTCATTGCGACGCAAACCGCAATCTCGCCAATCTGTCATTACGCGACGTGCGTCACTGTTACGCGAAATATAATTAGCGTGCTCGTGTGTTACGGCCTGTCGAGAGGGGTTCGTGGCGAAGGGATTCGTACGACGGGGAAAGTACGCACGGGATGGCGCGGTACGCAAAACGCAGCGGGAAAGGGTGCGGCGCCGACCGAAGGGACGATGAAGGCAAATAGACAGAAGCGCTAACCCTCATGAATATGTATTATTCGGTAAACAGAGGTTGAATCAATATTTCGTTTAATAACACCGCGCGAGGAACGTATAGTCCTCCATCCCCCTCATTTCCCTCCATCCCTCTTTCATCTTCCACCCGCGCTCACCCCGAGGCAAAACGCGATGATGGTGGCGTGATTCCGATCCTCTCTTCCCGCTATTTTCTCCGCTCCTCGCCCCCTCGCCCCCTTCCTCCGCTTCGCCACACGTTGCGCGTATTATTCACGGCGCGTTAAACCTCGTTTGGGACTATTACGTTTCATTTCACGCGCCGGGAACGAACACCGTGATTTTCGACGTGTATCGTGTCCGCGAGAGTCGCGCGATTTTTCAATGTTGCAGAGATAACACGCATGTTTTTTTTCCGATGGAATAGAATATAGTTTTTAAATATTATCTCTATATTTCTGTGAAAATATAAATCTAGCAATATTTATTATACTTTAAACATTCTGACTCTTTTTCTCTTGCTTTCTATTTTCTTTCATATAATAATATATTGCATATGCGCTCATAATTCCTTGGGCTAAATTTGATGGGGCATTGTCACCGTTAATTTGCCTTTCTGGCGAGCCTTTACCGTACGACAAAACCACACAAGTATACACACGATCGATTTACGAACGTTATTTTGCATACGCGGTTACAGCAACAGAGGCAAGACATACCGCGGATCCTTCAGCAAATACACGCTCAGCAAATACCACCGGCGGCGATAGCCGCTCATCCGGGTCTACCTGGACTTCCCGGATTGGGGCCAGCTGCCGGGCTTCCGGTGCCGACTTCCGCGTCCGCGGCTTTGCTCGGCCTCGGACTAACACCCGGGGCGGTCGCCGCGAACCCAGGCGCGACCGCTGCCGCGCATTCCCTGTCGATGCTCGGCAAGCCGGATATCCATCGCGGTCAGCCGGATGATCTCAAGAGCAACGGTGGTGAGTCCTCGATTCTATACTCGCATATCTATCTTCGATATCTAGTCGCGTGATTGCGTATTGTTACGTATATCGAATGATCGGGAAATTCTCAGCCTTTGTTTCTAATTGTCTTGCGAAATTTGATTGTCATGTTGCTTGAGAATATTCATAGCTTTTTGCGATTCGAAAAAAATATACAGAATCTTGCATATTAATTTTGCTTCGCTAAAAAAAAGAATATCGATTAAATTCTATTTATTTATTTCCGTTATAGAACAATCTAAAAAGAATAACAAGATAACTAATAGGAAAGTTTCGAAATTTTACGTACTTTGATTTGTCCTCCTAATTTCTCTTGCAAAATATATATTATTTATGAATGTACTACGAATTTATACGCACATATCGGTATTATGAAAATTTCTGTTATATAACGGTGTTTGATGCCTATGCATAGTGCCGGTATTATTAAAGGTCTTTTTTTAGTGCAACAATTTTTTTTGCGAGAATACACACGCACGATACCGATATACAACTAGTAGCGAAATTATTTTCGCAAAGGTCTCTATGCGATTTAACGTATATTCACGAGAACGAGCTGTCCACCGATCGTTATAAAGTCGCAAAGATCGACGAGAGTGTAAAAAAAAATATATATGTATATATATATATATATATATATATATATATATATATATATAATCGATTCTCGACCCCCCCCCCTTCCCCTCTACCTTTTTCTCGCCGGGAAATGTTCAAAGCGCTTTATTACGGGTATCCGCTTTCGGCGGAGCGGGCGTGTTTGCGTCACCCTGTTAGCGGACGCGCTAACGGCGGTTTCCAGCGAAAAGCGCGCATAAATATGCATGAAGATCATTTATATGGGCACTTCCCTCCCCCCCTCTAGATGGCTACTGACCATCGTTTTACGACGCGGCTCGTTATTAACATTTTATCGATGCGCGATACTTGATATTCAATCGTCCTCAATATTTCCTCGCGATCTTTGTATCTTATTACTTTTATATATATATATATATATATATATATATATATATATATATATTTGTATTATTTATATTATGTTTGTTACAACAACTAGAGACAGTGTTTTTTTTCTTTTTTTTTTCCGATTAAAATAATCAGCGATCTAATATACTTGTGCAGAAATCTACGTAGTATAGATAAACCAGTTAAATTTGCAACGAACATTACTGTGAATTTTTTTTCTTTCAGGTCTAAGCTCAACGGAAGAGAGACACGTGAGTAATAAATTTTCATATTTTATCACAAGGTGAATTATTTAACTTGCATTATGGAAACATGAATCTCAATGAGAATGTAAATGATTCCTATATTAGCAGCGTAAATGATCGTCTAGACAACTTATGGCTTACGTTTTTATTTCAATAGAATAACAATAGTTAATAAAAATATACTTATACTATGTACGCGTTTCATACATATATGTACATTGTGTAATAAAATATACTATTTTTACGAAGCGCAGCACTTGTTAAAAAAAATTTTTAAATTTTCAAGATGCATTTTCTTCATATTTCTATCAAAAATAAAATTTATTCTTTCACGGTATAATACATGCATAAATAAAAATATGAATTTATTGCATTTGGTAAAATTACAAATAATTTTAATTTAGAAAACACGATATTATATATAAATATACATCATGTATATTTTAGAAAATTGTAAGATAAATATAATACAGCAAAATAAAATATTAAAATGGCAATTATAATATGTAATTCGTACTGAATATAATAATACATAATATATAATTTATATTTTTATTTGGTGCATGTGAATAAATAAATGCGCCAAGAATAATTATTTATTTTATAATCGAAAAAGTGAGATGAGGATGAGCGTTACAAAATCTTGGAATCTTCTAAAAGTTGACGGAACATTTACACAATGACTATGCTCTGCTCTTTGTGAAAGTAATATATTTTGTTATTCGATGTACATATATATGAAACGCTTACGGCTTCTACAATGTACAATGCACTCGACCGAGTGGCACTTATTGCGGCCTCGTGTATTACACGCACATTACGCGCGTGTAACTTGACTCGCGCGCGCGTCAAGAGTGCAACGAGCGCCGCTTCAGCGTACCTCGCATACGAGTGCATGCTGCATATTGCAATTTATACTTTTAACGCGCCTACAGGCGCGAGGGGAGGCGTGTAAAGTGGCGAAAATATAGGAGGCCAAGAAGACGGTTGCATATTATTTTTCCATCGAATTATTCGCGGTATTTAAAGTACCTTGTAACTTTAATCGCGATTACCGAAGAGATAAATTCCTGGAATTTTTTTTTCTGCTCGTATTATAATTAACCGTCGTAAAAAATGCGAGGTACGATAAGATTTTTCACACATGCAAGGATAAAACTGTCGATTAATCTAGCTACGTCTAAGTTTTCAAAGACGGTCGCGTCTTTCCTCCCTCGAGGCAACATCGCGCGTCTAGATCTCGTGCGAGCCTCGCCGGTGTCGCCGGCCGAGGAAAAGGAAGGCGAGAAAGAATAACATAGGGGAAAAAGAAAGGGTATATCTTGTATTACGGGTTTGCCGAGCCTGTAATCATCGCGGGACCGCGAAACGCCCATCGACGCCCTCTCATTCCGCCTCTCGCCATTCTATTTTCTTCTCTCCTCGCCCGCTGCGTCCGTGCCGATGTGCCCGAGCACTACTCTTTCCCGGAGTCTCTCGTGCCGATCGCGTTTCTTTCTTTACCCCGGTTTTTCTTCCCTTCGCCTCCTCTGTCGCGTCCGTCGCGTCGAGACGCTCCACTCTATAATCATTATCAGCTGTCACTGACTAACAGCTGATTCGCGCGCGCCGCGCCTCCTCTCGCGTTTTCCTTCCTTCAACTATCGTCTGTTTGTTCGTTTGTACGCTCTCCACGCGTCTCGTCATCCCGAATTCCATTACGTTCTATTACGAATTGACCGATGAGACCGATGGATCCACGCGCCGAGGCGTGCCAACTTTTCCCTCGTCGCGCGTAGAGAAATTCGCGGGAATTTATTACCGAAACGCGCGTTATTATTAGATCCGCTGTGCGAATTCTCCGATACGCAGGATTTGTACACATACTTGATTTCCGATAGGCGTTATACTACATCTGCGCTCGTTTATAACTATCCGAACTCGTAAATACAGACATTGTCTCATATATATATTATATGTCGCCGAATAAACTTGCGCCCTTCGAGCACTTTTTTTTGTTCTTACATTCGTTTGCGAGGCTATTTGCATCATGTAACTCATTCATTCTATGTATATTTATCTTTGATAAATATACAACGGCATGCGTACCATACGCGCTCGAGGGAATTTTTTTTTGCCGGGTGCGTTTAATAAATAAATAAATAAATAAATAAATAAATATAAATTTCGCCGGTCAGAGATGCGATTTTATCGCATGCTCGCGTCCCGGACGCTTCGTCGCTCGCTAAATTGATATTTCATTGAAAAGCGTCATGCAGGTGAAAAATCGGCGCGATGCAACGTCGATGAAAGTTACATTTTAATACGTTTCGCAACGAGTGGATATCGAGAGGTGGGCGGTATAGTAGCTGGTAAAGTCGAAATCGATTATCGCGAGCGTTCGCGTGACGATTGATAATAACCCGCGTCGACGCGGGTAATTACGGTTTTGTCACGTTCGTCGGCGCCACAGGGAATATGTGGCTGATCGTTGTTCCAGTCTGTGTACTTGCCGCGTGGTGTCTGTTGTTAAATGAGATTAACGAGATCCGCGGAATTAACGGGGAGGAGGCGCGAGAGGCCCGTATATCCGACTGCTTCTTCGTTTCGTATCGCGTGTGTCGATTTAGCGCATATAACGCTGATGTACCCGCCAACGCAAACATCTACCTTTAAGAGGTTTCTCTGTCGAACGTTGTAATGGGATATCTCGACTTTGCGGCTTTGATATCGGATGTCCTATGTAAATTCGATTTCAGAACCATTTATCACTAGTTTCTTAGAGAGATTTCGTTACCCCGTGCGTTTTACAGAGAGGCTCAATCTCGCCGGCCGACAAATATAGCCGATCACGCACACCACAAGAGGCCACTCACACTCATCATTCTCATCACTCGCAAAATCATCACGATCATCACCCGATGAAGAAGATGAAAAAGGAAGAGAAGGACATAGTGCACGTAAGTGCTTAATAACAAAAAATTACTTTGTTTGTATTTTAAGAGAGTCGTCGTGACAAGTCGGACTCCGTATTATGCGGTTGTTGATGGTATTACTTGAGAAACACTTTCAACCTTTATCGGTCCTCGTTATAAAACGACAATAATTGCATCAAGATGCAAGATCTATCTAAGGAGAACCCGCTACTCGAGTAACATCTAAATACTTTTCTTATTTTAACGAAATACATATTTCTTCAATCTCTCTTTCGCGATCTAGAAATTTTGAAAATTTATCGAGCATTTCATGAGCAATAATTGCGAAAAGTCAATGGCGGCTTCTTCAGATCGATATTAGGTGATAAAAAAAAATATTGCCTTCCGAGAGGCATCTCCATGATTATCGGTGCTCTTTCCGCTCAGAGCGACGGCGAAAAAAGTGACCAGGATCTAATCGTGGATGACGGAAGCGATGGTCCGCCGAGTCCTATAGCAAACGGGACGACGTCGCCGCGCGAGAACGGCCTCGACAAGGCGTCCTCGATAACGGTGCCGACGATAGGATCCACCGGCGTGCAAACGTCAAAGAGGGACGCGGTACCTCCGCACTCGCCGAGAAGCGGTACCAGCAGCAATGCGAGCACGCCATCGGCTAAGAAAATGGAGGACCGTGAGAAACCGTCGACGCCGATCTCGAAGCCGTTGACACCGACATCGGGATCGGCGACGGTAATCGGCAGTGGCGGCAAGACATCGTCAGCCTCCAGTAAACTGCTGCATCAGGCTCCATCCGTACCTCCCGGTGCTGTGCCACCGCCAACCGCTTATCCGTTGCATTATCCACCTCCGGGCCATCCACCGCCCCATAATCTCGTCCCGACGGCGCACGGTCAACACCCGCATGTCGCCGACGTTATGGCTTACAACGGTTACGCGACACCTAGGCCGCCTTCGACGATACTGTATGATCCGCATGCAGCTGTGAGGACTTCCATCGGCATACCCGGGGGCAAACCGTAAGTACTCAAATCCATCTCGCGGAATTTATATCGATACTCGCTTCTCTTGACGGGAAGTTCCATCATTCGATATAATTTTCGATATATTTTTGCAATAACATCGTAATTCGCGCGAGTCATGTAAAAATAATACAATGAAACCAATTTATAAAGTTAGATAAATGTGCAGAAATATCTTCTAAAATTACGCGAATTTTCTAAAAAATTGATTGATCAAATATAAATTTCTAAATTTAAAATAAACAATTGACGCCATGAACAATAATTAACATTAGGCAAAAAATGGGAGGAGATTCATCGTAATTGTTACGAGACAAAATTGTTTCGCAGCGCGTATAGCTACCATATGCTCGACGGTCAGATGCAACCGTCGCCTTTCCCGCAGGACGCTCTCAGTGGTCCAGGCATACCGCGTCATGCGCGTCAGATTAATACCTTAAATCATGGCGAGGTAGTCTGCGCGGTAACCATCTCGAATCCGACCAAGTACGTTTACACCGGCGGTAAAGGTTGCGTCAAAGTCTGGGACATCGCCCAGACAAGTATGAGCAACGTGAAGCCAGTCTCGCAGCTTGATTGTCTGCAACGCGACAACTACATCAGGTCGGTAAAACTGATGGAGATAAATGCGTTTTATTTTCGCGAATTGACATCGACGATACTAAAACCTCGCTTCGCGCTCGTCTAATACAGGTCGGTCAAGTTACTTCCGGATGGTAGGACGTTAATAGTCGGCGGTGAAGCGAGTCAACTGAGTATTTGGGACCTGGCCAGTCCGACGCCGAGAATCAAGGCTGAACTAACATCCTCGGCACCGGCGTGTTACGCCTTGGCGATTTCGCCAGACTCAAAAGTGTGCTTCAGCTGCTGCAGCGACGGAAACATCGCTGTATGGGACCTACATAATCAAATGCTGCTCAGACAATTCCAGGGCCACACGGACGGCGCCTCATGCATAGATATTTCCGCCGACGGTACAAAAATTTGGACGGGAGGTCTCGACAATACCGTGCGTTCCTGGGAACTCCGTGAAGGCAGACAACTTCAGCAACACGACTTTTCGTCGCAGATATTTTCCCTCGGCTATTGCCCCACCGGCGAGTGGTTAGCGGTCGGCATGGAGAATTCGCATGTCGAAGTGTTACATGCCACGAAACCGGACAAGTATCAATTGCATCTGCACGAATCCTGCGTATTATCCTTGAGGTTTGCCTCCTGTGGAAAGTGGTTCGTCTCTACGGGAAAGGACAATTTATTGAATGCTTGGCGTACCCCTTTCGGAGCGTCGATATTCCAGGTTGGTATCAATTAGTTCATCTTTTTTTCTCGTTTTCCATTATTCGATTAACGTGAATAAAGCTTTTTTTAAAATTTGCAACTGTAAATCTCGCGCAAGAATTAAATATTTTTTAATTTATCTCGAACTGCAAATATAGCAATCTTAAAAATATGAAAAGTATAAAAATGTAGCTGTATAAAGGAGGAAAAATGTGATTGAAAAAAATAAAATTACATTTTAATTATATCTTAAATTTCAAAATTATTTATGCGCTTATTACAAGCTCGGTGTGCAAATTATGTACATAAATTGCCTTCGCACCTCACGCGGAGAATAAGTACGGCGTTACGCACGAGACAAGACGGCGAGACAGGCGTTGGAGACGATCGCGAAACGGCTCATTAAGAAGCTATATAATTACGCGATATAAACGAGCCATCGAGTCGTGATTCGAGAAGCAAAAAAAGCTGATTTATAAAAATTTATGAATAATCGCGCGCTATATGCGTTAGCGATTTCGTTATCGAGCGAAATTCGAAGCGGTGGAATAATAATAGATATCTGTGCTCGTAAATATGTTTACGCTTTTGAGGTTTCATAAAACGAGCAAACGAGCCTCGACGCTCTCAAACTTTTATAACGTCCTATCATTCGTGCATCTTTTCTTTCTTTTTCTTTCGCTCTCGCTTCTTCTTCTTTCTCTATCCTCCAGCAGCAAGCAACGCGTTACCGTTATCGCGCTCACTCGACGACGTATTTGTCGATTATATTTACAGTCGAAGGAATCCTCATCGGTGCTCAGTTGCGACGTATCGACGGATGACAAGTACATCGTCACTGGTTCGGGCGACAAGAAGGCCACCGTCTACGAAGTCATATACTGAGACGTTATCAACTGACTCTGTCCCTTGAAAACGATGCGCTTGTACAAGAGTACTGACGAAAGTGTGACGATGTTATTGCTCTTTTCATTATCGTTGTTATTCGCTCGTTGACAGGAAAGTGAGATCAAAGCCGCGCCAAACGAATAGATTGTTCAACAGATTTTCAGAGATTTTAACAATCGCGCAATTGTAGCGGAATAAAAATTTCAAAACGTGCTTAAAGAGGAACATACGTTTTGACGGCCTGAAAATAGCAATTATTTGAAAAACTTTTTTTTGCGAATGTGAATAGGTCTTTTCAATTGCAAAATGCAAAATTGCCATCTCTTTTTTTGACGAATACAGAATTTGTTGAAAAATAGAAATGTATATTGAATCGAGTGCTCTTAAAATTTGTAAGAGTTAAATGCATCATTCAAATCTCGCAAATTAATGTTGGGATCATTATTTACAGAACCATCGGTTTGTTTTACACAGATTGAAATCTACTTCAGATTGGAATCTGTTTCGCTTGGCGCGTTTGGTCGCTCTTTGATTGTGATTATTCTTATCCTTCTTATCTGTACATTTTGTAAATAGCACGTCTTAATTATATCATGATATTTTTCTACTACCTTTAAGAGTGAGATGGCATATATCAAGAGAAACAGATTGTAAATACATAAAGACTAAAAAGTTCACAAGAGGTGAAGCACGAAAATCCATCTCAATAAATGATGTATGATAATTAAGACAAAATAACCTCTTGTTTAATCCTAATAATTCTCCAAATCCTATTTATACTCTTCGTATCTTAAAAAAATAATAATTTATCGGATTTTTAGGAAAACGCGACAATTTAGTAATAAGGAAAAAGTAGAATCGAAACAACGAGATAGCTCCTGTTCTATCGTTAAAAACAAAATGATTAGTGGTCGTCAGGCCGATAAAAATCGGGGCTGTGCACACACAGCGGGTAGGTGTCGGTGGAAATAAAAAACAAGGACCACTCGTTACTCTATCCACGTGAACGTTGTTAGCGCAAAAAAGAGACATCAACAATATTTAGTTGTATGCCGGCGCAGCGGGCAGCGGATCGTCATGAAAATTACGACACTATTCCGCCGATAAAAAATAAAAAAAAAAAGAGCGGTCACCGCTGCTCGCGCGAGCGGCGTGCTGACGGTTTCGCGATTGTCATGAAAACAAATCGGAACGCGGACTCGATCTCCTCCCACGCACGTGCGCATTCGGGTATATATACACGTATATATATATATACAGATATAGAAAAACAAAAAACAACCGAAAAAGGGGGAAAAAGTGCGCGTGCCGATGATAGCCGGGCGAAACGATTTTATTAATGCCTTTGCGTCGCGAATCCGTGCGAATCTCGCCACCCGGTGTATAATTAGCGAGGCCATGCATACGCGCGTTCAATGGAAGGTTCATCGGCGTAATGTTATTATAATAGTGGCACGTTTTGCATATGTGTGACCGGGTGATGGTCGCTGCCAAAACGAGGAGTGAGCGGGTTGGCCGGAGCGTTTGAACACGGGGGGAGGAATAAAGTCGGGAAGGGAGAAGCGACGATGACGCGACGAGAGGGGAAGCCTGCGGAGGAAGGGAGTGAGAGAGTGGTTTTACGCAGGCTTTACCCGACGTATTTGCATGGTAATCATATGCGGCGCACACGCGAGTACGATGCAGGGATGCAGCGGAAAGAGAAAGGGGAGGGTGTGTGACAACGAGGGAGGAAGAGACGACGGCGGCGACTATTGAAGCCGCGAGATTTGTATAATATTGCGCCTAAATGCGTCGGTTATTACGCTTAATTCGACGACGAGCAACGCGACAGGTATTACCGTAGTTTATTCGCGTAGATGAGCTTATATCGCATCGCGACTACAAAATAAAATGCTAATAAAGATACGGCGATGAATTACACGTAATCCTATTACTCTATCGCTTCTCTCAATGTATTCGATCTCATCGATATTCTTTTGCAAACGGAAGCTCTCTCGCTTCGGGGAGATCGGAAACGAGGGAGCTGATTCGCGCGCATTGAAGATATACGCGTAATTATTCGCATCGTCGTCGACGTTCTCCAGCGGTACAACTAGCGATCCAACAGTTGGTGGTACTCGTACACAAAGAGCTAATTTTCCCTCCGTCCGTCGTGCGGCAACTCTCTGCGGCGCGCACACAACGCGGCAAATTAACAGGCACGCAAATGAGCGAGTTCACGCGCTCGCTTTCGCGCTACCCCACATCGCGTCGGCCTCTCCTCGTCACAATTGGACACTAATAAACGCGCCAACGTGCATGCCCTCTCTTCCTCTTTTTCTCTCCACTATTCCATCCATTATCCCCCTGTTTGCTCGCTCGCTTCCTCCCTTTTCGAGCCTCCCCTCCCCTCTTTTCTCGCATCACGTCGCCGCAAACGCGAAAAATATTTCCCCGAATTAAACGGCGAACGAAGATGCGACATACACGCATACATACGTCGTTCATCGTTGGAGCGATTATCCTTCCATTGGATGCGACAGCGATATTTCATCCATATCGATGTATCTGAACGGAATGTCGTTATCTCGATAAACCGTTACGTTAAACTACCGTCTCGCTCGCGATCGTTCGCGCAATTATCGCACGACTTTAGAATTAGCACGATAAGCGTAGGCGACATTGCGGACTACCTGTCGTCGTATATGCACACGGAGGAGTGGAAACGACGAGGAACGGAAGGGGTACTTAGGGGGGATGATGAGGGGGAGGATGGAGGGCGGCGGCGATGGCGGTTATCCAGATAGCAGATAGCTAGGACGGTGGTCTCGTTTGCGGCTTGACCACCCTTGCGGCGCACTGCCCTAACCGCCCCTAACCACCGTACCGCAGCCACATGGTGTGTGCAACCGGCGATAACGTCGCCCTCGCTCGCAAGCCGATGCGTGTCGTTGCACCGGCCACGCTTTCGCGAAACGATCGTCCCCCGCCGTCCCATCGTTCGTTCGTTCATCCGTTCGTGCGTGTCCCGACGTAGGATACAGGGTGTCCCGGACCTAGCGAGTCAACTGTGACTCTCCAACTCATCTCGGTCATCTATTTAAATGACTTTTTGGTTTTTCATTAACGAGCAATGTTTACCATTTGTCAAAAGGTGTTGATTTTTTGTATTTGTTCCTATAACTAATTTTGGAATTATAAATTTGTCACATTGTGTCGAGCGAGAAATAAGCTTCTGCTACCTGTTTTTCTTCGTAAATTGATGTCTCTGGAAAATCCTTTGTCGCCGATTGTCTGATGTAAAGACCATCAACCTGTCGACCGCTCGACCGCTCTTTCCCTTTACAGAAAAATATACAAATCTGTCTAAGGGCAGACCCTAGACAAAAGAGTACTCTGGTACATGTCTAGAGAATATCTTGTGTCTCTTACCATGTACCGGGATGATCCGTGAAAATCGGATCATCTCGCTGACGATAAACAAACGAGCCACATAAACTTTTCGAAAGGATTATCCTTGCAAAGGATATCCGGCAGAAAAATATAATACAATGTAACGAGCCTGTTTGTAGATAATACGAGCGGCCAGTAAAGCCTCCGGCGCTTTAACGACTCACTCATTTCGAGATAGAGAGCCATCGCCTTCGCATTTCCGCCGAACCAATCGCTCCCCGGCATAATTGAAATCCTTCGGATTTTTCGACTATCTCTATCGGCCCTTTTCCAATGAACAGAGGATCGGCTTTCCCGAACGTTTGGTCGTTAACCGGCCCAATCGTCGATCATATGGACAAGCACGGGCGATAGTAGTGTTAGTAAACATTTTTTCTTTTACGGCATGCGCTCTGAAGAATGTAAAAAAAAATACAATGAGTAAAAAGTTTATTAATGAATACAATCATTTAGATCGACTGTGATGGATTAAAGCCAAAAATATCGTTGCCGTTTGATGCAAGAATTGATCTCGTATATTTAAGCTTGTGAAATAACATGTTCGCGATATACTCTGACACTCTTGCTACGCAGCAAATGATTAAAAAGTAGAACGATCTTGATTTTCTAATTGCGAGTGTAAGAGAACGGGACGCTAAAATACACAAAGCTATTAGATGCGCTTCAATTATGATTACTATAAAATATTACAGTGCATTTAATTACGTTATAAAACCGTCAATTATTATTACTATTACGATGTTTAATTACGTTGTCGATGTATGCCATCGATCAAAGATACTTTAATGATACTTATATACACAGGTACGATTAAAGTTGCATATCACTTGGATACTTTCTAATTCAAGCGAGACACTCTACCTACGAGATCCCGCGCCTTTATCTCAATCGTGTTCCATAAATACAATATGTAAAATACATGAAATATACCACGTGTACATAACACACAAAACTCAACGGCGTGTACGATCGTGATCGGTTACATGTGTACGATCGGCGCAGGACGTACGTACGTATGCATGCGCATGCATATTATACATCGCGTAACCTTTAGAACGGTAGCGGGACCGTATCTAACAAACCGCAACGATAGCTACCAGTCGTCGTCGCGTCGCATCGCATCGCATCGCGCCGCATGCGTGTGTATTTACGTGTATACTTGCATACGCATGTCGTTGAATATTTGAGGATCGTCTTCTCGGCGTTTCTCTCGCCGCGACGCGACGCGACACGCGTTCCCTCCTCCTTCCCGAGATTGCTCTCCTCTTCCGTATCGTATTTTTCGCGAGCGATTAACATCGCGCAAATCTTGGTCGTCGATGACGATGACGACGGCGACGGCCGGAGAAGCGGAAGAGGAGAAAAAGGCAGAAGAGAAGAGCGAACGACGACGTCGGGACAGAATGATCAGGCGCGTACACAGGCGGAAAGAGCGAGCGAGAGAAAGAGTGGGACCAGCGAGATAAGCCGTGCGGCCGACACATACGGTAGTCGCAGATCGGCGAGGTAGACAAGGGGCTCGAGCAAGCAAAATGGAGGGCAGGCGAGCGTGGAATATAAAAGGAGGAACGTGAATTCATATCTCGTCCGAGGGATCTCTCTCTCGTAGCCGCGCTACGCCGCTGAGAGACTGCTTTCGAACCAACGAGCGAGAGACGGAGTAAGTGGGATTGGGGAATCGAGAGGCAAGGAAAGGATAAATCCCCGACCGCGTTGCAGGAGACGACAAGGGGGATAAGGACCTGGAGAAGAGAAAGAGAGAGACGGAAATAGGAGAGACAGCCGTCCGCGGTCTCGGCTACGTAGGTATACTCCGAGTCCGCGCGGACTAGACTCCGAGTCGAGCCGACCAATCGGCGCGCGGCTCCGACCAATCGCGTCGCGTCCGCGACCAACACACACGTGCGAGCGCACCACTACCAATTGGCGCCGAACCGCCAACGCTGGCGCTTCTCCGCGCCTGCTCCAGCCAGTCGATGCCGAGCCACGCAAGGATGTAGGATCTCTTTTGTCCCGCCGAGCGAGCCGTGAATACACGTTGCGTACATATACAATGCCCCCGGTCTACTAAGGGTACCGCCGTGTACTCTCGCTTGTAGGCAGGTGAGAAAGCACCGGCGGAAAGACGGAGGAGGAAGAGGGAACCGCTGCTGTCGCCGCCGCCGCCGCCACCGCCGCCGTCGCTGCTACAAAATTCTCGAATGTACCGTCGTTAGCCTGCGGTTTTCGGTTTTTGAGGCTCGAGCACGGCGGGAATGTCGATGCGACTCGACAAAAATTACGCCCGGCTTCATCGA